GGGACGATATTCACCACCCCAATCAGAGTTGGCACTCTTAATAGTAGTGCCAAATTGGTTCTCAACTAAAGTTTTAAATTGCTTAAAGATATGAATAACATCACTCTTTTGTTTAATGGGATAGAGCCAGGTGAATAAGGAAAAATCATCAATAAAAAGCACAAAGTAACAATAACCATTAAAGGATAAAATGGAGTAGGGCCCCAAACATCAGTATAAATTAAATCAAGAGGTTTAGAACTACGATGAAACGTAGAAGACAAACTGACTCGAGGCATTTTCCCTAAACAACACGGCTCACACTTATCGGTGGACGTGGATACAGAGAAATAGGGAAGGTGAAATTGCTGGACTAAAGAACGAAGATTAACATTATTAGGGTGCCCTAAATGGGCATGCTATTGACCCAGGGAAATAAGATAGGCTGCTGGAGACAACAAACCACGAGCAGGAAGATCCAACTGATAGAGACCATTATCAGCTCGACCTCGGAGGAGGAGTTCCTTGGTTGAGAGATCCTTAACACAACAGGAGTCAGAATAAAATTCAAAAAAAAACATTGATTATCCCTAGTGAATTATTGAACAGAGAGTAAAGGTTTAGTAAGGGCGGGAGCATGCAAAACACGATTTAAATAAAGAGGACCGGAAACCGATGACAAAATAGATTGGCTCACATGTTTAATAGGCAAAGCAGCACCATTACCAACTAAAAGATGATCCATACCATGATAATCATTTGAAATGCTCAGGGAGGACAAGTTCAGAGTTGCATGATCCGTCGCGCCAGTGTCGGGATGCCAAGGATGAGATGGAGGAGCATACTCAGCAATGTGGGCTTGTGACATCAATGCTGGTTCCGGATAAGCAGGAGGGGACAACAAGCCGGGCATATGGTGCGAAGGAGAAGGTGGCGGATGATAAGGTGCTGATGAGAAGGACAGTGGTCGAGGAACAAAGGTAGAGTCGAACCGGCGGCGATACGTAGCGGCAGTGTGATTTGGGATGTTACACAATTGACAAATAGTACCCGTGGCTGGAGAAGCATAGCCCCGACGACCACCACCACGACCAGCATTCGGAAACCAGTGACCACCTCGTTGAACACGTCCACCACGTGATGCGGGTTGCTGCGTGCCTGACATGGGAGCTTGCACTAACAGAGCAGCGAGCTGAACAATAGGTTGTTGTGCTTGAAGAAACACTTCATAGGAAACTAATTGCCCCAGCAAGTCTTGGAACGAAGGGGGAACATCCCGCTGCTGCCACGCGCCAATTATACCATTATACTCTGCCCCGAGTTTCCAAAATATGATGGCGTTGAACTCAGCCGTGGAAATTGTATGCCCAGTAAGTTGAAGAGAATTAGCAAGTCCCTTGGCTTTGTGAAGAAGGACGGAAACCGACAAGTCGCCCTTTTGAAGGTTGTAAAGTTCGAGCACCAACTGAGTTTCTTGAGCGTAAGAGAGCGTTCCCTAACCTTGCCGCAAAGCCGTCCAAGCTGCTGCAGAAGTGGTGATGCCCTGCAACGTGGGAAAGATTTCCTCCGCAACGGAGGAGATGATCCAAGAAAGAGCCATCTGATCTTTCTGATGCCACACGTCAAAAGCCGAATTTGGTTGAGGTCGGTCGTCACTAGTGGAAGGGAGAGTTTGCGGCGGCGGAGGTTCAGAGCCATCAACGATGCCTGCAATTCTGAACATACTGAACAACGGGGTGAATTGTAAATGCCAAGCAGTATAATTAGCACGAGACTGAAGCTTGACGGTGAAAGAATGATTGAGAGATTGCAGGCTCGGTTGAAAGGTGAAGGAAGGGATCGCCGAGTTCAAGGTGGGAGTAGCCGAAGAATGAGGCGGCGGAACATTGGAAGAAAACTCCGACATGATGCTGTGGAGGAGGAAGAACAAAACGAGACGAACAGAGGAGAGAAAGGGAACGACCAGACTGCCAAGAAAAGAGAGAGGCGCCGCCGGGGAAAAAAAAAAAAAGAACTCTAGCTCTGCATCAAGTTACTTCTATAAGGTATTATCAGTGACGGAACGAGAATTTTCAAATCGCGGGGTCGAAAATAGGATTATTCAACCGTCACTGGAGGGTCGAATTGAAAAAATTTCAAATAACGGACACCTACTAAGAAAAAATTTGGCCAAATCCGGCCAGGCGGGGGGTCAATCGACCACCCTGACTCCCCTTAAATCCGTCACTGGGTATTATATTCATGATAATCATAATGTACAATTCAGTAGGTATATATAGACATAAGTGAAAACTCTATACAAGTAGTTACTTCCGTAATTACGGAATTACTTCAATAAAAAGCAAGTTACATCCAAAACTCCAATCTCTTACAAGCGAAATTAATTCAGGAATTGAATTATAAGACAATTGTTATTTTTTTCTTTTTCTCTCCTTCTGTAATTAGTGGGTTGGGACTGATTTATGAATCAGTTTTTCGCCACATTTACACACACGCAAATGTACTACATAACATTCCTAGAAAGATCATATTGCAAACAAAATAAGCTTGTTGAGAAACTAACTAGGTAGCTTCTAATTAACATGTAGGGTTGTTTCTTTTCTTCTTTTTTCCTTTCTTGTGCTAATATTTGACTGAACCAGCTTGCATCTTAGAAAAGTCATTCCTCACTCAAAAGCCCGGTCACTTTGTTTTCTATATTGTCCCACTCGAGCCTTGTTCGCTGCATCTTTAGTTCTTTTTACAAACTCTATGGGAGAAAAAAATAATACTACCTCCATCCCAAAAAAAATAGTCCACATTAATTTTGAGTTTGTACTGTTTTTAATATAAATTTAAAAATTTAATGGTAGACTATTTTTCTGGGACGGATGTAGTAATAAAAGAAAAGGAAACCAAGAATAGAGTAACAAAACGATCTAACATCTATGCGTGTTCATGCAATGCTCCACCATATCGTTATGGAAATGAAACGTCAAATCGTGACCGATGCTACATTATTCATTCGTGGCAAAATCATGTTATTGTACTATTTTAGTTTTGTATATAAGATTTGATTTTTTGAAAGGGAAAATTTAGTTATAAAGAGAAAGACATTATATATCCATCCTCACCAACTGCCTTGGTTATGTTAAGTTTTCCTCAAGGAGTGAATATAAATTAGTAGTTATTCGATATATCATGAAGAAGACATGAAATTCAGATTATAAGCCACTGCCACTCTATGGACCGTTTTCAACCCTTTTTCTCTTTTCTTTCTGAAAGTTTTTTCCCCCCTCAATTTTGTTGTCCGTTAAAGTTCGTAATCACCTTTTTTAAAAATCAAACTTTTCTTTACAAATTGTCGATCTGGTCACAAGAAACTTCCTCTGTGTTTCTTCTGTCCCAATCGCCACTTTACATTTCAGTGCAATCATCTTGCTGAGCGATATTTTTTCCTTTAATAAGTGAGGAGACGTGAGTATTATCGATAAAGCTGGTTTTTCCGATTTTAGAAATTTAAATGCTTAGCATTGAAACAGCGTCTTAATTAATTCTTTTATGTCAAACATGATATAAGTGGATTTCCTGCCAAAATTTCGTGAAAGAATAATTTATAATGATTTTTGATATTTTATCGGCCGGGAGATACTTTTGCAGTTTAGTTCTTTTTTTCTTTTTTTTTTAGATTCAAAGGAAGATCCCTGAGAGTAAAATAACGAATAATCATTCATCATCCATCATTAAGCAATAATAACTAGGAGATAACGAATAACCCATGATCACGAAAATCATGCATGGGATACAAAATCACTAGCATATTTCAATAATTTAATCTCATGGCCATTCTGAAAATCTAATTAATCAATTGCATCTTCGCAAACCCAAAGCAGGCGATGAAAACTATGGCATAGTAATTAACGTGCGATAACTTAGTTCCTATTTTAAAATAGAACATTTTGCAAATATCTTACGCAATAAATATACACAAATATGTGATTCTTCCAGCAATATCATGGAAATAACGAGGGTATATGTCCACCCAGATTGCCTGACACTTTGTTTGTTCACTGTTAACATGGAACTGGAATCCAATAATAATTATAAAAAAAAAAACTCAAAATTAAGGTGTGCGTTTCATCTTAAACAACGTGAAAATTCCATCTGTTCTAAAAAAAAATATATAGTTAAATTGAGTCTTGGGCTTTTGTTTTGAAAATAGTGTATACATTTCAAAACTCGATGTAAATTTATTTGATGGAAAAATAAGTTATACTATCTTTGCCCTCAGAAAAAAAATTTATATCGAGTTTTAAAATTTTTATTATTTTTAGAACAAATTTTTAAACTCAATCTGAACTTAGAAAAAAAGAGTTGTATATTAAATTTTCAAGTATTCGTTTTTGGCAGTGTCTCTATTGAGCATTTTGTGTAGGCTGACGCCATTATCAACGGTTGCATCATTTTGGGTAGTTATTCCCAGCATCTTTTGGTATTTATTTATTTAACCGGTTAGTTGGTTGCTTATCCTTCTTCCTTACCGAAGATTAATCAAAATTGGACATGAAATTGATTGGTAAATAAAAAAAATTAAGACAGTGCAATTACAACTCGGCAAATGTCGTCCTACGTACTTCGTTTGTGAATGTTAATAAAAAATGAACTTAGGATATAGCCCTTTAGGCTTTTTCCCAGTGGATTTAGCAAATTTCTGGCAGCAGCATTTGCCTAGTTTGCCGGCAGGGCATCGTTGTCATCCCCTGACCAAATGACCCCAGCGACAAATGTAAACCACGACGGGTGGTGCTGACATGGCCATCACCCGGGCCCCGCTTGTCTCGTCTCCGTGGAGACAACGTGACGTCAGTGGTCCCCCCCCTTTGTCCCTGGTTTGCCATACAAACCCGAATGACAAAAATATTTTCCATGTCCCAACCACTGCTGAAATCCGTCAAAGTGGTTCCAAAGGAAAAATTACAGACGATCTCTATTCCATTTCCACGTGGAATCTGGCGTCAAAAAACCTATCGAGATTGCCACATTTTCTTTTCCTCCCTTAATCCCTCTTTTCACTATAAAAAGGGATCACCCTCCACAACTTCAAAACCCACACCTTAAGTTTGAATTCCACAAAAACCAGCCATTATCTATCGAAGAATTAGAATTTGGCATTTTGAAGTGTTCCATTAATTTTTCTTTGTTATTTTATTATTTTCCATCGGTGTTCCCCTATTCTTACTGCCGAAAAATGGCCGTTGACTCCGTCCTTTCTTCCCCACTTGGCCCTCCTGCATGCGAGAAAGATGCTAAAGCTCTTCAGTTTATTGAAGAGATGACTAGAAACTGCGACTCCGTTCAGGAGAAGGTTCTCGGTGAAATCCTTAGCCGGAATGCCAATACCGAATACCTTCAAAACTTCAAACTTTTCGGGGCGACCGATCGGGAATCTTTCAAGTCCAAAGTTCCGGTTGTCACTTATGAAGATATTCAGCCTTACATCCAACGTGTTGCTAATGGTGATAAGTCACCGATTTTCTCGTCTCACCCCATCTCCGAATTCCTCACCAGGTATGGTATATACTTATAATATTTTACGCTACTCAATTTGCATATTTCTTTCATGTCATAAAGATTTTTATTGTATTTGTTCCTGAATTGAAATTGAAATTGAAAATTGTATGTAGTTCTGGAACATCTGCCGGTGAAAGGAAATTGATGCCAACAATTCATGAGGAACTGGACCGCAGACAAAAGCTGTATAGTCTGCTCATGCCCGTCATGAACCTGTGAGTACTTTCTATCTTATTAGGACAAAATAAAAGACCATTACCAAATTATTTACTACTCCATAAGTTATTTTTAAAAGATTTTTTGGCCAATTTTCTCGATGGAAACTTTTTTTTTATATATATAATTTACGTTGCTCGAAATTGTACCAACTCTTTGACAAAATTACAAGTAGAAAATTCTACGCAGAAAACAAACTACTCCAAGTAAAACTCTTTTGTCTAATACATACGACGGTTTGAAATTTCTCTGTTGGTTACAGATTCTACCAGTTTTATTTTTTTTAATGCGAAAATAGAAAGTTTTGCCGTAGGAATCTCAATTAACTGATGGAAAATTTCGAAACGACTTTGGTTAACAGATACGTCAAGGATTTGGACAAGGGGAAGGGATTATACTTCCTATTCATCAAGGCCGAAACAAAAACCCCCAGCGGACTCGTCGCTCGTCCGGTGTTGACCAGTTACTACAAAAGCGAACATTTCAAGAAGAGACCCTTTGACCCATACATGGTCTACACCAGCCCTAACGAAACCATTCTCTGTCCTGATTCTTTCCAAAGCATGTACAGCCAGATGCTGTGTGGCCTTCTCATGCGGGATGAAGTCCTCCGAATGGGCGCCGTCTTCGCCTCCGGGCTTCTCAGGGCAATCCGTTTCCTGCAGCTCAACTGGAAACAACTCTCCGACGACATCCGAACTGGAGTCCTAAACCCTAAAATCACTGACCCGGCTGTCAGGCAATGCATTTCGGAGATCCTGAAACCCAACCCGGAACTTGCTGATTTCATTGTCAGGGAATGCCAAGGAGAGAATTGGGCCAGGATCATTCCGAGAATCTGGCCGAATACCAAGTATCTTGACGTGATTGTTACGGGTGCCATGGCCCAGTATATCCCGACTCTTGATTATTACAGCGGTGGGCTCCCACTCCCATGCACCATGTACGCATCCTCCGAGTGTTACTTTGGGCTTAACCTAAAACCCATGTCCAAACCTTCCGAGGTTTCTTACACCATCATGCCGAACATGGGATACTTCGAGTTCCTCCCCCACAACCCGGCCAACCCGTGTGAGCTTTCCAAGGACAAACCACCCAAACTCGTTGACCTTGCCGACGTGGAGCTCGGCAAGGAATACGAGCTGGTCATCTCAACTTATTCCGGGCTCTGCCGGTACCGTGTCGGCGACATCCTGCTTGTCACCGGATTCCACAACGCAGCACCTCAGTTCAAGTTCATCAGGAGAAAGAACGTTCTGCTGAGCATCGACTCCGACAAGACCGACGAAGCCGAGCTGCAAAGAGGGATTGACAATGCGTGCGCGCTGTTGCGCGAATTCGACACGAATTTGGTCGAATACACCAGCTACGCTGATACGAAGGTGATCCCGGGTCACTACGTGATTTACTGGGAGCTCCTGGTGAAGGATCCGACCCGGACACCTACGGATGAAGTGTTGAACAAATGCTGTCTGGCTATTGAGGAGGAGCTGAATTCAGTGTACAGACAGTGCAGAGTGGCGGACAATTCGATTGGACCACTTGAGATAAGGGTCGTGAGAAACGGGACGTTTGAGGAATTGATGGATTATGCGATTTCCAGGGGCGCTTCCATCAACCAGTACAAAGTGCCGAGGTGCGTGAGTTTTCCACCCATCATGGAGCTGCTTGATTCGCGAGTGGTGTCCACGCACTTCAGCCCATCTGCCCCCTTTTGGACCCCAGAACGACGAGACATCCAGTAATGAATTAAAATTCGATGTGTAATCATAATAATAATGTTGGATTTGGATACAAAAGATGACGTTCGTTCGGGTTGAAAAGTGCCAACAACAAACCATGCATGCTGCTCAATTACCATGGACCGAAGACAAAATTGAAGAGGTCTTTTTTTTCTTTTGTTTGATTTGTTTTTTTATTGGTCTGTCTTTTGACGTTGCAGCAGTGGGGGAAAAGAAAAGGGAGACTTGGGGTTTGCTTTTGGTTGATGTTAATTAGATAGGTTCAAATAATCTGCTGCTGTTTGGCATATGGTGGTTATTTTTTTTAGTTTTTAATGTAATTATTATTATTATGATGATGTAACATGAGCCTGTTGACTACTGTATTACCTTTGGTCTCCGTCTTCTTTGTTCAAAGTCTCTGCTGCAAAGTATGACAACAAGCTTAACAAAGTGGTAACAAAGAATTGGACCAACCCATTTTCTCCATTAAAGTGGAATTTTCAACAGACCAATCACCAAGCAAAGATCCTAATGACAAAAGGTTGAACAAACAAAAAAGAAAGTGTACAACTGTACAAAATCTGTACTACTTGTCTTTGTCTCTCCTCTAAGTCTAAAGCCACCATGCACTATATCTTTAGTCTTTATCTGCATGGTTCTTTTGGGCACGTGCTAGGTGATGTTATCGTGTGTTACGTTCTTTAATGGCTTAAGATTTTGGATCGTTTTGTTTCCTTCAATCCATTTGTTCCATCTCTCCACCCAATATTCTTTTTTCTTTTGCGTGTAATAAATCTCAATTGATAACGATTAGTATATCTGTTGATTTACTTTCAGCTTCAGCTAACAACGTCTCGACCCTATAGTTAACCATTCGTCAATGTCCTTCGAAATTCTTGGAAGCATATTAATGCTAAAGCCTAAATGTATAAAGTCATGTGGATTCTTGGATCCGTTTATACGTCATTGACGAGAACCCACATTAATTTAGATTTTATTATAAAAAAAAAGATCCGACATAACTTCACGACAGTGATCACTCAGGTCTCAGGGCTTGGTGATGGAGACTTTTTTTATAAGCCTATATATTCAAAGGAATTTCATATATTGAATTTTATCTATATTACCAGTTATCCGGCTTACAAGTTTTCATTCATTAAAAAGATAATCTTTTTTATTTTCAAGTATGGAATGAGTCAAAATCATTCATCATAGCTGCCGCTTAAATTTTGACACCGTTATAACCGTGATATTCCAGTGGTTGGTCATTTAGAGCACCTTCGATCAATTTGGATCTGCACCAGATCCAATCCGATTCGACATTTCATTTCGGCACGTACGGCATCCTCTATCTACTCTTCTATTACAGTGTATACTATACAATTCGATAATTACCATTCATAATAATTTCGAAAGTATATAGTACTATTTTAGAACTGAACTGAATTGAGCCAAATTTCATATCGGTTTAGATTTGATGGGGCAATCCAAAATTCCGAACTAATAATCAAAATGGAGTTATTATACTGTTTACAGTAAGTGTATCTAACTAGATGTACTTAAGACTCCTTTTTTATTATTTAATAACGGAAGAACTTCATGTATAATATAGAAGCCCATGGGGTTCCACCTCAAAACCAATTGGCAATGAGGGGAGTAACCCATGATGCTTATATACTGATACAAAGTGTCTCCAGACACCAATGTGGGATAAATACTTCAACACTCCCCCTCAAGCCCAACGGGCTTGGACTAACTCACCAGGATCAGGAAATAAACCGTGGAATAACATCACGGCGCGGAATAACGTCGCGGACTTAAATTTGACCACGGAATAACATCGTGGGCTTAAAATCACCACAGCCTGAGCCCGCTCTGATACCATATAGAAGCCCATGGGGTTCCACCTCAAAACCAATTGGCAATGAGGGGAGTAGCCCATGATGCTTATATACTGATACAAAGTGTCTCCAGACACCAATGTGGGATAAATACTTCAACATATAATTATTTAACATGCTTTCTTTTTTTTTTCCAATGCACGTGTCCCATCCCCTTAATTTTAGAAAATAAATTTTAAAAATTTCTTTTATCTTCAAATGATTTTATTTCTTAATCCGTAATGATCTAAACAAGTGTCTTATATCATTTTGATAGTACTGAATGAGATCTATCCAACAAGATCCATTATGAATATGTTTTTCGAAACTTTAAAAAATTTATGCAGATAGTTTGGTCATCTTAAAAGACGTTATGGTCTTACTTGTGTTTTTTAGGACTAAGACCTAGAGCAAACACCAAAGACCAAAGGCCAAAGACCAAAAACCAAAGAGCAAAGACAAAAAACCAAAGACCAAAGATCAAAGTGAAGAGCGAGGGTGTGTGAGGACCAAAGACCAAAGACCAGAGTGAAGAGCGAGCGTATGTGAAAAACAAAGACCAAAGACAAAAGGCTAAGAAACAAAAAATCGAAAACTAAAGATCAAAGACCAAAGACCAGAATGAAAGCGAGTGTGTATAAGGAGCAAAGACCAAAGACCCATGGCCAAAAGACCAAACTATGCCCTAACCTACACGGAAATGCTTAAACCCCCCTAAACCCTAAACCCTAAACAAGTAGATACTAAACGACATGAAAATAGTTAAACCCTCCTAAACCCTAAACACACTAATTTTTTTTGGTTTGATTTTTTTAAAATTAAAATATAATTGGTTTTAAAAAATTTATAAGGTTAATCGTGTTACGTCACAAACTAGGCCCTAACCGACACGAAAATGCTTAAATCCCCCTAAACCCTAAACCCAAAACAACTAGACCTTAACCGACACGGAAATGGTCAAACTCCCCTAAACCCTAAACATACTTTTCTTTTCTTGGTTTAAATTTTTTTAAACAAATTAGGCTAGGGTTTTGGTTTGAAAAAATTTATAAGGTTAATCGTGTTACGGCACAAACTAGGCCCTAACCGACACGGAAATGCTTAAACCTCCCTAAACCCTAAATCCTAAACAACTAGACCCTAACGACACGGAAATGGTTAAACCCCCCTAAACACACTATTTTTTTTTTTGGTTTAAATTTTTTTAAACCAAATAGGCTAGGGTCTCGTAAACCTCCTAAACCCTAAACATCTAGACCCTAATCGACACAGAAATGGTTAAACCCCCCTAAATCCTAAACACATTTTTTTTTTGTTTAAATTTTTTTAAACCAATTAGGCTAGTCCCTAGCCTAATTGGTTTAAAAAAATTTATAAGGTTAAACGTGTTACGGCACAAACTAGGTCCTAACCGATAAAGAAATGATTAAACTCCCTAAACCCTAAACCACTAAAACCTAACCGACAAGAAAATTCGTAAACCCCCTAAACCCTAAACACACTAATATATTTTCGATTTTTTATCTTTGACCTTTAGTCTTTACTCCTCACACACGCTCGCTTCTAATTCTGGTCTATGGTCTTTGCTCTTTGGTCTTTAGTTTTTTGTTTTTGGCCTTTGGTATCTGGTCTTAGGCTTTCGGTCTTTGGTCTTTGGTATTTGGTCGTTGGCCTTCGGTCTTTGGTCTCTAGTCTTTGGTCTTTGGTCCCTGGTATTTGATCTTTGGTTTTTGGTCTTTTGTCTTTGCTCCTCACATAACTCTCGCTCTTTTACTCTTGTCTTTGGTCTTCGGTTTCTTGGTCTTTGGTCTTTGGTCTTTTATCATTATTCCTCACACACGCTCGCTCTTTACTCTGGCTCTTTATTCTATTCTTTGATCTTTGCTCTTTGGTATTTAATTTTGATTTTTGGCCTTTGGCCTTTAGTCTTTTTTGTAGGTGGTGCTAAGAGACACAATAAGACCAGAATGTCTTTTAGTAAGACCAAGGCTACTGCATAATTTTTTTTATAGTTTTGAAAAACATATTCATGAGCGATCTTATTGGATAGATCTCGTCGAGTATTATTAAAATAATATAAGACACTCGGTCTAATTATTTACGGATTAAGAAATAAAGTGATTTGAAAATTTATGAAATTTTTAAAACCCAATTCCTAAAATTAAGGGGAAAGGATGCGTGAGTTGCACATAACTCATAAAGACTTGCATGTTTACCCCTCTTTTCCTATACTAATTATCAAATAAGGGTTTATGTGTATCTAGCTACATGCACTTTGTATAATTTTCGATCAAGATGCACCGTCCGTACAAGTTCCGTCCGATAACAATAAGCCCAAATAAATAAGCAATGTTCTGGGCCCATCTAATCACAATTCAGGAAGATAGTTTTTTTAATCACAATTTTTTAATAAGCCCAAATCACTAAGCATTTGTTTGGGCCATAATTTATATATATAATGATAATATTTACTTCCCGAAAAAAACATTCTAAAAAAAAAACCCTAAAGAGATTGTTCTTTTTTTTTTAATCTTTTTTGGAAAAGAAAAAGATTGTCCTTACAATTCGAACTCCACAGTAAACACTACCAAACTGGTGAATACGAACATTTCTCTGACCTGAAATAATTGTACAATTTAGATTTTTATTTTTAATAATTATTATTCTGAAATAGAAATATAAGCAAAACAATCATTTAAAAATAGAAGGAGTCATCATGCTCTTTTAATTGGGGCGACACCAGCAGAAATCATCAAAACAAGGGTATACTTGATTCATTAGGTTTATCATCAAGTATTCAAACATGTTAGCAAATTGGTGAGTTGTAGGTAGTATACAGTAGGCCTACCTAAATTGATGGTATTTTGTGCCTTTTTAATCTCTAAAATGAATGTGCCTAAAGTGCGATTTCCTCAAGAAAGATATCCAAGAAATAGTTGCAAGCTATGCCATTGTCATTCCTGGTAAATCAAACTATAAATAGGTCCCTTTCAAAAAAAAAAAAAAACTATAAATAGGTGAGTATAGTTTCGTTATTTATTTGGTTTAAGGTTAGTGTAGTTTCCTTCTTAATCATTCTTAATCATTCTATTCATAAACATTTTATAACTTATATGGCTAAAGCAAGACAAAATATTTTTTTTAAAAAAAATAATTACTAATTCTACAAGTTCACCAGCTGGATCAATTCCCTTAATCCTCCTATTACCAATCCTCAAATGTCAACATAAATTATTTGCATAAACGCAGACTTTGTTTTAGTTATCGGGATAAATTATTGTAATAGAGCTCTCAACGACTTGGATCAAATCAAGATACCACGTCGCATCTCTTTTTTTTTTTATTGCGTTTTTTTTTAAAAAAAATAATAGTGACGGACTAAGAATACGATAATGAATAACTTTTTTTTTTTTTGAAAGTCTAGATGATATGAATTAGTTTGGTAAGGGACCTTCAATTATCTGTACTGTACATGCTCCCAATTTGTCAACCAATTTCACAAAACAGTCTGTTTAATTTCCGCCTGTTACCATTTCGCTTTCGACGTCAATCCAGTTTTCTTCTACGACTAATTCAAAAGATTGTTCCTCCTTGTTTGGGGTAAAGTCTCAAGAGTTCTTGACATTATCTAATTTGCAGCTGTTTTTTATATGCTTGTGCCGATGTTTGGGACCAAAGAGATCGCCAACCATTCAGAACAGAACAACGCAGCGATGTCTTTTTTTTTTCCCTCAACTGATTCTCTGCGATTATCAAAGGCAGTTGAGAGGAAAAACTAGTTTCACCTAACAGTCTTGGGATACAATTCCTAATCTCCCTTCATCTCTTGACTTCAGCGAATTCTGCACTTATACCCAGTATAATCTAGTCCTTTAGTCCCTTATCTGGTGATAATCATTCCCTTTTCTAGCTATACCATTCTGAAACAAAGCTCCTCTGTTTTTTGACGTTTCTCCGACCATTGAGCGACTCTGCAGCGTACGTGGCCGGCTATATTAAGGTAAACTCTTACGAACACTCTTGTCTATCAATTTATTGCTGGTTACAATTCTGCATTTAGTATCTGTTCACATTTGATTTTGGGCTTGAATGGCTGAAATTCTCTCTTGCACATTGAATTCCTCAGCTTCTTCTTGGTCAAAAAGTTGTTGGAGGCTGTGAGCTAAGGAATGTTGGTAATCATTTTAAAAAGATTGAAATTAAAAAGATAGATAGAAGAATAAATTCTTTCACTTTCAATAGGAAAAGTAAAAGCTGGGTTTCCATCCTTTTCTTCGCACTTGTATTTCATTATAAGAAGAGTGCTCCAAAAGCAATAGTCTTTAGATGCTTAAGTGCACGCCTCACACTTCAGAATCTCTCCGTTAACTAATAGGAATGAACTGAAATTTTAATATTTTTTGCAGAAATTTATAGAGGACTAATCAGAGGGGTTAGGAGGGGAGAGACAGGCGAAGAAATGTTATTTGGCCATAGCATTTCTACAACTACAGATGATGATCCGCTACATTTCATCCTGGTAAAACATGATGTAAAGAAACTAATCTTTTCCTTTTTCTATTCTTTTTTGCTTAACCAGCAGATTCTGTGATTATAAATTTGACGTATTTTGAGTCTTTTGCTGATTGTAGAACAATCAGACAGAATGGGACATCACCATTGCTGCTTGCCGCCTGCTATTTTATGTCGCAATTATGAGTAAGTTGCTTACGAACTACGGCTAATCTTACTTCAATTAGTTAATTATTAGGCCATTTCTTGTTTCTTGACGACAAAGGAGAATGCTCTTTCATCCAAATGTTGCTTACGGATCTTGTGATCTTAATTTTCATGTCAAAGCAAAGAACTATGTCTACTTACCCTGAACAATCAAAATCGTTTCTTACAAGCTACACCACCATGATTCAAGGAGTAATACCAAATTTATTTGTCGTTGCTTGTTTAGCTTTTCTGCTGATGATAGTTGCCCTGATCGTAAAACTTCTGAAAAGCTTCGATGAAGAGGATAGCAGCCCCGCAAGCGGCCAAGTTCGGGTTGCAACCGAAACTAACAGACTATTACCAAAAGAGGTAGTTCAATTCTCCTACGGAACATGTGAAGGAGAAGATGATGATGAAGAATCTGGAAAATGCAGCAGCAACGCGTCGGGAGACCTTTATGATGGAAAGATTTGTGTAATTTGTTATGATCAACAACGAAATTGCTTCTTCATCCCTTGTGGGCACTGTGCCACTTGTCACATTTGTGCAAAAAGGTACAAAGTCGTGCTTATATATCATCAACACATTGAATCAACTCCTCCATGAAAAAGTTTCATAAGGAGAGCTTTAATTTGGTGCAGGATTGTAGAACTGGAAAGCAAGACTTGCCCTGTATGCCGGAGATACATTCACAAAGTAAGGAAGCTGTTCATTCCTTGAGAAATCGTAATCTCGTCCGTTACCGGAAAAAATGAATTGTAATTTTGTAAATAATTGTATAATTTTTATTTTTATTTTTTTGGATATCATCTAAATGGTAAATACACGGCCTTTATTATTGGCCATATTTGCTTTGTAGTATAGTAGTAATACATGTATGAGTTGGGCATTCTTTTTGCCCTTGAATTCAGGAAATCACAGATTTCTCTGGGCTTGATGCTATTTTGGGCTTTTTATCCCAATTCATTTTTTTAAATAGCCCATTTCATAGCGTAAATAATTGTCTCATTTATATCTATTTATAAATTGTTTATAAATGTATACATATGTACATTAAATTTAGATTACATTTTCCATTTGGTTAGTGATATTGCCAGGTCAAGTTTTAGACTAAAGGGTAAAATTTAAGTTTCTTGCCTAAAATGCCCTTATAAAGTCAAACTTATTTTTTTTCCCCTTTTCCTGTTCCTGAAAAGTGAGATCCATCGCTCATCTCCGCCGACTAAATTGATTTCTCTTCCTATACATCGCTCTTTCTCACCATATCACCTCTTTTTTCTTTACACCACATCCGGCGGAGGATAAACCTGTTGAGATCTCATGAGTCATGGCCAAGGAGAGAGTTTTCCTCTATAGTTTTTGCCTTTTTGGAGACTAATCCCGGGTGGTTTTCGTTTGGCCAGAATTGAGATGAAAGATAAGATCCATAGGTAACAATTTTACTTTATTTTGAGCGATTCTCATAAAAAAGTGAATTGGAGTGAAATACTGTTGATTATTGATGTGAGATGTGTAAAATTTTATTTTTCCTGCTTTATCTGGATTAAATTAGGATTGAATTGGATTGTCCTCCGCCTCAGCATTGAAGTATATGTCGGAATTTCTAGTTCGTCTTTGCACCACTTTTGTGAGAAATTCTCGGAAAATATTTATCAAGATCATGAGATATGCTTTCCAAAAACAGTCTGAACAACTTGAAATATTTTGAAATCTCAAGAAAACTGATTGGAGCGGCTCTGAAACAATTGCCTTATTTTGATTCCGGTCAAAATCTCGTAGTTGTTGCTGGCTCTTTGACGGCTTACCTACTTTCCAAATTCAATTTTGGTACTGACATCTTGTCCAGCAATGATGCAGTACCAGCCATATATTGCCGTCTGGAAGTTGAATTGGGGAATGAGAAACCGAATTCACTCAAGAACGTGAATGCTGGAGATAAATTTTTCGGGTAATGTTTATGCGTTGATTTACATTGGCGGATATTTTAAGAACCATAAAATTCGACGGTTGTGCCGGGAGCTCTGTAACGGAGGAAGGAATAGTCCTGAAAATAATAGAAATCGAGTACTTTGAAGACAATCGCCGACAATTCGCAAGTAGAAGTTTGACTATATAAGGAATTTTTGGAGAGAAAGGTAAACTTTGTCCTGGCGGCTAAAAATTGACCTGGCAATATCGCCACCCTTTTACTTTTTATGGATTTTTATTTTCAAAGTAAATAAATGATGGCCCAAGAAATAAAAGCATCTTAACTCTTATAGACCATGCAATTTTTAGAAGGAAAAAAATCCAAGAGGTAAATTGCCTTGATAAAATTATTAATACAAAAAGATGCTAACCTGCAATAATTGTCAAAACTCTCTCAGGCCCTTAGTATAAGGCATTTTAATTTTTCATAAATTTTATTTTGTATGTTCTTTCAAACTAAAACTTTAAAAATATTTAATAATAATTATGAGAATATAATAAATGTAAAAAATATATTTTTAAGGCTTTAATTTCAATTAGAAGAATATCGTAAATGAATTTAGAAAAAATTAAAATGTCTTATAATAAGGATAAAGATAGGAGGAAATATTTTTTTAATAAAAATCCAATGGAATTGAATTAAGGTGCAAAAAATGACTACGCAAATGTATTTTGGATTTGTAAATCACATCTCAATTGAGGTTAAAAAGGAACAGAATCATATAATGTCGACACATGAGAAAATGAATTAAGATGCAAAAAATGATGGGGCAAAGATATTTTGGATTTGTACATCACGGGACTCGATCGTACTCATCAAATGAGGTGGAATCACAATGTCGACATAGTAGAAGGATAGGATGCGTACCCTTTACAAAGGACAAAAAATGAGAGTGACGAGTGATACTAATCAATATCGATATGTTTTGTTTAACGGAAACAACAGCCATCCCTCCAGCAAGATAACACCATTCTCATCTGGTACAGACCATCTAGAACTTCAATCTTCAACTTAAGCCTAACTTTGAGGACGACAGCATGATAATTATTAGTCTAGTGTTTCAATTAATGAACAAATGTTCAACAAATTTCTATCACTGTCTAATTCCTTACTTGATGATACTACATGTGACCAAAAAAATAATACACATTAAATTTTGAGATTTGCACTATTTTCAGTATAATCTCAAAATTCATTTTATTTTTTTTTTTAGGATAGAAAGAGTATATCTCTATCCCTTCCTGAAAATTTCATCCAAACATTTGTTTCTTGCACTCTAAAAATTAAGTATTGTAAATTCAAGTTTGATAGTCTATGTTTAATTAAGATAATAATTCTAATAATGAGGTGTATGGTACTAATAGAATATCTCACCTATTCTTTTATCAGGTCACGAGTTAGAACAACTCCTATGATAAATGGAGAATAAACTATAATCCCTGGGACAAAAAAAATGAATAAAGAAGTTGCAAATATGATGAGCAGGAGAATGATTTATGAGGATGCTGGGTCAAAAATAGAAGGAGAATTAAGTTTTGGGCCCCAAATGACGAAGTTTGTGTTGGAATGTGGAGGGGAAGAGTGAGTGGGCTTTGGGCCGTATTGTTTTTAATCCTGAAAGCGTAATAACCACTAACCAGGGAGGACTCGTGGGGGAAGTAGGACCAGCACGATAACGACACGCTTTAGCTTGAGGCGCCCACACAGCCAGCGGTTGCAGTCCTCAGCTTTGCAGCTTCCTTTTTGTAGCCCTTTACGTGGTTCCTGTGGCTCGGACTCCGAATTCACCGTCAGCCAGTTCGAATTAAATAAATTAATGAATAAAAAGTAATCATTTTACCACCGTGACGGTGGGGTCCACCAGAGTTTTCCTTTGGGAAAAGGCTTTTAGAACCGCTGGGAGTTGTTCCCAGTTTCCACTTTCCACAATGCTGATGAACTCGTGTGACTGTGAACCTTTTTAAAATCTACGAAATCTGCTGAGTAAGATGTCTGTCTATCTGTGTTGGAATGTTGACTTGGACTGACGACTTGCACTTTGATGGGCACCAAATTAATATTCTGATTCGATGTTTCTATTTGTTTGATTTTTTGGATGTTTTTTTCAAATTATTTTAATTATAAATGTCTCATTACAACATATATTTTTACATTGTTAATATACTTTTTTATATTTTCAATACAAAAAATACTTAAAAACACACACTAAAAAAACAAAACAAACATACCCTCAAGTACTACTAAAATAAATAAGAATTCTTTTAGAGAAACAGTCAAGTCATTCCCAGAATTTATCTTGAATACTACAAATTGGGCAAATTATGTGGTACACCCGGGGGCACCGTATACCCCTCTGCGCGTGTAATTTACTTTTTTAGAATAGTGTGAGTTCGCTAGATAATTTCTCTTTCTTTTTCTTTTTTTTTTTAAACGCGTGTGGATAACCAGTGTTCACCATGTGGATAACCAGTATTGGTTGTTGGCACTATGGATAACCAGTTACACACAACTGGATAACCATTATTAACCTGTTGGATAACCGGTATGGATATAGTGGATAACCAGTGTGCACATTATGGATAACTAGATACACATAGCTGGATAACTAGTTGTCAAATTTTATTTTTTTCCTTTTATATTTTTCTTGGATATCCATGTCCATATTTTTACACTGGTTATCCAGTTGTCCCTCATTCATTTTTTGTTCTCCATTATTTGACAAACTTCCCCTCATTCAATTAAATACTATTTTATGAAATTTGTCATGTTCGGCATGGAGGCGGCACATCCGCGAAAGGCGGCGCAGCCGGGTCGTTTAGTTTATCACGGGGAATTTATACAAGTAATTTGTGTCCCCTCTATACGCAATAACACACTCTCCTTACACACACACACACGAGAAAATGATTACCTTAGCAACATTGGCGTGTTCGGCGGGGCGGCGCAGCCGGGGCAGGTTGGTGACCTGCGATTTCGGTAGCCGCGGGAGTCGTTTAGTTTATCATGGGGGGCGAAGCCCCTCAATTAACATGTCGTACTGGTTATCCACAAGTTGTAAACTGGTTATCCAGAAGATGTAAACTGATTATCCAATGCTCTGTATTGATTATCCAGGACTTTTGTACTGGTTATCCAGGCAATGTGCAGCAATATCCAACCGTTTGTAATGGTTATCCAGGATCTTTGTACTAGTTATCCAACTTGTTACACCTGATTATCCGAATGTTTTATAGTGATTATCCAGTAAAAAAAAATGCAAGTACAACATTCAATGTAAATGTGAAAAATATTAAGCGCGTGTAACGCGTGTGTTTGGTGGGGTATACGGTATACCCGAGTGCACTGGATATGGACTCCTACAAATTGTGCTTCTCGAATCAAAGGGGTGTCAAGAAATTTTTTTTTTTCTGATTAATAAACTGCACTTTTTCTTTTTTACTTTTTTTCCTTTTTGAAGTTTACTTTTCATACTGAAGATCATCTATATCGCAAGTGAAATAGTAGAGTAAGAATACATTAACCCAAAAGAAGATAAGAATACACCAGTAATCAGGACTCGGAAGCAACGACTGTAATTTTCTTTAATTAATTTGCTGTCGTAAAACCCAATCTCCAAAGCATACATTTACGCACTCATGCTTTCGTTGGAGAATATTTCGAAATAAACTAACTTACCATAAAGAAATACTACACAATTATTAATCAAATCGGAGATGATGTCATTTCATTCTCTCACAACCTAATCCAAGACAGTAAAATTGGAAATGCGTCAATTTCCTAACTAAAAAAGTAAGAAAAGAGAGACTTAAACAAATAGTAACATCCAATTAATTTTTCCCAAAGGAAAAAATCTATAAATCATCAACCTGACTTTCATCATTTTAATTTACTATTGCGTCTCTCTAATTGCTTCATCTTTCCTCACTTAAAAAACATCCGCCTCGCGTTTTGCTTCACTCCTGCACGTGCCCCCATTGCAAATCTGTTGTCAGAGAAATTCCAACCCCATCCCAAACTCAAACGTTGTTAAAATCCTAAATTAACACAAAAGGAAAAGGTTAAAAACAATGCAACAAATGACTGGTTACTATAGTTTATGAATTTTTATTATCTTAGCATCCTTCCTGCTCAATTCAACAGAAAAGAAAAGAAAAGAAAAAAAGAAAGAGCTCCCTTTGTTCGGTTGCCTCTTCGTCATCTATCGAAGAGACTTGAGAAAGTAAGGAACCTAAGACCCCATCACAATTTTGTTGATATTTTGACACCTCTGTTTGATTATTTGTCAATCCATCATCAGTCCGAATTCGAGAACTCCCTTAAAAAAAGGGCCTTACACCCACTATCCTACTCACTCATCTTCCTATCCTGTATCCTGTTCTTGTTGTTTGCTTGGATGCTCCGGAAACTGTGAAAAATAAGGACAAAAGAAAAAAACAAAAAAATGCCCACCGAGCAAGAGCATCAGAGGTTGTTGAGGGACCCACTCATTGATTCCGACGAGGAAGAGAGGGCGTACGATTCATCGGAAAAGGTTCACATAGTCGGCGTCGATGACGATGACTATGACGGTTACGCCACCGCGACGCCGCCATTCTCCTGGAAGAAGCTCTGGCTCTTCACTGGGCCTGGGTTCTTGATGAGCATAGCTTTCCTTGATCCGGGTAACTTGGAAGGGGACCTTCAGGCGGGTGCCATTGCCGGGAATTCATTGCTCTGGCTGCTGTTGTGGGCTACCGCTATGGGCCTTTTGGTCCAGTTACTCTCAGCTCGGCTCGGCGTGGCTACTGGCCGGCACTTGGCTGAGTTGTGCAGGGAGGAATACCCCACTTGGGCTAGGATGCTGCTGTGGATTATGGCGGAACTTGCTTTAATTGGGGCTGATATTCAGGAAGTTATTGGCAGTGCTATTGCTATTAAGATTCTGAGTAATGGTTTGTTGCCCCTTTGGGCTGGGGTGGTTATCACTGCCTTGGATTGGTAATGTGTTTTTTTTTTTTTTTTTTGGGTTTCCCTTCTTTCTCTGGTTTGATCGGTGAATTTGTTTCTTTTTCGGCTCTTTTCAGTTTTTTTTTTTGGTTATTATCATTGATGTTGCAGTTAAAAAGCCTAACTTTAGTCCTGTTAATAAATGTTAATAAGGTGATGCATCCTGTCATCCATTTCTGTGGTTTTTAAGTTTGAATGGTTTGATGTGAGAGATGCAAATTCCACATGCTGATTCACTGGTTTACTGCTATAAACAAGGATTTACTTATTCTGGCTGTTCTTCATTGTTGTGTACTGTTGTAAAATATTCATATCCCAAATTGCCTATATTTTTCTGCCAGAAAAAGTTACCTGCTTGGGATTTTTACTCCCTCTGTCCCTAGAAACAAGTCTCCATTTTAAACATGTTTTTGCAATAAAATTGAAGTCTTTCTGCTTGTTTTCCTACCCCTATTTTACTAGTATCTGGTTACATCTGGTTGGTACAAGTAGGAAAATTGTTATTGATAACTTGTGGAACTTGCCTCAAATTTCATTTGTTTTACTTTGATTCTCTGGTTATTGGCTTTAATGGAATTGGTGGAGTATTTATGTTTGCTGTCTGATACTTTATTTTGGGACGAGGGGAGCTGGGGCTCTTTGTTAGGTGGCTGAGGATGGATCCTCTAGGGAGGTTGCCCTGTCAACTTTGAAATGCTTTCGCTTTTAGTCCATTTAAGCACACGATTTTATTCTGTCGTCATCAGTCGGCCCCTTTATGAAAACATTTACCTTCGTGCTGACAGTTCTAATTCATTTTTCTGCAGCTTCATATTTCTTCTTCTTGAAAACTATGGTGTGAGGAAACTGGAAGCCTTATTCGCCGTTCTCATCGCCACCATGGCACTCTCATTCGCTTGGATGTTTGGTGAAACAAAACCTAACGGTGTCGAACTTCTTATTGGTGAGACACGTGTCGTTATTCCTAGATTTTCTATTGGCGCTAAATAAGCCGTTAATGTTACAACACGTGTCTAAACTTATACCGGTTCATTGTAGGAATTTTGGTTCCGAAGCTAAGCTCCAAAACCATAAAGGAGGCTGTTGGAGTTGTAGGTTGCATCATCATGCCCCACAACGTGTTTTTGCATTCTGCTCTTGTCCAGTCAAGAGAGGTTGACAGCCGTAAGGTAGGAAGGGTCAGGGAAGCTATCAAGTACTATTCCATAGAGTCAACAGCTGCTCTTGTGGTTTCTTTCATCATCAACCTGTTTGTTACGACGGTGTTTGCAAAAGCATTTTATGGTACCGAACAAGCAAAGGATATTGGACTTGTAAATGCTGGCCAATATCTTCAGGATAAATATGGTGGGGGTTTGCTGCCTATCCTGTATATTTGGGCGGTCGGATTGTTAGCTGCTGGACAAAGTAGCACCATTACCGGCACCTACGCTGGTCAGTTTATCATGGGAGGTTTTTTGAACTTGCGGTTGAAAAAGTGGCTAAGAGCACTGATCACAAGAAGCTGTGCCATTATTCCAACCCTAGTTGTTGCTCTTGTTTTTGATACATCTGAGGCATCACTGGATGTTCTGAACGAGTGGTTGAATGTGCTTCAGTCGGTTCAGATCCCATTCGCCCTTATTCCTCTCCTTTGTCTGGTGGCCAAAGAAGAGCTTATGGGCGTTTTCAAGATTGGTCCCATGGTTAAGGTTTGTTTCTGGCTTAAAATTTGTTACCAATATCTTTGCGTACAATCATTCATTATCATTCATTTATTCGTATGTTTGTCATTGGAATATGGTGATCCTGGTAATGACGATGATAACTCTAACCAGTAATGCTAACAGAGAACCAGCGGGTCTGGGGAGCCCTTTATACAATGATCTCCACTTGATTTTAGGTTTAGGTTAATATGTGCTACCTTTGGCTGTTCCACTCGTAACCAAGTAGTCAGCAGTTGTCATGATTAGCAATATGGATATCCGCATCATTTGTGCATACCACTTCACTTTTTTTACATGTTTATAGGGATTGGAATTGAACCTTGATTTTGCGAATTTGTGAAAAATGAGATCTGTTTTTTGGAGTAAATTTCTGTTAGCATAAACCCACTGTCCTTGTTGGGTCGTAATTTATTTTAGTTGTTGGAACGAAGTAAGAAGTGTTCCAGCGCTTTCTTTGGATATTCTAAGTTGCTGCTAACAAAACTTAGTTAAATTCTAGTTTTTTTTAGCCATGCTTGAAGCTTAATGTATGGGCTGCTGATCTTTTGTGACTACCTAGTTTGTACTGCTTAAACTTAAATACACAACCACCATTAGTGGACTGATGCAGTTTCCCGTTATTGGTTTGTCAGATATATGGGTTTGTAAGGTTTCATATGTAGTTGACTGCTGATATTTACCCTACTATCTCATGGTTAATCTGTTACTGGATTATCAAATGTACTTGACAACAATAATAATGCTTGATTATGCCCAACATATCAGTTCAGCTTTAATTATTGTTCTGAGAATGATTGCTGATATTTACATTTTGACGTGTAAAACCAATACACTCTGTTTCTAAGATCTATGTTTGTTTGTCTTCTTGCTTGCAGTTGGTTTCGTGGGTTGTGGCTGGACTGATCATTGTCATCAATGGGTATCTCTTGGTTGATTTCTTTTCAGCTGAAGTCAGGGGAGTGGTACTTTCAACTTTTATGTATGCTTTCACTGCTGGATACGTGGCGTTCATCGTGTACCTTGTTTCACGAGGTTTTTCCTTCTTTGGCTTTTTGACCAAGAGGCTTACAGATGCCTGCAGTTGACGTAACCATAACATAATAAATTTGACAGGCTAAAAGCTACCATTTTGTCGAGAATATATTCAAATGGACCTTTGTTACCGCCTTGGGCGTTGATAGGAATCATTTATGGTAGTAGTAGCTTTGGCGTTCCTATTTTAGTTGTTGTTTAGATAAATATAATGAGGTTACCTGTAATCTTGCAGTTATGATTCCTGTTGTAGTATATCATAAAGATGATAGTCGTGGAAAACAGTTGTCTAAGTGTTGTATATATCCTTTCAGGAACTATACAAGCAGGTTTTATCTAAAAATGTTGCAGATGTGATTGGTTTTCGACCTCTAGATAAAGGGGCAGGACTAATGTTTCTTTGTTGTCCCTTTTAAATTCTGGCTGGTGGTATCTTTCACATTTTGATAGATACACAAACTAAAGATATATTTGGTCACGGTCATGATCATGATCAGAACGATGCAGACTAACAGATAGTGTGCTGGTATGCCACTGAAGTGCAGTTAGTTTTTGCATTTGAGTGTAGAAACCTTGAAGGAGCTTTACTGGTTTGCAAGTTGGATTAGAAGAGGCATGCTGAATGTGAAGGAATCACAAGCAATCCAACAGGAAAATGACCAAAACATGTTGGATTTTGAGGTGGGATGGATACGCTGCTTTGTATGGAGGAAAACAATAAAACAATGGCACTGACTACTCAGAAGTCAGAACTGGGTTCGATTTAGTTGGTAAAACTAATTCCATCTTTCGAGATACTAACTCCTAATCTCCTATCCTTTGCCCAATAAAATAGTATTAGTCTGTCATTACTATTGCTTTAATATTAACCGGCGAAGCGGTTGTTTTCCGTCAAAATGTCTGTCATTTTCCTTTGTTCCCGTAAAGAACTGGAAACCGGAAAAGTAAATTAAAGAGAAAGAGGTAGGTAGAGCTTTTTCTTTTTCCCGAAAACCTAAAAGAATTGTTATAAGGTAAAGAAAAGAGTATGAAGCTTTGAATTGAAAGATTAAACTATGACAATTTGACCTTATAACAATTCGTTTTTTTCTTTTTTCATTTGGCTTGTTCAAGTTTCAACTAGATTGAAAGCAGACTGTTTAGGAAAGTGGACAAGATCGGTACTAATTGTTTTGAAATAGAGAATTAATCATATTATTGTTTAATCATTAGTATTAATTTTCAATGGAGATGGTAGAGGGACGAGTCTGTATTGGTTCAAGATTTCTAGTAGCCAAACTTGAGGAACCTCCTATGAAATGTTCATTTCCAATGAAGACGGTTGAACTTTTTATTCCAGAATGGAGGCTTTTAAAATAGCTATTTTGATTCATAAAATAATCTTTTTGAAGGAAAAAAAAATGAAAACATTATCAAGTGTAATTGACGTCAATAGAAAGTTATAATGACGGAATTAATGACGTATCATAAACCATACAAAAACTTCAATTTAATATCTAACAAATTTTAGCTGAACCCATTTCTTTTAAATATATTTAATTTAGCATAACACATTCGTTTTTATATAAAAAATACTACATAATCCGAATCTAAAGTTCTACAATTGTACCCGCCTTAGAATATCCTACTTGTTTTTACTGAATTTATTAAACTTAATACTCCATCCGTTCAATAACTATTGTCCAGTATGGATTTTCATTTATAGTTTAAATTGTACTAAAATAAAATTTTAATGTGAATAATAATTTTAGGACATAGATAGTATAGTCAAGTTATAAATATAAGACATGAGATGATAAAATGAGACAAATAAAATAACGGAGTTAGTAGCTAACAAATAGTACTATCATATTAATAAAATGAAAATAATATAGAAATTGACAAAAAAAAAAAAACGGGAAACAACGAATGACAGAGGAAACAAGTTGCAGCAGCTGAGCAACAACGAGGAAAATTATTACTGAGTCTTCTTCTTCTTCCGCGGACAAAGCCAGTCTAGGTCTCCATTTCCCTTGCAATTCCACCCCACACGGCGTCGTTTTCTTGCCCAGGTACTTCTCTTACCTTCTCTTCTCCTGTCCGTACTGATCCATCTTCTAGGGTTGTTGGTGCTGCTTCTTTTTTCCCCTTTTTTTTTCAAATATTTTGTGGGTCGGATTTTGTGGCTCTTGCAATATTGTTCATCGCGTTACACTTTCAAAAAAGTTTTCAATTTCAGTTATGACAACTAGTTAGAGGCAAGAGAGCAGAATTATATCTTTTGGAAGCCTAATTTGGTTGCTCTCAATTTTCAATTTTACCTTCTTTTTTTTTAAGGTTAAATTTGTGAATGGGTACGGATGAACTGATTGGCTACTTTCAATTGTTAGCAACCGTTTTTCTTTTAATGTCAGAAATCTCGCCTTTTTGTTTTTCGTTTTTTTAATCTGATTTCTTTCATGTTTAAATGCCTGTAGTATTCCTGCAGTTGACTTTGCTTACTTAGTAGATATTTGGCGAAGTAGTTCATAAGAATAAGTTTTGCCCCAAAAATTTGTTGCAATCAGGCAATTGAAGTTATCGTTTAGCATTAAGAGCTGAAGTTATCATTTAGCAATCAGGCAATTGAAAGTTTTGTTACCTGCAATCTGCAATCACGAGTTTAAAATAATGTTGAAACTAGATATTGTCTACATCTTTGAATTGATTGTCTTTTGTATTTTTTCCATTTTTTGCAGGCTCTAGGACGGCATTCTTTGCATTGTAAACCTCTCTTTATGAGGCTTGAGCCATATTTTGATTTCTTCCTAGCAGTTTGATTGGTTCCGAACATCAGAGCTACATTATAGACGATACATGAAGGAATAAATTATACATCTTTTGTGGCAAATAAGGTACCTAATCTGTTTTGCGTGGATGGGGTTTGGTATTATTGCTTTTCAGCTGAACCTTGTTCTATGTGCATTTAGAAGTAAAAATTATGAGGGAGCCCATTAAACTTCCTGTTCCATCATCTCTCATCTTCAATTAGTATGGTTAGAAAGCGGAGGGATGCATTAATATATAGCTCATTTGATTTTCATGAATAGAATTGACCCAATGCAAGTGTTCTAAGAGTCTCCTTAACATATCAGTTTTAACTCTCTTTGACAAAGCATTCACTTTAAAGAGCCTCTCTGTGCCATGTCTGTCTTTTGTTTGTTGTGGTTCTTTCTCTTCCTTACTGCATTTTATTTCTCTGTTAAATGAATTATACTGAGACTATCTTCCAAGCAGTTTAATAGTTCTTCTCTGAACCTTTGTTAGTTCTATTGATCAGGTGGGATGGAGATAAAGTTGTTAAAGGTGCTCGTCAACAACATATCTTCCTTTTTCCATCTATCAGCTCGTGAGAGCATAAATTACAAACCGGTTCAAAAATACTACCAAAAAACAGAAGATATACTGAAGTTGATAAAGCCAATTCTTGATGCCATTCTTGATACCGAAGTTGCTTCTGATGAAAAGCTCCAGAAGATATTTGCAGGGCTTGGTCATGCTGTTATGGAACTGAGGGAACTCTTCGATAACTGGCAACCACTCATGAGCAAAGTTTATTTTGTAAGTTTTGAGACTTACATTCCATAGAGATGTATTTCAAAATCTCAACCGAAAAAGAAACAGAAAGATTGCTTGTCTGTTGCTTTTTGACTAAAAGTAGTCCCTTAACCTAGCCATAAATGAATTTCGCCCAAGTTAAATGGAATCTTTCAACTGTCATATATACATATGATCAATTGACCATTTTCCACAAAAGTGTAGTTGCCAGATAAGAGAGAATATAGATTCAACTTACAACAAAAACAGCGCAAAGTTTGATGTTCAATATTAGCTCTCACAATCAGATCAGATTTTGTGAATTTATAACAACACATGTCACTTTATATAACTATTAAAGTTTGAACTTCATTAGTAGATCAACCAATAAGATGTCTCGACAGTAGTCTACAGGACTCTCATCAGCCATTATAGGTTCTCTCAAATATTGCATTCCTTTATCATAGGTTCTTTTCAGAAAGTTGGACCAAAAATTACTACTGAATCACCTCAGATGATAGGGGAACTAAATGGTAAATCTATATATTATATACATAACTCAAAACATCTCCCTTTCCTTTTAGTATTTTTCCTGTGATATAGTTATAGAAGTATAACACATACTATTCATATTCCGCTCTTTTATTTTTATTTTTTTCTTCAAGGGTTATATTCCGTTCTGAGCTAACAGTAGGTTCGCAGGTTTTGCAAGCTGAACCACTGATTGCAAAAGTTAGAACTTTTGGCCTGGAAACTTTTGAACAGCTGAAGTCTGTAGAAGAATGCATCCCGTCTGAACTGAGTGCAGCATCCCTAGAGGTACCAACTTAAATAGGCTTAACTACTGGTGAATTTGCATGCTTGGCTTGAATACTCATTGTCTCATTGGCCGGAATGCAGCTCTGTGTGCAGAAACTTAAGAATATTGGTATGGAGCGAACATCGTCAATGATCATGGAAGCTATTAAGGATCAAGTCGAGGTAGCTGGACCCAGTTCAGATAGCATGGTAAAAATTGCTGACAACTTGAACTTGAAATCCAATCAGGAGCTTCTTATTGAGGCCGTAGCTCTTGAAAAGCTAAAGGAGAATGCTGAGCAAGCTGAAAAGAATGGAGAAGTTGAAGAAATAGATCAAATGATTACTCTTGTGACCCACATGCATGAAGATCTTATTTTGTCGAAACAGTCTCAAAGCAATAGTCCTGTACCGATACCGGCTGACTTTTGTTGTCCTTTGTCGCTTGAACTCATGACGGACCCTGTAATTGTTGCATCTGGACAAACCTATGAGCGGGCATTTATTAGAAACTGGATTGAGCTTGGGCTTACTGTTTGCCCAAAGACGAGGCAAACTCTCGCACACACGAATTTAATTCCCAATTACACTGTTAAGGCTTTGATTGCTAGTTGGTGTGAGTCAAACAATGTGAAGCTGCCTGATCCTTTGAAGTCTAACAGTCTGAACCAGACTGGTTTGCTTTATCCACACTCGGAGTCAAGTCCACATAGAGATTCTCCCGTTCAGTCTCATTCAAGAGTTAATCGCTCTACATCACCTGAGCCAACTAGGTCATTAGGTTCTCCTTTGAGGTCTTTCCCGTTAAATGGAGTCCAGCAAGAAGGATCACCTCCATCTCATCTCCGTTCATCTTCTGAGGAATCTTTGCCTGGAGAAACAGGTAGTGGACTGGATATTGGGAATATGTCCTTGGGAAGCGCTGAAGATAGGTTGGTTAGCTCGAGAGACAGAAGTGGTCAGCTGTACGGATCACCATCTAGAGATAGTATTTCAGGGGCTGATGAACGGTCATCTCAGGGTCATAATAGAACTGCCTCGGTTTCGAGCACTGTTTCAAATTCGGTTATTGGTGATGGCAATGATGCTCCCTCCCAAGCAGGAACCTACAGCACTGATGTCTCAGGAGAGGTTTCATTGGGGTCCCAGCCAACATCTACTACCATGCCACAAAGGGAGCCAGAGCCCCAATCTAGAACAGAGCCAAGACCCCGGAGCCAAACAATATGGCGTCGACCATCCCAAAATTTTGTTCCCAGGATAGTTTCCTCTCCTGCAGTTGAAACAAGGGCAGATCTGTCTGGTCTTGAAGCTCAAGTTAGGTCCCTTGTCGAGGAACTGAAGAGTTCTTCCGTGGAGGCGCAGAGAAATGCTACTTCCGAGCTCCGCCTACTTGCCAAGCATAATATGGATAATCGGATTGTAATTGCAAACTGCGGTGCTATCCCCTTGTTAGTTAAACTTCTTTATTCAACAGACATCAAAACACAGGAAAATGCAGTTACTGCTCTTCTCAACTTGTCAATCAATGATAATAACAAGACTGCAATCGCAAATGCAGACGCAATTGAACCACTGATTCATGTTCTTCAAACAGGAAGTCCTGAGGCTAGGGAAAACTCTGCTGCCACTCTTTTCAGTCTTTCAGTCATCGAGGAAAACAAGGTCAAAATAGGGAGGTCTGGGGCTATCCCGCCATTGGTAGACCTGTTGGGAAATGGAACTCCCAGGGGTAAGAAAGATGCAGCCACAGCATTGTTCAACTTGTCAATATTTCATGAGAACAAGGGTCGTATAGTGCAGGCAGGTGCCGTGAAGTATCTTGTAGAATTGATGGACCCTGCGGCTGGCATGGTTGATAAGGCAGTTGCTGTTTTGTCAAATCTGGCTACTATCCCAGAAGGAAGGACTGCAATTGGTCAGGAAGGAGGGATTCCCGTATTGGTTGAGGTTGTTGAACTGGGATCTGCAAGAGGCAAGGAGAATGCTGCCGCCGCACTCTTGCAATTATGCACTAGCAGCAGCCGATTCTGCAATATGGTTCTTCAGGAAGGGGCAGTTCCCCCTTTAGTTGCATTGTCGCAGTCTGGTACCCCTAGAGCCCGAGAAAAGGTATGAAATTAAATGAATATAATTTTCTTGGCTTGATTTAACGTTTAGTTGCTTTGTTTGAAGTTAGTTGGTTTATGGCTCTGCAGGCCCAGGCACTTCTGAGCTACTTCAGAAACAACCGACATGGAAATGCTGGCCGAGGTTGAGTGTGAAAATTTTAGTTTGGGTCCATAGTAGTTGAGGTAAAAAGATAAAAAGAGTGTGTAAATCAAGTTTTCAGTAGTTTCTATGATTTTCTACCTATTAGATTGTCAATTTGTCTACTGAACTGGAAAGAATGTCAATTTGTCTACTATACTGGAACGAAGTGATACATTGGGATTGATTGATCCTTATTACTATGTTGTGAATGTGAAGAAACTCTGTTCATACTCTGTCAAGAATTCAATTTGCAGCATTTTTTCCTACAGAAATTTAAAACTGGAATGGGACAATAGAAGATTTCGGTTTCTGCTATGTTGCTGGATAGTAAATTTACCAGATAGACGAAGATGATCTCATTTGGTGTTGGACCGATATGAATTTTTGGCCTTTGATTGAATTGAAGAATGTTTGATGTGGGAGGAAATATTTGTAGATGCAGATTGCAAAGTGCAAACTGATGATGAGTCTGCTGAAGAAGGATTAGGGCCGGTGCGACTGTGAGACTCAGAACAGGAGGCATTTTTTTTAATAAACTGGGCTGTAAAATATTAAAAAGAGAGAACGAAAGATACCGTCTTTTTTAATTTAAAGTTCAAACGGTGGGAAAACACGGTACAAACTTGGCCTAATATTTTTTTGAAAAAGGAAATTTGGCCTAGTGATAGATAGGAGTACTATAAATAGATAGATAGGCTAACAACAACAACTCTGAAATTGGGATTTCCATCTAAATTCGTAGCTGTCTCCTCCGCTGTCTTCCATCATTCTAATATCTCTGAGAGGTTCTTCGCCGGTCTCCGTTCTTCCCTCGGAAAACCCACCCATAGGGCAAATATGGCGCTATGGCTCACCGAACTCAACTATTCCTCTGCGCGTTAGGCCTTGGGTCGGGTACAAACCGACCCGACCCACCCGAAATAGATTTATTATGTTCGGTTAAATGAAGTTGGATTGTTTTGGTTAGAATTTGACAAACCGAAATGAATCGAGTATTCTAAGGACACCCGAACTGGAAATGAAATGAATCAGTTCCATATTCCCGTTCAGTCTCCCCAATCTCATTCATCTCTCCATATCCCTTCCTTAACCTCCGAGAGTTGTCTTCAGGGTTACTTGCTGAATTTTTCATCTTGTTATTCCTAGCTTTTCATGTTGGTGCTGGGTTGAGTTACACCTTTGCTTCTATTTGTTCTGAAGAAGACAATTAGATGTTTCACCAAGTTCTAATCTCTGGAATTGATATCGGCTAATAACTTTTCAATGGATTCACAGACTTTTCTTACTGTGATTCAGGAAGTAATGAGTTTTAAGGCACTTAATTCCTTCTGGCCAAATTTTTAATGAGCCTTGATGAAATAGATGTCAAAGATGCCTTCATTAATGTCAGATTCCACTTTGGGAAGTATTTCTTTCGTTTATTTGGTTGCAATAAATTTGCCTTTTTTGCACAGTGTATGTATTACGAAAATTGATTGATCTATATTGCTTCCCAAGGCTTACGAAGTACATTTGAATGATGAATTATGCTTTGGTTGTTTGTATGGTGTGGCTTAACATAAAAACATGGTTTTGTGAATTTGGAAGATTAACCACTGTTTCATTTCTTTTTGTTTTCCGCGAAATGTGTTGGGAGGGTTTGCTGGGAGATTGTTACAATTAGCAGGGCTTGGTGTTTTGAAGAAATGGAATTTGTTAGTGTGTAATCTTCTAGTCCTTTGCTATGATTAATTGAATCTCTTCGCCTTTGATTTGTTGATTTGTGCTGGTTCACTATTTTCGGTGGATGAATTGTTGTCTTTGACCCCTTTTTAACTTCGCCTTTATTCGTCGGAGGCTGTTTATCGGGTGTTTTAATTAGAAGTTTTTATTCATTGATAAGTTTTTTTTTTTTTTAATTCCATTGATTTGTTTAATTGATGTTTACTTATTGTTGTCGTTTGTATGATCTATCGTGGTTTGAACTGATTAGTCACGATGTATGTTTATTTTTTCTTCAGATTTTTCATTTAGAGCAAATCAAAATAGGCTTTGAAGCATCTGGGATCCTGCAAAAACCCTGGTTAGCTTCAATGGGGCTTTTTGAGGATGTCTGCTCTGGATTTGGTTACACAACTTACACTGGTAAGTGAATTTATATTCATGAGAACCTTGGCCATTCTTTCTATCATTTAATTGTGATGTTTTTTGGACATTGCTATTTTCCAATTTAGCATTGCACTATCATTGTGGAAGGAATTAATATCATGGATGGTTTAGCTCGCAGTGAGAGGGCGAACAAGACAAATGATCATAGTTAGGCATCTAGTGCTGATTTACTACTGCTAGGTGTCAATTTTGGAAGGGATTATGTGTGTGTTATGGAAGTGGTTTTGTATGCGTTATGGAACTATTTTGAAAATGGTTATGTGTACGTATGTATGTATGTCAATTTTTTAAGCTGTTATGTATGTGTTATGAGGCTATTGATGTTATTTGGAAGTTAAGAAAATGATAAATACGTACAATATGTTTTATATCATTTATGAGATGTCTCAAGGATTCCAGAGAAAATACGTACAATATGCGATTAAAGGATTCCTGAGCTCTTTGTGAATGTACGTATCATTTATGAGATGTCTCACATATTTCATCTTCGACACGTACAATATGTTTTATATCATTTATGTGTGTGTTTTATATCATTTATATCATTTGGTAATATCGTCGGATATAAATCACATTCCAGAGAAATGTCTCAAGGAGACAAACTCACAAGAGAAGGCTCAGGAAATGAAAGCAGTGAGTATTGATTTGGTCCGTGAGTCTCGTGAATTCCTGGATGCGTTTACAGAGTTGGACAAGACCCCACGGCGGAATCAGATGGTTTCTATGGTTCAAGGGGCTTGGTAATATTGTAGTTATTATTATTATTGTTTTTTTTTTGGTTGCCTGCCACGGTTTACACAGCTTTGCCCCGACTAATCCGTTGGTCGACTCGGGTCACACACTTAGTTATGATGGGTGAGTCTCCCAACAAGAGTTTTTTGCATCCACAAGGTTTCGAACCCGAGATCTTGCTTACGCGGCACCAAACTACTTACCACTTGTGTCACCCCAGTTGGTTAGTTATTATTATTGTTATAATGTTTAACATTGTCAAATTCTCTGTAAATAAGTTCCCGTGAAATAAGAATAATCATTTAGGTGTCATTTATGTGCTTATTATACATCATGGTCTTCTTTTTCTTTTTTTTTGGTTATTTTTTGTTCTATTCCTGAGCTCTTTGTGAATGACTTTTTCAGTTAACCAATCTAAAGCTCTAAAACTGAAGTACGAGGAGGAGCAAGCAAAGAGAAGAAAACTCTTCAATCAGCTCCAAGAAGGAAAAAAAAAAAAAAAGGTGCCTACCAGTTCCCTTTTGTAATATTAATGTGTTCTAGTTATTTGTACTAGCTTGCTATATCTTCTACTCAATTCTTTAAGACAAAGCCAAGACTTCGATTCATATTTCAACTGCATTCCTGACCTTGCTTATCATGACTACTGTTGATGAAAAAGCATCGAGTCCATTCCGATATTCCAGTTTCTAGGTATTTTCTTTATGAGTATGAAAGTGCTGTTGTGCTCTACCATTGAAATCGACATTGCACTCTTCATCGCGTGCATCTTCAGTGCGATGTTCGAAGCCATGCTACTGTATTCCAACAACCATGACGAGTCAGTTGTGGAGGCCTTGGTGGTACTACTTTCATCTCTGGTTGCTTTTTTCGCTCAAATACAACATGTACCCTTTGTTGCTTGAATGCAATCTTTTCCCACAGCCTCCAGATACAAGCCATCCAACAAAGCTTTACACTACCACTCCAGATGTAAGGTTTTTTTTTTTTTTCCAACACTTAATGCTGTGTTTGAGTCTTGTTTAATTTCTTGCCTCATAAGTTGTATAATTCTGTGACTGACTTGCTCAAATTACAATATCTATGTGCAGAAGAAAGGAACTCCACCATGTAGCGCTTTGAAGTTGTCAAAGTTGCTTGCTAAACTCAATGATCTTAAGAAAGATCTCAAAAAGGCCAAGGAAAAGATTTCCCTCTTGGAGAAAGAGAGAGCCCTGGCTCTTGATGAATTACAAGAAGCCAATAATTTGGTCGAGGAAGTAAAATGAGAAGCTCAGCGCTGTGAGATCTGCATCATAATCTACTGCTCAAAATATTTCAGAAACAAATACAGTAGCAACCAGTTGCAGTAGTCTCTGTTTCCTTATTGTGAAACGGCATAAAGCTTCCCTACCCTGATATGATTAGGGTTTATGATTATATACATGTACAAGAGATAAAATAAATTTGGACACTAACTTTCACTGTAACAAACTAATTAAATAGCATATGTACATCCCTAATTCGTACCTAATATAGTAAATTTACCAGATAGACGAACGTTTCGTATGGGACGATTTCTGACCGATGATTGAACTTCTCATGAGATTTTGGGCACATTTAACTGCGGTTTAAAAACAGAATAAACCGAAGCCACTTGGTAAGCATCGTCCGATTCATCAAAAAGCGATTGGTAGAAGTTAGTTGCTTTTCTGTAGAACTTCTACTTATTCCCAAATTATTTCTATTGAGTCCTCAGAACTCATATCACCCACACAATTAGTCAACTTCGAGATGGAGATTCAAATGGTTGCTTTAGGAAACAAGATGCTACTTAGGACATAGGAATTATCTTATAATTAAGACCAAACACACCCTAAAATAAAAATAAATTTCGGACAAATTGCATTTAACATCAAATAGGATATTTTTTATAATTAATCATGGTATGGGTTTTTATCTCACAGTTTCAATTGAAAAAACGAGTTTAACCGACCGAGTTTTGATTGGCAAATATCAACTACAAATGAGTGTTTTGAACATTTGAAGTTTTGAATTTATTACATTAAAAAGAAACAAAGAACGACAAGGAAAAAGAGAAATTAGTTTAACGTAAAAAGAGAGAGAGAGAGAGAGAGAGAGAGAGAGAGAGAGAGAGAGATTAAGTACAGATAAAATCTATATACACATAGAAATTGTGTTAATCTTAGAAAAAAATAAAATGATTAGGTTGAATGATTAGTAGGTTTCTGAAATACTCCCTCTGATTCTTATTATAAGACATTTTGATTTGTCATAAATTTTATTTAATATGTTTGTTTAATTAAAAAAAATCTTAAAAAATATTTTAAAAAAATTTTTTCAAGCAAAAAAATATGAAAAGTGAAATTTAGGATAAATCAAATAAGGAGGGAGGGTAGTAAATTCACGAAGTGTATAGCAAACCGCTGAATGGTGTTTGGGCTGATTTTGAAATAGAAAAGCCCATTTAAAAATATTGGGCTATATCTGCTCAATCTGATTAGGAATTAGGAAAGCTAATCTATAAGTTTGACCAACCACATTGAGGATTGACTTTTTAGCTCAAGACAGGGAGGAAGGAAGACTATTTATATCTATTTAATCGGATTGGATCTATAAAATTTCTCCACCATAAAACTTTTTTTTTTTGGGGGCAGGCCGCCGACCTTTTGTGCTGTAAGTGGGTAACCCTTACCGGGCCTCTTTCCCCTCTGTTTTTTCCCCCCTTTATATTTATTTCGTTTCCCGATTCAGGTAATTTTACGTTGCGCCGGAACCCTAGAACAACAGGCGCAGAAGATTTGAAGAATTGTTTGTCGACTTTATTTGGGACTTTCCGTAAGCTTCATTTTCTCTCTCTTCCCGATTTACTTCAATTTTTTCTTTTTGGAGCTCGTTTGTGTAATCTTCTAGTCCTTTGTTACGATTAATTGAATCTCTTCGCCTTTGATTTGTTGATTGGTGCTGGTTCACTATTTTCGGTGCATGAATTGTTGTCTTCGACCCCTTTTTAACTTCGCCTTTATTCGTCGGAGGCTGTTTATCGGGTGTTTTTGTTAGAAGTTTTTATTTTCGGAACATTATCATTCATTACTTGTTCATTGATAAGTTCCTTTTTTTTTAAAAAAAAAAATTGCATTGATTTGTTCGATTGATGTTTACGGGCTTGTTTTGACTTGTGAATTTATTTTATTTGCTGTGTTGTTCAGTGTTTATCATCTTTGAACGTTGCGATGGGGAAAAAGAAATCCGATGACCCTAAAGAGGGTAAGAAGAGAACGGATGAAGGTAAAAAAGAGAAGATTTCTGTTTCTGCTATGCTGGCTAGTATGGATCAGAAGCCTGATAAAGGCAAGAAACCTTCTTCTTCGGTTGCTGCTTCTAGTAAAGGCAGTAAGCTAAAAGCTCCTCCCTCAAAAGTATCAGCTTATACAGATATTGATCTTCCCCCATCTGATGATGAGGATGATGATGATCTGACTGAAGAAGAGCAAGCTATTGAACGCAGGAGGCATAATAGGAGTGATAATAGACCTCTTGACATACAAATGAGCGATAAAGAGTTAAAAAAACGTGAAAGAAAGGAAATGCTCGCCTCCCAGGCTGTGGAGCTTGCTAAACAAGAGGCCCTTAAGGACGATCGTGATGCTTTTACTGTTACTATTGGCAGCCGGGTTTCTGTTCTTGATGGTGAAGATGATGCTGATGCTAATGTCAAAGATATAACAGTTGATAGTTTCTCCGTATCTGCTCGAGGAAAAGAGCTCCTGAAGAATGCATCTGTCAAGATAGCTCATGGAAAAAGGTATGGATTGGTTGGCCCCAACGGGAAGGGGAAATCAACTCTGTTAAAGCTCCTTGCTTGGAGGAAGATTCCCGTGCCCAAAAATATAGATGTTCTCCTTGTCGAGCAAGAGGTGGTTGCTGATGATAGAACTGCTCTCGAAGCAGTTGTTTCAGCTAATGAAGAGCTCGTTCAGCTGAGGCAAGAGGTGGCTTCATTGCAGAATACTTCATCCAGTTCTGCTGATGATTTGGATGATGATGCTGGGGAGAAGCTTGCTGAGTTGTATGAAAAGCTGGAGCTGCTGGGATCCGATGCCGCCGAGTCTCAAGCCTCAAAAATCCTTGCTGGGTTGGGTTTCACTAAGGAAATGCAGGCACGGGCTACCAAGTCATTTAGTGGTGGTTGGAGAATGAGAATATCGCTTGCACGAGCTCTTTTTATACAGCCGACTCTCTTACTGCTGGATGAACCTACTAATCACCTTGACTTGCGGGCTGTTCTTTGGTTAGAGGAGTACTTGTGCAGATGGAAGAAAACACTTGTTGTTGTCTCTCACGATCGCGATTTCCTTAATAGTGTCTGTGGTGAAATTATTCATCTCCATGACATGAAACTCCATTATTATCGTGGAAATTTCGATGATTTTGAAAGTGGATATGAGCAGCGTCGTAAAGAGGCGAACAAGAAGGCCGAAGTACACGAAAAGGTAATTCAGAAAGCCAAGACCGGAACCAGAGTTCAGCTGGAGAAAGTGAAAGAGCGAGCCAAACATAATGCTGCCAAGGAAGCCTCCAAGAGAAAAGGTAAAGACAAGGATGATGACGATGAGCCAAAGCCTGAGGCTCCTCAAAAATGGAGAGATTACACTGTAGAGTTCCATTTCCCTGAACCTACGGAGCTAACTCCTCCGTTGCTGCAACTAATTGAAGTCAGCTTCAGCTATCCAAACCGTGAGGATTTCAGGCTCTCCAATGTGGATGTAGGTATCGATATGGGTACTCGCGTCGCAATTGTAGGTCCTAATGGTGCGGGAAAATCAACCCTTTTGAACCTTCTTGCTGGTGACTTGGTGCCTTCTGAGGGTGAAGTGAGGAGGAGTCAGAAGTTAAGGATTGGCAGATATTCGCAACACTTTCTGGATCTCCTCAAAATGGACGAGACACCTGTTCAATATCTTCTTCGTCTTCATCCTGACCAAGAGGGGATGAGTAAGCAAGAAGCTGTTCGGGCAAAGCTTGGGAAATTCGGACTCCCCAGCCATAATCACCTCACTCCAATTGCAAAATTATCTGGGGGTCAGAAAGCCAGGGTTGTGTTTACCTCAATTTCCATGTCAAAGCCACACATTTTGCTCTTAGATGAGCCGACTAATCATTTGGATATGCAGAGTATTGATGCGCTGGCTGAAGCCCTTGATGAGTTTACCGGGGGTGTGGTCTTAGTCAGCCACGATTCCAGGCTTATTTCCCATGTTTGCGCTGATGAAGAGAGGAGTCAAATTTGGATTGTTGAGAATGGAACTGTGGAGACATTCCCGGGCTCCTTTGATGAGTACAAGGAAGAGCTTCTCACGGAGATTAGAGCTGAGGTTGATGAGTGACTTGACAATACAATATTTGCGTTTAGGTATTTATAGACACTTAAAACTTTTTGGCACTTTGAGTGCCCCATTTTTTATTTTGTTTGATGTTGCTAAGAAATTATTCAGCATGATAACGGTGTATTGAGTTTGGGAAGCATATACGTTTCCTTGTAATTTTGTACTCCTTTAAACTTTTTAAGATTATTTTGTTGTGTTATTTTACCGATAATAAGATACTGAGTCATTGTAAGCACTCTCTTCTTTAATCATAGAGCACCATTCCATGTTTCTTTAATTATTTGTTACTCCCAGCCTTACTGTTATGTACAGTATAAGATGATTTTGGTTTTGATTTTGCACTGCAAAGGTATAAACCACCTTAAGAAAGTGATCCTTTTGTAATGGGTACTACTAAATTGCTATCAATATAAGAAGTGATGGCACAGTCGTTCTTTTAGCAAATCTCAGCCTCTCTGTTGCTGTCCATTGTCTACCAATCAATACGTAAACAGTCGGTTCGGTTTAACACGTGACCACAGATGAGTGTGGACTTTTGCCAGACAAAAGGAAAATGTTTGCTTTATAACTGGGGATATGAGGTTCAGATGTAAGAACTTTGAATGGCAGGCACTTTAAATTTCAAAGGTAACAACAACTCCAGTTCTGCTAATGAAACCGATAGTGACTCACTCTACATTTCATTTCTCATAGTATCCCCCTAAACTTGACTTCGTCTAACAGCAAGCTTTGGAGTGCGCTTGCGAAATTGCAGAGGTTTGATGTTACTTTTTTCATCCTCTTAATGTACACTTGACAGACCCATTATGCCAATGACAGCTTTGCTGGCAACGATAGCACAGTGAATGTTGAAGAACGTGAATGAAGTAGAAGAGTTGAGAAATAAAGTGAAGCTGTTTGGGGATGGAGATTTCAAGCCAGTAAATTGACCTGTATGAAGAACTCGTCAGAATCAAGGTGTTGCAAACCAATTCACAAAATTAACTCAGAAGAATGAAACTGTAAGGTCCGATACCTTGATGATCTCGCTTGGTGTGCTGGAACGAGCATAGCCTGCCAATATCGCCATGTGAAAGTGCTGTATGGGTGAAAACAAGCATGGATTCAGTACTAACACCAATCACTTTTTTTTTTGCCATTCCTTATTTATTATTTACCACATTCCAGCATGTAGGGGTGAAAGAAATGAACAAGTGAAGAAACAAACTTACACGAAATGGATCGCCTCTTAAGGACTGCACATAAATAGAGCTTTCCAGACTACTATCCTGAGAATAATGATATTAAAGGCAAAAATAGTTTGTTAATCCCTATTGTGATATCCCTATATTCATATCCTGCAGGGAGTCATGAAAATGATATAAAAACGAGGAGACATGTCAATACAGCTGCCAACAGCGTTTCTTTACCTCCAAATGGACATCTCTTAGTCGCCTTCCCGTTTGGGCACAGCAAATTCTTACAACAGATTCATCAGAACTTCCACTCACAATGTAGTCTCTTCCATTCATGTAATATGATCGGGTGAAATTATGTGAACTTCCCGAGGGGCAAATTTCAAACCTGGTGTGAAGTATGCCATCAACAGCCAAAAGTTGCTGCACCTGGTAAAAAGGCTTTATGTCTTACTTCCAAATGTTTGTCAAAATTGATAAAGTGGTTCGTGGAAGTCCTTTTTCTAATTTACTATTAGATTATGCTGATCAGACATACATTATAGCTTAAGCTATAGTTTATATACCTCATTGTCCACAGCCGAAACAAGCAGATAAAGATCATCAGGGGAGAAGCAAACCATCACATTTCCTCCGGTACTTGAAGCAGTATAGCAAGGTTGTGTTGGATTCTGTCTTATATCCCACATTTTAACATGCCGGTCATACGAAGAAGTAACCAGCAGGTGCGGAGAATGATGGGCAAATTTAGCCACATTAATGGTTTCTTGATGTATATTAGTGAACAAATGCAAGCGTCTGCCAGTGCAAACATCATAAACAGCAAGCTTCCTCGAATAACCACTTGCTAGGAACTTTTCATCAGTTGCATTAACATGTAAAGAAGTCAACTGATGAAAATCGTCATAGCTTGAGGTTCTGCTGGATGCCAAGCTGTCTTCACTATCTGCTGTCGCTTGGTTGATGTCGTACAATCTCAAGAAACCATTATCAAATCCCGCAAGGAGCTAGTTTTGCAATTAAGAAATAACAATGAGAAGCAAAACTTTAGCGAAAATGATTAATATTAAGGAGATCAACCTCGGTTCTCTAAGAAACAACTTACCTTGGATGGGTGTTTGTTAAACCAACAAAGTGAAATCGCAGAGCAATTAGCTCTAGAGGCAGCAATGTGATTAAGAACTTTTCCTTTTTCATGATTGATGACAATAACTTCACCATCCAGTGTTCCGAATCCCATCAGATGAGCGACAGACGGGTGATACTCAAACTGCCTAGGCCGGAACCTTCTGTCACCATGAGAAACAGGAGACAGGACAGGCCGTGAGCCAAGCTTGGCGGCGCTAAGTGATCTGGAGTAGAAATGTTTACTCTTGTGATGAGGAGATGAATGCCGTTTCCATGTCGAGGTTTTATACACTCCACGTGCTCCCATTTCACGCATATGCAGTAAACTGGTAACGCTCTCCTTGTAATGACGCTTATAGGGTAAATACTCAAAATATTTTGAGAAGACAGTTTCTGCAGTTTCTCTGTGCTCCTGTTTTATTGGAAAGTTATCTAGCACTTGCAATGATGGTAGTGAAGCGATCATGTACTCCCTGTAGTGGTTCTCAAAACATATGGGAGAAGGATTCTGTAGTACATTCAATTTCGAAGCAACAGAAACTGGAGAATCTTCAATATCCTCCAAGTCAAGAACACTAGTGGGAGACTCACTCTCCTGAATTTCCAATTTTTTAGGAGAAACCTGCTAGAGATATTCATAGATATAATTCACAAATCAGGTTATTAAGAATTAAACACAAGGTCTGTTCTTTGTCATTCTTTTGTTGCCCATAACAGTAAAAGTTGTCCCTAACCTCAATATGCAGCTTGCTCAAAATGATTGATTGCTTGTGGTCATCTGAAGATCGAACTGCTGATACTTCTTCTACCAATCTTTCCCTTCTACAGGTCTGAGCTAATAATCTTTGAGTTAAATCATTTACCTGCATATCATCCTCGAAAACCAAGTTGGCAGACTTACGTTGAAAAGCATTAGAATGTGCAATTTGGGCTGCTGCGGCGGTTGTTTGCCAATTAGGACCTCCTCTCTTTGGTTTTAAAGCAGGACATGATTCGGTTCCTTTGCAGCAGGGACAACTTTGAAACCGGAGTTCTACTAAGGACTTTAATCGGGATAAAGCCGCAGTAGTTGTCCAAAGATTTGTAATTCTTGTTCCACACATGGAGATGTGCATCAAATTTGGCATAAATGTAAAACAATCAATCTCCAAGTTAGTGAGTGAACAGAAGTCCAGATTAAGGGTCAGTAACTGCATAAACTTTCCAGGAAAGTTGAGATTTCTGAATTCATTGAATCTGACTTTGAGTATCTGGCATTGCAAACCAATCTGGAAAATATCACTGCATGATCACAAGCAAAGATGGGTTACTATGGCTGAATAGCAAAGATGGGTTACTCAAATATAAATATTCGTTAGCATTATGATCATTTACTGGCAAGTTTCACCCCTCTTTTCTTCCTCGTTCGGAAGTTTCATTTCTTTGTTCAGTATCCAGCAGTGTGTATGAAACTGAAATGTTTTACTGAAGCAGTAATACATACCACAGAATATCCTTCCCAAGAGAAGCATTTTGGAGATCGACAACTCGGAGTTTTGAGTTAGCTTTATTCATTAGTGATAAAATAGATTCTGGGTTCAAACTACATGATGATTCACAGAGAATGTCAATTCCATGGCAGTGATCGTCAAGGAGGATGTCCATAAGTGGAGATAAATCATGATCCTCAAGTTGGTCTAAACAGACTTCAATAGTGCATTTCTGGTATTTGTTACCATGTTCAACAGCCTGGATAATACAAAAAAAAAAGAAAAAAAAAGAAAGAAAGGAGTAAACTCAATCAGTGTTTTGACAGTTACAATTACAAGTGGTAGTGTATAATCAACATTGAAGAGAAGAAGCTAAGACATGTGACCATTGTCAGCATCATCCCTCTGTCAAAAGGCATTTATTAATTTGCCCAACTGAAAGAATCTAAGCCTGAGGCTGAGGATCTTATCATACAGTACAACCAACTTAATAACAAGAAAAGGAAACTTCCCAGTAAAACTAAACCATAATGTTCCAACTCATGTGTCTACAATAGAGTTAGGACCAATAAGACCAAATTAAATGAATTCTTGGGACAATATGCAGTAAATAGACAAGAGAATTGAAATCAGAAGAGAACCTTAAGAAGCCACATTAAAACTCCAGAATTTGGTGCGAGTCCATGCTCCTTGCAAGATTTCAGATACCTACAAACCAGGTACATATGATGCATTTCAAGTTAGGAAAACACAGAGGCAGAGCAACCAGGTAGCCTCACAGTTTGGGATAAAACAACTCTCTAATTATGATAGAAAATATACCAAAATGATGTCGCATCATGAAATGGAACGTAAAGGACTTAGAGAAAAATACTCCAGAACTAGTTTTTTATCTACCATTCAAAATATACAGAGCATTGACGACAGGAGGACGATGTAGCAACCAGAACTTATTGTTTCCAGTTTCCAAATCTCCCCTCACTTAAATGATAATTATTAAAACGAACCACCATCATTAAATGCACTGATTAAGGGGAAATGCATAGAATTAGAGCTAGTTATCCCGTAGTGGAATAATCATCACATAACTCTTTAAGTCTTGACCTCAGTAACAAGGTCATTTCCATTTTCCAGTTCAGGTTTGGTCAAATTGCCCAGGAATAGAACCAAAAGGTAAATGAAGTTAAGGAAACATCAGAGCAGAATGCATCATCAAATTCTACAGATAAAACAAAAAAAAGAAAAAAAATGCAGGACAAAAGCAGAGTAACCAGAAACCATAACAGCTGAAACAGAGACTCAGAATCAGAGAGACACAGATAAATAAAGAAACAGAGGGAATGTGGGAAGTGGGAAGGAACCTGGATTGTAAGCTGGAGATATTTTGGTGGATAGACATGAGAGCAGCTGCTAATGACAGTTTTGTTTCCTCTACTCTGTAAAGAGGCCTTTTTGCTATATGTAGTAAACTGGATCATGTATGAGGTCACTTATTCACAAATGTACAAAACTGAGGGATGGGAGAAGATAATAAAAAAAGTAATACTAGCAATATAAAAAGAATTCCTGCATAACACAATAATATAAGCAGATCAACTTGTGACACTCAGAAATGATAAAATTGCTAGCTCAACTATTAGTACTCGTAGCATTTTGGAGAAGCGGATAAGCACTACATAAAGGCTGCTATAGGTTTTCAAGTTGAATGATTCAGCAGTGGTCGTATCACTTACTCCAAGCTAACCTATCTTTATTACATTCTTACCACATCTTTCTAACAAGTTATTCATTGGCTTACTTCCCCATTTTGATACTGATTGATGGAACCATTGCTATCTCGTAATCTATTTGTGTGATTTTCTGTTCCCCCTGTCTTATCACAGTAAATCACACGTTTAAAGTAAGAAAAATATAGCTGAACACATTCATTCCATCCCGTCTTTAAGGAAAAAAAAAAAAAAAAGACAAACTTCCGCCAATTGAAACTTTTCTTATTCTGAGAGATTTGAAAACCAGAGAAAAATAAAATAAAAATAGAAAACTTGAGGGTTTTATTGTTTTTTCAATCGAGACTTCTGGGTCTAATCTGAAGGTCCACTTCATTGAATTCCTTAGAGCCACAACCGTGTTTAGAAAAAATATCACTAGCTCACGCTTTTATGAGAACCGGGTTTGGTGAGAAGAATGCCATTCACGCTTAAGGTTACGCTTGCAATCAGATTGATGTGTCATTCAACTCCCCGAATTGATTATTTTTATGTATTTCTAATACTTTTAATTTTAAAAATAAAAAATACGAACAAAATAATCAATTTGTGACGGATAAAAATAACACCAATAGTACACAATTTTGTTAAAATAATTATACTAAACACTTTTTTTTCCCTTCTTTTTTATATGGATATCAAACGAAGTGTTCAGTGTAATTTTGTAAGTTACAGTGGGTTTGCTATTAGAGTTATAGAAGCAAGTCTAAAAGCAATATTCCCAATTAAATTGGTCGATTTGATGTCACAAAACAATTTTTACCGGTATAACAATGAAAATATCATAAATGGTTTACTTTTTTTTAAACGATGTTAGCGTCAACTTTTTCGTCAGCTTAGGACGGTCGACGAGTAAGTCGGCGAAAATTAAAATTTTCTTTTTTCTTTTGTGAAAAAAAAATTGTTTTTAATATAGTAAATTATCAATTCAGTATTTTTCATTAAAAATGTGAGAATTGACGCGGATCGGAATTAATACAAGTACTCCGTTTCCATATAGCCCGACTAAAAGTTAGATTTGCTTCAAAATTTTATTTAAAACTTTAACCAATGAAAGTTAGTTTCTTAATGGCAGTATCAAATCAACCAATTTTAATCTTTAAAGAATCAATTTAATTAGGGTTAATATCAAAAGGACCCGTGAGATTCAGTTGATTATATAAAACACCTTTATTGTTTAAGAAAAATATCGAAAAAAAACCCCTAATCAGTAAGTCAATCATCAAAAGGATCGTCCGGTGATTGAATATTAATGCTTGCACATTAACTCAACCAAAAAAGATGCCAAAAAGCATTTGTATCCCGTATTGATTTTTTTTTTTCTAAACTTTAATGAATTCAAATATCAACTTCTAAATCCAAAATCCAGCTTTTTACGAGCGCTTAAAAACTGAATTGGATTTAGAAGTAAATATTTAATTGTTAGAGTTTTGAAAAAAAAAATAAGGATCATTTATATCAATTTTAAGTCGCCAGAGGAATCTTTTAATAATTGACTTGCCAATTATAGAATGTTTTTCATATTTTCTTAAATAGTAAGGGTATTTTAGGCAATAAGTTAAAACTTGGGAGCATTTTTTATACTAACCCATTTAGTTATCTATATATCCTATAAAAACAATAGTCTAAAAGAAAAAAAGGCTGACGTGCCGCGTTCTCATTCATCCGGTTTCCGCCCAACAAAAATTACGTAGCTTTGTGAAAAAAGATTGATTTCTACCATCTTTAATTGTGTTAACTTTCCTTGTCCTTAATTATAATCAATTAATTAATATTAATAGAATAAGGCATTAATGATATAAATAAAGAATTTTTTATTATTTCCAAAATTTAAACATACACATTGAGTTAAAGTTGAAAAATACTTTTACCATTTGTATATTTAATTTTAAAATATATTGTTATAAATAGGTCGGGCAACGCCCGGACAAGCACCTAGTTTCGGAGTTATGAGAGAAGTTGCTTTAGTCATTTTAACTAAGGTTTATTATGAATTTTGGCAGTATATTATTTTTGATGAGGGATATACTCCAACAATAATGTAATTTGTGAATAGTACTAATAACAGTACAAATTGTAAATTATAATGTGAACCATTTAGTAAAAAGAAATTGAGCCATTTTTTTAAAACTAGAAAATAATAATTTACTTAATTTGGTAAACACATTATTTTGATGCGGGGGTAGACTTTAAAAATGTAGGTTGGATAGTAATTATTATACTGGGAGCCTAATGAGCGCCCTAATTTTTTCATTTAAGTACTCTAAAAAATTATATTTTGACTATTTTACCCTTATTATTATTATTTTTATTATTTTTTAGTAAGACAAGGGGCGAAAAATATCTGCGCCAGCCGTGCAGGAGAAAGGCGCCACGCACAATTTTCTCGCCTCCCAATTAAGGGAGACGAGAAGAAATTTAACACCCAAAATGGGGGTGGCGCACTCGGTTTGGCAAGCAATTGTTCGCCAAACCGAAATTAATATTTTAAAAAATTATTTAATTAATTATTTAATTTATTTATTTTTAAAATTTATTTATTTAATTAATAAAAGATAATTATAATGGATTATCTTTCAAGTTAATATAAAGAAATTATCTTCTAACTTATTTAAACTAAATGTAGTTTTTCTTTGATTAAAATAGTAATAAATGAATGAGTGGTGTGTCTTCGTTTAATCAGTTAATAAAGAAGTTACCTACTATAGCTTAGTTGCTCAAAATGACAAAATAACTAAGTACTCATTGTCTATAGCTTTTCATAAGTTTTAGTTGTTATTAAATGATAATTTTTTAATTTAAGTTTAAAAAATTCTACATAATTAAATGATAAATATACTACGTAATTAAGCAACATTCTCCAAATATTTAAAGAATTATTTATTTAACCGGCAAACAAATAAATAAATATAGTTAAATAAATTAAAGAATTAATTAAATAAATAAATTAAAAAAATAAGTTAAATAATTTTTTTTTAAAAAAGGGTGGCGACCGGTTGACCACCACCCAATCGGTTTGACGAGCGGTTTGCTCGCCAAACGGGGGGACGGGGAGGAGGGGGAGGTGGCGCATGATTCCTTTAAAGGGGCAAAAAAATTCTCGCCACTCCAAGAAGGGTGGCGAGAAAAGTGTACGCCATCCGTTCACGGGTAGCGTGTTCCTCCTACGCCAGCCGTGAAAGGCTGGCGCAAGAATGCGTCGTCTCTTCCCTTTTTTTTTTTAAAAAAAAAGGATAAAATAGTCTTTTTTAAGTCTTTTTAAATGAGAAAATTAAGGAGCTTAACAGTTTGACCTTCCAGAGGAAGATTCGGAAATACTAGAAACAAAAACAAAAGAATACATGAAACAGAGTAAAGGGAAAAGAAAGGAACTGTTTTGGAATAAATATATATATAGGGGGGAGTAGTACAATACAAAATCAGTGAAACAGAATACAACTACGATGATGTCTGGTTCCCCACAGAAAAGAAAGTAGTAACAACAAAAGAATGAACAAAAGCCAATGTGGCCTAAAATTAAGAATGATATCCAAATCAAGATCTGCCTCCTCTTCTCACAATCAAAATAAGAATAAATGAACATCATAAGACCCCCCAAAACAGGGAATAACAATGTTAACACATCAAAATGGCAAAAGATGATGAGGACAAATGCACACGATGTTCTTCTCTTCTGGCTCTCTAACAAGTCTCTCTCAATCTCTAGAAGAAGAGGCTGCCAAGTAAGGCCAATCCCAATACCAAGCTTCCTACCACCTTCAATTTCTCTCCGCTCTGCAAATTCCGCCATCAGATCCAGAATTTGATTAGAATACAATGATCAGATTCATATCCCACTAAACATGATTATTAGAATGAACAAACTCAGAAAACTGACAAATAAATAAATTTTAAAACAATTTGGTACTCCTACATTATTATACTAGTTTTTTATTTTAACGAAAAAGACTTCTGGGCACAATGCACGTGAAATGCACCGGGGGTCTATCGATTGGAGCCACTACTGTTCCGCCTCGGGGTCCGGGCCGAGTTACTCAAAGATATTTTTTCTCTTCTGTCTGGTAATGTTTTGTGGTTTGGTCTGATGGCGCTACAGCCAAGAACCTTGGGCCATGGGCTACTGAAACCAGACCCAGAGCCCCTATCAGATTAATGATCCACCCAATTTCACGCCCATTATTTGCGTGACAGCTGTGGCAACTCTTTCAATCACAAACGCATTAAAGATGTGATTTTCAACAAACAATTAAAAGGGTCCAAATAAATTAACTTCAGTAGTACTTAAAATTGCAATCTCCTCCACCTTTCCACATTAACTTATTATAAATGGGGTAAAGTCCCTTTGATTAAAGTAACTTTTTCACCGGCATCACCGACACTCTCCGGACAAACTGTGCTTGTTCTTTTGTGGGATTACTACTTAAGATCAGGACAAATCAGTAATACTAATAATTAGAAGAAACTCACGCCGTATCACTGTCGGTTTGTGTACATCAGTGTCTCTACTTTCTACGATCTAGGAAACAAGCATGCCATATTATTCACCAATAACCACAATTTCTGGTTCAATTTTAAACGATGATAAAAACCGTTAATTCTCCAAATTACTAGTATGTAGTGGTAACATTTTGCCAGATTAAATTACCAATAATAGACTTTCCATTTTACCGCTGATTTCTATCTAATCACACAGCATTAAGTACAAAACTCAACAGATCAACAAAATGCGAACCAGAATACGGGGAAAAAACCGCAATGCATAAACAGATCTACCTTCAGATAGTAAAGCAAGTTCAAAAACAAAAAGGAATAATGCTAAAAAGCAGGACAAGCAACTTACGTTGTCATTAAGAGCTGGAGCAGGGGCTTCAGACGAGGAGCTAGGTCCGGGAGCTTCAGATGGAGGAGCTGGTGGGCCCATAAGCTCGGGGGTGGGAGCAGGGGATGGTGCATTGTGCTTTCCCTTCTTCTTCCCGGCAGCAGGAGCAGGGGCGGTGGCCGGTGGCTCGGAAGTAGTAGGAGCAGGAGCTTCTCCGGGAGGAGAAGTGGTGGCAGGTGGGGTGGCGACCTCCGGAGCAGGAACAGGAGGGGAGCTCACCGGCACTGGAGCTGGTGGTGCGCTCACCGGAGCGACGGCAGGCGGTGAAGAAATGGGAACGGGTACGGCGGTCGGCGGCGAACTGACCGGAGCAGAAACAGGGGGAGTGGCAGTAGAGGTAGGTGGAGAAGCAACCGGAGCAGTCACCGGGGCAGCGGGTTTGGAGGTGGAAGGAGCAGTAGCTGGAGGGGGAGTGGTAATAATGGTGGCAGCTGAAGGAGCCTTGGCAGGAGCAGCTGCCGGAGATTGACCTCCGACGGTGGCAACGACAATGCAGAAGAGCACAACGGCTAGACTTGACCGGCGATCCATGGGTAAACGGGTTTGGGTCTTTTCTTAGTTTTAGAGAGAGAAAATGCAGAGGATGATGAGGGAGAGGGAGAGAGAGAGAGAGAGAGTGACTGGATGAAGCCCGAGGTTGTTCGACAAAGGGATATATGTAAGGGATGAGGGTGCATAACGGGCATCTGAGTTGCGGCTGGTTGTTGGTGTTTAGATGGGCCCTTTCGTCACAAAATAAAATTAACAGACAAAATCGACCGCGGTTAACAGACTGGATTTTCCAATTCCCACTGGGCCCAATTCGCATGTGCTCCGGTCTGGTTTTGGATCGCCACGTCTACGAACCTTACGCGTACTCTTCGGTGTTGCCGGTGGCGTAACCTCTTTTGATACGAGTACTATTTTTCTCCCTTTTCTTGTATTATTACACAAAAAAAGGGAATTTTTTACAGCTGGAAATTGGCTTGGACGTGGGACAGCGACTATGATTGCCGAATAGGAGAAATACACGTGTAATTGGTGGCGATAATTGTGGAGGAAGTATACTGTATGTTGCTGGATGGGCGAGTGGCGTGGCACCGTCATGTGTCCCTACTGTATGGATGGTGGTAGAGTACTCATCTTCTTCCTTACAAAAATTTTCTTGGCTTGGAAACAAAATATTTTTCCAAGCTTTGGATGTAGAAATATCAAAATATGTTGTTCTTTAATGCTATAAAGGAAAAAAGAAACAAAAGTAAAGCAAATGTGGGTTGTGGTTTTGGGAATTTTTATTTGAAACTGATTTATCTGTGCTGTGTTGCTTTTAGGTGCGGAATAATAACGCATAGCTTCCATTTTAAGCATTGTTGGAATTTTATTTTACTTTTTAGTAAAAATAGTTGACAATTCATTGTTATTACATGATCGATGATGGCTAAAGGACCCCCAATAAGAAAAAAAGAAAAGGCAAGAATAAATAAAATACGGTTGTTGTATTTTGGCATTAATTTATAAGAGTAGAATAATGAGATGATAACTGACGAGTCCAAATAGTACGACCCATTACTAGGCCGGCCCAAATTCGGTGAGCGGTCCAACCGGCCTTTGGAAGATTCTAGGTTGATTGTCAATTATTTTCCTACCAAGAAAAAGTTCCATAATTTAGCTCTATAAATAGGGATCAATCCCTATTATCAAGAGTACGCTTTATGCACCCGATTTACACCCCTATTACAATTACTCTTACTGACTTAAGCATCGGAGTGTCTACCATCAGAAGATCCTGAGACCCTCTTTTGCAGGTTTTAGGGTTTTTATACCGTCATAGCCGCCGGAGTAACCAACCGGAGACGTCGGTGAAGTTCCATGCTTCGTCAAGAACATGCATGAAAGTGGAAGGAAATGATTAAAAGAAACAAATTGCATGTCACACAGCTGGGTATGTTCGATATTAATTTAGTCAACTTTTGATTTAATTCTGTGATGAGTAGAAGCTTTACTTTCGGGGAGTTTGGACAAGTTGACCGACTAGACTTTGAGTCTGATTCACTCCCTTTTTAAAATAACTTTCCGATTTTATTGATGAAAATAAGAGAGATACAAAAGTAATGTTTTAGGAAACTAGAAGAAAAACCATGATACAGATATTTTCCTACATAGGTCTAGCCTCTAGGTGATTCACTTCCTTATTTATACTGCTTTACTTTCAACAAAGAAATAGCTGCCAACCAAATAATTTCTTCTTTATACTGTTTTAGTTTCAACAAAGAAATAAAAAAAAGGACGGATAGAACATTTTGTTTCATTGAGAAAATCGAATGCCAATGTTTCATTCCAACGACATTATGAGCTTTCAATGTAAATTCACATTGTGCCTCCAACGGACCAACAACGACTCCATGCAATGTAAAAATTCTGGACTCTGCTGCTGTCTCCGAGTTGGGTTATCCATATGCTAGAATTATATACATGGATTCATATTTTTTCCAAAACACCAAAAAAAAAAATTAAAAAAGGAAAAGGGCATGTGGCATTGATGATTGACCAAGCATGTCATGGTTTGTCCGGGGTAATCTACTTTGAGTAGGTGATTCGTGATGAATGCACTTGAAGTTTCCGATGTATATTTGTCGGTACTCGGTTTCTTAATTTTACCGTTCTAGCATTTTTTATTTTTTATTTTTATTTTGGCATGATTCTTCTGGTCCTCAAGTTTTCATTCCGTCACCAGTTGCATTTATAAATAGCCAAATTCTTCGTTGTATGGTTAGATGGTTAAGCTATACCTAATGTGCAGAGAGAAGTTGAGAACATACGCACAAAGAACCAAAATCAAGACTTTCTTTGAATAGTAATCACTTGATATTTTCGTCGGATTACTAGATTTTTAAGGACGGCACTATTTCAACAATAATCAACGGAAAATTTATAATGAAAAGAGATCACGATTATAAAAATATCAATTTTTCATTCGTGATAAATTAGTAACTGTCGCTATTTGTTGACTATATATATTTTGGTTACACAAGTATTCCAGTAAGCATTACATGGGTGACTATTGGGATCGATGGTAAAAACATTACTAGCAGAGATGTAGAAATGGGCTCAAAACACCATGAATATTCCATCAAATCTAGTCCAATTGTGTAAGTCAACTTGGACAATGATCTGTTCCCTACATTTCATTCCGAGTCTCTGACAATGTAACTAACGTAAAGGCATATGGTTATTCTCACTCGACTACAGTCTTCATCAAATGGATGTGTTTGATTCTTGAAATTTGGGCTCTGTAAGCGGCAGACTACTAAAACATCGAGGAAAGACGTCATACCTTAGCCCAAAAATACACTTTTGATTGCCCTTCATGTATAATGGGCTTTTCAGGTTTCAACAAAGACTAATTGATGACATTTTTTTTCCTACCTAGTTTACCCTACACCCTTTATTCCACCTAAAATCTCTTGCCTTTGTATTTTGTGAGAATCGAACCTGGGATTTTTTTGGAAAGACCCCTCCCATCAAGCTACTGTTACATCCTTCCACCAAACTAGGGCCGTAAACGAGTCGAGCTGCTCGCGAGTTGGCTCGGTCAAAGCTCGGCTTGAGTTCGAGGTTGACCAAGCTCGAGCCGAGTTCGAGTTTGTTTCTTAACCATACGAGCCAAGCTCGAGTTTAAACAATACTCACTCGTTGGCTCGTCGAGCTAAACGAGCCAGCTTTTTTTTTTAATAAAAAAATAATATATAATATATATAAATTTATAATATTATATATAAAATAAAAAATAATATATATTTATTTCGAGTTACGAGTTGAGTTCGAACTTCTTGTTAAGAGACCAATTCGAGCTCGAGCTCAAAAAAATTAAGCTCGTTCGAGCTCGAGCCGAACTCGAATTAAGTTAAAAATTACTCGAGCCGAGCTCGAGTATGGGTAAACTCGGGCTCAACTCGGCTCGTTTACACCCCTACACCAAACCACTTGAGCTAAATTCGATTCTCAATTAATGACATTCAAAATCGACTATTACCACCAAATTCAGAACGATAAATTATGTTTTTTTAGCAGCCTGTTTTGGGAAAAAAAAATTGCATCTACAAAAATTAAAATCTATAAATTGTACATATTTGTTGGTCTTTCAAATTGAACATTAATATAAAAAAATTTAGTCAAATATCATGTCTATCTATCAATTCTATAATAAATTTTATAGAGGATATAAATCTCATAAGTCAAATTTTTAATTTAAAATTTGAATTTTTTTTTTTTGGACGTAGATTGTATTGTAAAAAGAAAAGGCATAAATGGTAAAAATAGAAGTGTACCATTTTGAATAAAAAAAAAAAGAAATACTATTTTGAATTAATTCTTATTTTCCCAGCAGTGTACCATTTCTGAACCTCTTGCCATGTGCCAAAAATAGAAGTTCGCTCAGCCTTTATGAAAAAGGTGGAAAAGAGGAGTAGAAAGAGTGCATGCATTACATTTGATTAATTTCTCCTTAAGCTTAATTTATATTCATCTATTGCGACAGACAGATGTTAAGTCAGGAACTAAACTGAGGAAGATCTAGGTAATAGTCATGATTATGTCAAAACTCAAAGGCATCATCAAAAGTTGGGTTTGTGTGATAATTAGGCAGCCTTCCATTAATTTTTGTTTTTTACTGCAAAAAGAACAATAGTCAATCAAATACTTTCATGCCTCTACTTAAGCACGGAAGCCGCAGTTTCTTGAGACCATAGCCATTTGTACTGGATTTGCATAATAATATTACCCATTCCCTGCTTTTTTGGTGTTGAAATTTTGATCAAAAAACAACCTCTCCAGTAGCTTTTCTTTTACATCTTACTTTGTTTAGAACACACTACGAAGTGGCTTTTGAAGCTATTGTTTAATTTGTTATGGACAGCAGACGGGGGACCAAGCCTAATTAATTACCTTTTGGTCCAATTTGCGTAGCCATCAATCAGGATTCGAACTTTGCCATGGTCATGAAGTAACCTTAAATACTTTGCCCAGATGTTTTACTCATCAAGGTGTTTACAATTCAGCGAGGGGAATTAGTCATTGTTACCAACGGTGGACACTCTGTAAATATGAAAAAAAAAATAAAAAAATTCAATCATGAATTGGCGTGGTAAATTGGTAATAGAAAAAGATCCCCATTCGAAAGCCATAGCCCCATAAATAAAGAGCTTCTTAAATTGATCTTGGCATTGATCAAAATCATATACAGTCTTTCCCCTTTTTTTCTTCATCCTTCACTCTCTAGACACTACCTTTCATTTTTTTGCTCCCCCCTCGTGATGTTGTTGTACCGTGGTCAAAAGACATGCCAATTTTCTCCCATAAGGTCATTCAGAAGACACAAAAACCAATTAACAAAACACCAAAAAGAGCTCAGCTGCACCAACTCAGGCTGCCTGTTTTGCATCATGAATGAACCGGACCCGTCCCTGAGAAGATCCGGACTATCCAGATGCTTCAGCCGATTACATCAGCATCAAGTAGAGGATGACGACGACGACCTAGTCATCACCTTAACTGGGCTGTGGAAAATCGCGCTGGCTAACCCGGATGACCCCGAATTCCCGTCTCTGGGTATTTTTGATTGCATGGCCAAACTCATCCACAAGTGCATCAAAGGCAGGAAATGGTTTGCAAGAGGGAACAACGTGTGCATCCCTTATTACGCCGCGCATATAATCGGATCTTACACTATCAATAAGGAAAGGTTGGCGGAAATTGCAGTTAAATCCAACGTTATTCCGCCACTTATGGAGCTTATGAAGGGTAAGTTTACTTGGGTTGAGCAGAGGGTGGCTGTTAGGGCCCTCGGACACATTGCTAGCCATAAAAGCACTTTCAAATCCATTGCGGTTCATGAAGAAGAAATTATACACTTAGCAGTGAAGATATCTTCAACATGCTTTGATACTGTCTGCAGGGAATTTCTTCGCTTGAAAGTTGAGGAAAGAGTGGGATATCACCGTGATCTCATGAGTAGAGGTCAACAATATGGAGGTTTGGAAATGGAGAATCAAAAGGCAGAGGAATGGGCTAGTCAACTCCAGTGCTGGTCTCTCTATCTTCTCAACTGCTTCACTGTTCTACGAATTAGTTCTATTGATTTGATCTGTAAGAAAGACTTCTTAGAAGAACTCTGCGATATGTGGGGAGGTTTCCAGAGTATCAGCTTATTTTCTGGTGTTTGCTTGATAAGGAGCATTTGTTTAACTAAAGATGGGAGAAGAAGAATTGCCAGTTCGAGAGTAGTTATAGAAGGTCTTTGCAACTTGTCTAGGTCTTCTGATGAATGGCAACGCAAGGCAGTTGAGAGCATTCTGTTACTTCTTCAGGACCAAGAAACCAGAGCTGAAGTGATAGATCTTGTTCTTCCATACATGGTTGATTTGGTTGAACTTAAAATCGTCAAAGGAGACAGGGTGGCCAACGTAGGAGAGACAATCACAAGATTGCTTCTACAAGATTACGGGAGAATCAAATTCGGTCAAATGGCTTTGAAGAAACAGAAATCTCAGAGTGCCCTTGAAGAAATATGGAACTTAAAAGTGGAGAGGATAAAAAGGGATGACATGATATCTGAAGAAGAATTCAGAGAAAGGAAAATCAAGGTAGGATTGTTGAAACACCAAGGAAACCAGAAATTCTGGGCAGGAGATGCCGAGGAAGCGGCAGAAAAGTATACAGAGGCTCTGGATTTGTGTCCATTGAAAATGAAGAAAGAAAGGATTGTTCTGTATAGTAACAGAGCACAGTGTTATTTACTACTTACAGAAGCAGGATTAGCCATTAGTGACGCAACACGAGCCGTGTGTTTATCTGGTTCCGTGAGGCCTCATCTGAAGAGTCTATGGCGAAGATCGCAGGCGTATGATATGTTAGGAATGGCTAGACACAGCTTGATGGATTGTTTGATGTTCATCAATCACAAGACCCAATTCAAAACCAAGAGAAACATAAAGGTTCCATACTACGCAGTCCGCATGTTAGACAAGCAAATCAATGCCACAAAAGCGGTATGTGCCACAAGCAAATCTGAGCAGGTTGGGACAAAGAGATAGGTTAGGGTTGTTGTACTCAGATTCCTGTATAAATCTGGTTTTTAAGTGTCAGGACTCATTGTGTTCTTAGCTATTACTCTACCGGTCTACCCATCCTAATCATTTTGGGACAAAGGAAGTGAATGCATCGGAACACTCTAAATCTAATAAAACTTAAAGGGCTTCAATCCTTCAAAGCCTTTGTTTATCCACGCGATTACTAATGTGGGGAATCCTCTGTCTGTTGTTAGCTTGTTTGGAAAATAGGAGAGGCAGCTAGATTGCGTAACCTAGCCTAAAAGCTCTAGAGACAATGCCTACTTTTTAATTAAAAAAAAAAAAAAAAAGAAACAACAGATTTTCTTCTTGGATTTCCATATCGTACCAAACGCAAAGATTTAGTGGGCGTCCATTATTGTGATAGCTCTATTATTTTCATATGTTTGGCTGCAACTAGAGCACTCATTGGAGAATAATTGGAATGCGAATTGTACAGTGGATTACAGTATAAGATTACAGAGGTCATCATAATGCACCATTTACATTTTACCGTGCGCAAATTATGAATTTCCCATCATCCAAACCCCCAAAATAATAAAATAAATAAACAGCTCAAAAGAGGCTCCGTAGCTGTTAAATAAATTACAATCTCAATTTTATTGAAGGAAACAATCGTGTTTTTTGTGTGTACAATTACAAGTATGGTAAACCCAAAAAAGAAAAAAGAAAGAAAAGAAAAGAATTACAAGTATGTATTACAAGTATGCTTTATCATCGATTCATTCACCTGTTGATAATGCCAACAACTCAATCAGAATAAGTGCTGAGAGCGTGAACAACAGATCCTATAGTCTCAAATGTTGACGCAACATCCGGGTAGCCTTTCCAGGAGTTGGTGATCTTAAGAGATGGATACAACCAACTCTTCACAGATGCCACAAATGGTTCAGGGTCGAAGTTCAGAATGGCTTCCCAATCCACCTGTACGCCTTTAGGGATACTGCCGGTATACTCCATATTAGCAGCAAGTAGTAATCCAAGTAATACCACAAATCCCACCACAGCAGATCCCCGGGAAAGTGGCATGAAATTGTACCTGAAAAGCATTTCCAAATCATCAAAAAAATATATATATATACTCCATTCCAGTAAAAGAGAGCATGTCCAAGGAGAAGGTTGATAATTACCAGTAATATGCCATCTTCAATATTGCTTCTCTCACATTCTCAAGCGCATCGAAGTCAGTTGAACCAAATGTTTCACTACAATGGTGATCACATAGTGCCTGCAGATAAAAACACGATATCATAAACTTATGAAGTTCAGTTCATATGACATCTAAATAATCACAGGTTTCAAACATTCGAATTGTATTTTTAATAATTTGCAGATGCCTTCAACACAAAAAGCCATCATCTTATTCTGATATTATCTTGGGGAAATTCTGAGGAAGCTTTATGTTAAGCTTTAAATTAATTAAACACACAGCAAAGAGGGCATCTTGGTTTCAGTAATTACAGCACTCATACCTCCCAGGCAGCAGTCATTTCCAAGTCAAAGTCTTCCCATCTTGCAGGTGTACAAGGCGTTCTAATAGCAAAGTCAAATCCATTGTCCCTGAAAGGCACAATAAATTATGAGTGAACAAATAAAGAGCACCAAAAGAAATTGTTAAAAAAAACTTAAAAGAAAGGAAATTATCATATTGATCTGCTCAATTTAAACTGTAGTACTTTTTTACAAGGGTGATCCTTGTCCCTTCAAGACTCTTCCTGAAACAAGTGGAGAAGAAACCACAGTTAAGAGAAGTGTTTATTCAAAATAATAGAAACGTGAATGAAGCAGTAGACATTTGGAATTCCAAACATGAAAATAGAAAAATACCCATCCAGTGCTGTGCTGTTGCACCACGTAGATAACCAAAAATTCTGACCTATGGTTTGGTAGAGATCCATGCAGGATTCTGCATTCATTATCTTGAAGTGGCAGTTTTGATTAGTTGTGACGGGATGGATACCCAAACAGAAAATTGAAAATAACTAATGGATAGCTATACTTCTATTCGGTCACGCATGACACCAACACAACTTACTTTTTGCAATTTGACATCATCAGAAAGAAGAATAAGATTATCTTTTTCATCACAGACATATTTCCTCTCCTTTATAACCACCTTGGCCACGTTCATCATTCTACAAAGTAAAAACTGGTTAGAAAGTTTTAAAGGTAATTTATCTCTGAAAGTCAATAAATTCAAGTTCTACCTAGGAAAATTTGGGAAGTATCGAACAACTTTGGCTTGCCCAAGGACAAGTGGAGTGTGAGACCCAAATCCAGAAGCAAACCCCTCATTACTGCACAGAAATGCCATTATTAACAAGCCTCCTATAAAGTTTGAAACACTTCAAATCCAAAGGAAACATAATATTACTCCCCGTCGCATAATGAGACTGAATTCCAAAAGATTGCTACCAATGTAAGAAGAGTCAGATTCAAAAGTCAAATTGTTCTGTATCTGAACTTTCTCATTACAAAGTTAGACTTACAATATGCTCTGCTTCAGTCGACCAAAAATAGAAAAATGGACCTTCTATAGTCAGGAATGTAGGGCATAGAATAAAGAAAACAAAACAAGCACATTGTTCCCTTGACCTAGGATTATGTACATTACTATGCGTCTTTATCTGGAGCTAATAATCTTTTGACACACTATCAGGAGAAATACACCAAAGAGTAGGAAGCACTTCTTCTACACTTAAGTTAGGGCGGGCAGACATATATAAGCAAAGAATACAAAAAGCTAAAAATACTTCATTTGACATGGCAACAAGAATTAGTAACGATAGTTATCCAACCGTTTGAGATTCTGATCCTCCATCGTATAAATCATAGAGACTTACACTTGAGAAGATAGCATTCACTAGTATGAGGAATAAATCAAAAAAATTACCTTAACTTGTTGACCCAAACAACTGGATCACAAGGTTCAGATATTTGCCTCCATTTCACAGCCATATTGTATACATCATGCCATGACAATATGGATTTCATTGAAGATTTTTCTTCCAATGACCCATATGATGTCGACAATTCAGAAAAACTGCTAGTACTGCATCCTGCACCACCCCTGTTCTGACTAGAAGCAATTAATTTTTCTTTCCGCCGTACTTTCCTTCCAGATTTTGCTGTACCTTTACTGGATTGTTTCCATTCTAACTGTAAAGAACGCCAAGCTTTTGAAACTTTTTGCGCTATCTCAATAGCAGCCAAACCTGCCATTCTATGCTGGAAGGTAAAAAGAATGAAAAGAAAATTAGGGAATACTGATTGCAAGAGCAAAGCAGTTAAAAGCCACATAGCAGGCAAGAAAACAGTGCTTTTGCAAGAACAATTTCGAAAATATGAGCAAATTCGGAACTGATCACAAATTTAACAGAATATTAAATCCAATGATGAGGTTCAGCAAAAATAAAGAAAATAAATATAATGACAACATACACTTTCACACAATGGAATGAGAGGAAAACGAATTATTGAAGCAAAAGATATCATGAATAGGATAATGTAAAAAAGGATTGTCGCCAATCACATGCTACAGCTATCTATCAATTACCTGCCGCCTATTGGGCAAGAAACCAGGACAAAAATATTGGATTTTCTTGCCAATGGAGTCTGCAAGCTGCAGAAGGAGTGTCTTTTGCTTTGTGATTGTAAATTCTTGCTTTCTCAGCTTTGCCTTCCTTAAAGAATCACGTAAAGTCGGTTGTCTATAGACTTTTTCACAAACATTTTTTGGGTGCAATCTCTTACACCAGTATTCCTGAAAGATAGAAAACAAAGCATGAAAGTCAATTACCAACAAGCTACAAGAAGAAAAATGCATGGTTAGAAAACTAAAATGGTTTACAGGGTCTTGAATTTTGAATTTAGGATATACCACACCGAAAACTAGGTCCAAACAACCTAAAAATAGGATACGTGAACAAGATAGCAAGGAAGTGAGCTAATAACCTGTTCATAAACTGAAGTCCCAAAAAGGAAATCCATTTGCTTTTAGGAAGACCTAAACTATTTAGCTCTAGAGTTTGAACTTAAAGATACCGTAAAGGTAATGTGGTCATTGTCTACAAATTTGTTGTAACATTAGAAACAACTGCCTCCATATAGAATCTCAAATGCATACGAGAGCTGGTTACGGCAATCAATAACAAAAAGATTACAGTGAAGAACTTTCATGTATTACCTTAAAGAGGGGAGCAATATCTCCATCAATATCAAACCAACAAAATTCACTGTTGAGCTTGGAAGCAGTGTACAAAGCAATTTCTTTCTGCAAGAGTAAAATAACGATAAACTCAAGAAAATATCAAATTATTAAGCTGATAATAAATAAAATAATAAAGTAGTCAACAAATCGTCAGCAGCTGGAAGCTGATAATTTTTGCTGAAAGTTGGCATCAAAATACCTGGTAGAAGGCCATGCATTGAAGCACAAACTTTTCCATGGAATCTAATTCCACATCTAAAGCAGCATCATAATCTTTCACCTGTGTCATATAGTAGGCATTCAGACTATCTGGGCAGATAACAGACTCGTAAATTTTATCTATACAGACACAATTTCCAAACGGCAAAAGAAATTGGATTCACTCACTGCTTCTCTATATTCTCCAACAGCATGGTAGCAGGAAGCTCGTAAATACAAACACTCAATGTTAGAGCTTTCGGAGCTCAAGCCAACTGATAATTCCTTAATTGCATTCCTGTAAAAGTCAATTAAAAATAAACCCTACAGTAAAATGTAGTATTCAATAAAAAAGAAATGATAGAAAACTACGATATGTGATGTTGAAAATCTCCATAAACCACATATCTCAGATCACCTAAAAACGTGAAAAGGAACAGAAATTAAAGGTATACCCCTTAATTCAGGAAAAAGGTTTAAGGAAACTTTTCACTGCTTTATAATGAATTCGGCAGATAGTTACCAAATGTATTCCTCACAGCCCAAGTGAGATTTTTCTTCTTTTTTTTTTTTAGTTTTTTGGAAAGAAAACACTTATGTGAAACTTATGTGGATCATCAAAAAGTTAAAATGAACAAATCTTTAAGTGGGGGCAACATCGACTTCAGCCATCTATGATTAAGCAAGGCAGAAGCCGATCACACTCAACAAGGACACTTAATTATACATTTAAAGGACTCTGATGAAGGAAGACACCAAACATACAAGTTGCAATCACACCAGACGTACTTCTCAACATCAAAGTCATGAATAAAATATCCTACAAGTGAATAGTCAAAAGCTTGACAAAAAATATGAATAATAAAAGTTAAGATCCCTTACTTGTGCTCGCCCATCCCATGAAGCAGTAGCCCGCGAATGTGATATGCTTTGACGTACCTATCAGATGAAGATGAAGAGTGAAGTGCCATTCCGAATCACATTAAAACCTACCACTAGATCATAAGCATCAGTATCGGATCCGAAATATCTACCTTGAATCGATTTTCAGAATTTGCTCAAGACAGTCAAATGCCTTTTCTGAATTAGATAACTCTTGATACAACTGCAAATCCATCCATGAAATTAAGAAAATAAACTCAAATAAATAAACTAAGTCCAAGATAACAGCAGCAAGAAGACTGCAGGATTATAGAATTAACATTGTTCATATGTCGTTAAAATTAAAAGGGTTCATTACCCATGACCTAAACTCGATGCCTTACGTGAGGGAAAGTTGGACAATAAAATTTAAGGTTAAAATTATATGTCAGTTGTTTGTTCTTTCTCCTTTTCTCTTTGCAGGATCTATCTAGAAATCATAGGCATGTGATAGATCTTCTTCCTTGAGAATAATAAAAGAAGGGAATAACTACTAGATACCAGCCTGGTTCCCCTTCCGCAAAACAAAAAAAAAGGTTCATGATCAGGTTCAAAATAAAGATTTGGTAAAGTTAATTGTAGTCAGTAGCCCATCCACAAAGATAGCTCGAAACATACAGGTTGATGAAACTGGATACAATTAGCATTAACCAATTTGAAGTAGAAAATATTGAGGAACTTCCACCAAAACACATAAAATTAACAAGATTAGGAAGTAGCTTATTGTTCTTGGTAAGAGACAGTTTTTCACTTTGCATTGATACCTGGGCCAGATGAGTCCATGCTTCAAGGAAGCTACGATCAAGGTTAATAGCTTTTTTGTGTGCTTCCTCAGCCTTGGCATATTCACCAATGGCAGATAATGATAAACCCTGTAAAAAAGTTGTCCGGCTTCAGTGAAAACCGAGGAGCGTAATGTGCAACAGAAATGGTGAAACATGTACATCCTCAATTTGAAGTACCAGAAGATTGGATGTATACCAAATATGTGTAAGCTGATTTGTTGCACTTGTCAAGCTTTAGACAAGCAGATAAGTCTTCCACAGCAGCAGTGAAGTCCTTAAATTTGAAATTAATGATACCTGGATAAATTACAAATCTAACTATCAGCCAAACATAAATTAAAATTAACAACCGAAAGTCAACGACAAACATATTACCACTATAATGCATGGGTAACATTTTAAATCATGCTCTTCAAAAATTTACAATACACAAATAAAGGTACTTAGGGACATATTTCTGATATTTCTGGGGCACAATCATCTTGACATATGTGAGAATGCTGTCAAGTGCAATGAAACGAAAGCACTCAAGGAAGCCTACTGATTCAGCATCATCTCAAACGTAAAAAGAACGACAGACCAAGAAAAGTTTTCCCCTCGCATCTCGGTCGATCCTCCAAAGAATTCACCACACATTAACCCCCTCTTCCCGGGACACTACTAAGCATAGCATAAACATCAGTATGAAACACTTTGGGGCCACAGCTGGTCATGAAAGATATCGTACTTCTTCAAATTATAATGGCAGAGACGGCATCAATCGAATTACCTCTTTCATGTAAGATATCCTCGGAATCTGGTTCAAATTCTAATGCCTTGGTCAAGTCTGAGATTGCCTGGTAGAAAAGGATATACATATGTGACGCACACATAAAACACGAAAATGATAATCCCATTACCATCAAATGCATCCGTTACCCTAACAAAGCACTATGATGATCTCAATTCAATACAACAGCAGCACAATGGAAAATGTACAGAAACAAGATGAATATTACCGCAGCAGATTCTCCCAATGCTGCTCTCGCCTGACCTCTACGCTTCCATGCCTCCCCAGCTGCTGGATTCAATTGAATGGCCTAGATGAACAGACATTTTCCAGGATAAATAAACATAGTAATAAAAGTTTCTGAGGGGTCAAGGAAAATATTGTGGTTACTTCTGTAAAGTCGGCAATAGCTGCATCAAGTTCACGCCGGAAAGCATAAGCAGTTCCCCTTCCTATAAGTGCTTCAGGATAAGTTGGATCCTCTCGAAGTATCTGCATACACAGCACAGAAAGAGATGACTATTTTTACAAAGGTATATACTTAGTTTACCACAACGCTTCAATTGATTGGTGCAAATTCACAAAGGATAGAAAATAATGCTCGGGTATATAATGTACCAACCCCGTTCTACAAAGGAGCAAATCTGAAAATATGAGTAATACCTGGTCAAATATGGAGATAGCTTGAGCATAGTTTCCTTCATTCACCTGAAAAGGACAGGATGTTACAGAACGTAAGTTTTTTACTGTATGCACACCATAAATATCATCATAATACAAACGATAAGACTCTTTTACATCACAAGAAGTTTGTTGGATAGCCCCCCTTGGGATCAATGATAATGGCAATGTCGCACAATCTTTCAAAAATTAGGCCCAAAAGTTCCAAACATGCAATTTGTTAATATGTGATCAGTGTATCCAATCTTTTATTGAAAGTTCAGTATATTTTCTCCATTTAACGTGAATAACGGATTTGGGGGGAAGGGGTTGACAACGTGATAAAGCGAGGGGGATTGTGACCTTGAGGTTCAGATTTTGAACCTCAGCGGCTGCAATCCAAAGAAAACAGAAGTCAATAATCAATTATCATAAACCAGGACAAAGAAAAACACAAGAAACATAAGATGGACATAATGAATAGACAAGTCACAAAGACAACCACAATTCCTAAAACATATTATCTTCAGCAGACTTCCAAAATGATCAGTTATCAACCCAACAGCCCTCTTGGATGCAGAGCAATGGATCATTAGTTCTAAAGAACAAGATAGGAGATATACCTTTGCAATTCCCCTCGACAATCGAAAATCAACATTTATTGATTTGGTCTTTGATACCCTGGCAACACAAAATTTTTTGCCTTTTTTGGGTTCCTCAAACCATTCATCATGTGAGCCAATTTTATAGCTTGATCGACTTTGAACCTCCATATTACTACTTGTTTCAGCATTACTAACTGCCATCTTGATGGAAGATTGAGATGTATCTTTTGACTCACCAATGCCCCCTTTGTTATTGATTCTGAGAGTCCCATTGCTTTGTTTCTCATGAATTTCATTTGTTTGGCTGTGAAGCTTTTTATTCTTTGGTAATGTATTTTTTGACTCAATGTGTGTATTAGACCTATCAGATATGGCATCAGATATCTCTAATTTGTCATTTGATTTTCCGACTGAGACTAATTTGCCATCAGACTTGTTGTGGTTTTCACAAGTTTCATTTGTCTTGATAGAGACAAGAGGCACAGACTCGGCTGCATTCTGGTTGGATTCAGAAGAATCCACCACAAGACTACTTGCAACTGAATCACTTTGCTTGGCGTTTTTCAGCAGTTCTTCTAGCTGCAGCAATTGTTGCAAATTAGCAGAGCTAGAAAGAGCATGCTCAAAACCTTTCTCCCAAGTCTGAACTGCTTCTTCTTTCCTTCCTAATGCAGAAAATGCACGACCTACAGGAAAAGATAGGTCACAACAAGTTGATTATGCGCATTGACTTCTACTTAAGCAAGAAAAACAGCCAACTGTTTCTAAATGGTGATTTCTGTCAGTTTTGAAAACATTAAGAAGCAACTTATGGAAAGGATAGTAACATTTGTCACCAAAAAAATCCATAAGAAAGTTTTGAAGGCTTTCCGCACTCATGTAGATTTCTCGCAGAGATATATATAACGAAATTAAAATCAATTATTGACTTGCACAACAACAGAGCTCTCCTGATACATGCTCCCTCTGTAACAATTGTTAAAGCAGAAAACATTCAAAAAATAAAGTTTCACTAGGATTAGAGGCACTACAATTTGAAGGCTCTAAACAGAAGGAATCCGGTTAATGACTCAATGTAAAACTAAGAAATCCAATATGAATGGTCACAGGCAAGAGGTTTGCAACGTCAACCAACCAACAGAAACGAACAGATCAATAGCAGCAACAACAACAGAGCCTTAATCTGACTACCAAGGGTCTGACAAATCAAACAACAAAGTACCACTCGAACAGAGTCAACCAGTTTGCTCATTTATAAGGAACAGGGTCTATGGCGTAACTAAACAGCCGTACCAGTGATTTGCTTCTTATAGAGCAGGATAATGAAGTAATAAGAAAGGAGACACAAGTTTTTCTTTCAGAAAAGTTACAAATTAAGAAAATGATTCACAATGAGGAAATTATCTATTTAGTTGGAGATGTAATTCAAATGGGGAATCGCTGAATGTAATTTGCTAATTGGAATTGAAATTGATCCATGTGTGCACAACCTTCAAAAACAAAAACGCCTGCCTGAAAATTCAAATACTCTCATAGCAATAAATTTCAATGAACTATAAGTATTATTCAGAAAATGCACCTTTGAGGATGTAAGCTTGCAGCTGCGCAGGATCGAGTTGAAGTGCCTTATCGCAATCCTTAACAACGTGTTTGTGAAGTTCCAATTGACTATAACAAAAAGCTCGATTGCTGGAGAAAATTCAGTCCAACACAATTCAGTTTCACTACCAGATCAAATCCAGTTGCATTTTAAATTGAAAGAAACGAAGATGAATAATTCAAGTATTGAACAACACAAGAAATCGTGCTGCATGTAAAGGAGAAGTAATGAGGAACGAACCAGATATCTTGAATGTTGGAGGATTGGGCGAGAAGAGAATCCAGGACACGAATAGCCTTAGACCAGTCCTTGGAGCTACACAGCTTCGCCAGTTCAATCCTCTCCGCCACCGCTGACGCCATCTCCAACGACGGATCAGAAACACCACCCCCGCACCGTCACTTCCAAGTGCTCAGGGAGAAGCAAAAAAATAAAAATTAGATTACAAAAATTCTTTTCTTGTAAACTAAGCGCTCTCAAATAAATCAAAAAATTGTTTCACTTGGATTATTTCTCTCTGCTGCTCCTTTCTTTTTTCTTTTTTATTTTCTTTTTCCTTTTCTATTAGCCTCTAATTCGGAATTTATTTACTAACCCGAAAAAACAAAGGTGGAGAAAACGGGTTGAAATTTAGGATTAGGGGAAATGGAAAAGGAAGACCGAAAGACGAGTTGGGTCATCGACTCATTGGGGCAGGGTTAAGTGGGTTCACTAAAAATATTTTGATTTTTTTTTTCTGGACAGATATGTCTCGTGTTAGACGATCGATGGGGTCTTCGGTCAACCCACGCGTCGCTGGTCTTAAGTCAGCGACTTTGGTTATCAAAACAAAAGAAGACGGAAATGGGAAGCGCTCCATAGTCCATACCCAAATGGATATGGGTGGATAACCCATTTACAAAGCCCATTTTAGCGCACCACGTGAGGGACTGTGGGGTTTAGCTAACATCACATTAAGCCCGGGAGAAAGTTAAGGGCTTGTTTGACCAACATTTTATTTTTGTTTTAGTTTTTTATTTGATCTTGAAATGTGATTTAAACTGTGTTTTAGAAGAAAATTTAAAAATTTATTTAGGTAATATTTCAAATAAAATAATAATATTTTTAGACCACTATCGGACCACCTCCACTACCGCCGCCGCTGAGCAGGGACTGGTCGGCCGAATTTCAGCCAAATTCTGGCGACTTGGCCGAAATTTGGCCATAATCCGGCCTGCCGGTCGCCGCCGCCGGCGGCGGACAGTGGCGGCGGAGGTGGTGGTGTAAAAAAATGGTGTAAAAATAATGTTTGAAATAAATTCTAAAAAGTAAATTAAAAAATTGTTTGGATAGTATTAGATTTTATGTTTGAGAGGTATTTTAAGAGGTAAAATGAGACAAAATGCTAAAATGAGACTTGGCCACACAAGCACTAAGGGTTTGTTTGGCCAACATCTTATTTTGCATTTTGATTTACTTTTTTATTTGAAATTGAGATGTGATTTAAAATGCGTTTTGAGTGAAAATTTAAAAAATTATTTGAATAGATTTTTAATTAAAATAATATTTTTTTAACTACCACCGGCCACTTCTACCACCTACCTCCGTCGCTGGATTGTCCCTTGCCGCTGCCGCCCGGCGGCGGTCTGGCAACGGCAAGTAGCGGTCTGGTGGGGATGGAGGTGGTCTGGTGGTGGTGGACAAAAATTGTGTAAAACTAATTTTTGGAATATTTTTAAAAATTAAATTAAAAAATTGTTTGGATAGTAGTAAATTTTGTGTTTGAGATGTGTTTTAAGAGATAAAATGAGACAAAAAGGCAAAATAAATGTTGGACAAACAAGACCTATTTGAAACGTCTCCTAATGCTGACTATGCACTGGCCCTAATGTTCGCAATTCGGATATGAGATCACCTTCTACTTTCCTAAAGAAGATGATATTTCACAATTGTACATCCTCCATTTCAACTTAGTAATAAAATTTTTTTATTTATTAAATTTTCGGATAAAAAGAAATTGTTGCTTTTATTTTGAGGCATAGTTAAGTAATTTAATTATGTTACCTATCTATGTCTAGTATATTATACTAAGAGAGAAATCAGAGAGAGAAACAAAAGAGATTTATAAAGATATCACATAGGATAAAATCATATGTGTCATTTTCCCAACAAATGACAAAAATAAAAGTTTATGCAATTACACTAAAAGTCCTTGGAATTTTATGTAAATAAAAGTTCACCAGAATAAAAATTCTTTGAAAGATAAAATGAAATAAGCAATTATTGACGACGTAATTAACTCAATCCTGCAATTATTATTTAATATCATATTAATTATCACCAGGAAAATTAAGACTACATGATCTGGTCATAATAATAATGAATAAATGCCCACTTATTTACGATTCTTAGCATTAAAAATTTATTTTCAAATTCAAATATTATTCATTACCACAATTGCCATAATTAAGGTGAATGATCGATATAAAATATTTGCAGCTAATATATTTGATTCAAACTTCACCAATTATAGAAGTCAATTATAGAAGCCAATTAATTTCCTGGATGTACGATTTTATCTTCGATATACGCACATTTGATTTTTAAAAACCATTACATTAGGATGTTGAATAAAAAACTTAAAATCATGGAGTTGATCATGTAAGGAATTGGTTACACCACGGGTGGATCGGATCATTTGATAAGAAATAGATATCTCATGCCACTATAAATCAATGTGAATTTTTCTCCTTCCTTCCCATCCTGTACGGTTCCCTCATATTGATTTTCTTCCTAAAATTATTATTATTATTTATCTGATTTTTTTTTCCAACTTTTACAGATTATGGCGTAAATAACATTCTTGAAGCAAGTGTTATCACAAAACTTATTCAAACATTTCTAAAACGTATCGGGCCAAATACACTTTTTTTTTTGCCAAATCAAACATTTTTATGATCACACTTATAAAACATTTCTAAATTCTTCAAACATTTTTAAAATATATCGAGCCAAATACAAAATATTTTTTTCAAATACAAACATTTCTAAGATCTCCATCACTAGTATATACATATGTTAATCTACTCTTTTGTGATTATCAGCTACCATGTATGAAGTTAAGGGCCAACAAATAGAGTAGAGATGATGACAGTGATCCGCGCTACCTAATTACTAAGATAACACATATATGGAAATCAATCGACGAAAGGAACAAAAACAAACAAAACTAAAAATCACAATAATAGATGTTTTTCCATTTAAATTTTTCTTAGTGCTCCTTAAATTTTTTGGGCTTCATATAGAAAAAGTAGAGCCTTTTATCATTTGGATAGTCCCTAAGCATAATAAGATCAATACGAAGTTTTTTTTTTTTTAGCATAAGGAGTTACCAACTTAGTTAGCCAATTTAATTTGTCAACAACCAAGTTCTAGCAACTTGAGTTGGGTGAAGATTAATATTCTGATTGACAAACATATTTCACTTTGTACTAGGTATGTTATTGTGCCAAATGTTTTAATTACTTTGCTAAACTTGCATATGTTAATAAAATAAAAATGGTAATATTTTTCCAAATAAAATCATGTATCATGATTTTTTTCCCCCTCCAAATGGCAATTTTTTTTACTATTACATGGTGTTTAAAATATCTATATGTGTACATATATATATATATATATATATATTCATGACTTCATGTCATGACATTTTCAACATTTAATAATATTTCACAAATTATGATTTATACACATGTAATATACAACTTTCAGTTTTACAATTATTTCAGGACAGAGAGATATAATGTATCCCGCACATCGTGTGGGTTTAACATCTAGTATTTGTAAATACATTTTTTTTTTCGAATTGTTAATATCATGTCAACTTACCATATTATGGTAGGAAGGCTCGACAGGCAATCGGTTTGCTGATATGAATAACTCTGGCCATAGAATTAGAGCCAACTCTGTTAGTGTAAAATGTTCATTCAGGATACTTGTGTATTTTTCCATTAAGGGGCGAAAAAAATCTTACTATTACTTAAAACCAAATCAAATTACATTAAATAAAAAAGAAGAAAATAAAACACACACATACAAAAGCGAGCAAAGGTATTAACACTAGCCAATTCATGGCCAACAAAGGGGTCCAGTGGTTTGAGCTTTGGCATCCAACCTGAGAGACCCATATTCTAACCTGCTAACAACACTTTCAGTGTTGAGTTTGTGCAGGTTTACTTGCATTCGTCAGGAGACTTTCTGAGTATCAGATCGAGGCTTGCGTGCGTGGAGTTTCCCCCTTAGTAGTATTATCCCTTTTCCATAGGCTCCACCTACACCTAATAAATTAGGTACTTGTAATTGTGTGTAAAAAATAAAAAATAAAAAAAGCCAATTCACCACCTTCATTTTGCACAATCTAACGACCGGTCTAACAAAGTCAAACAAAGACAATGCAAACACTACAACCAATAAGCAAAAGGAAAAGAACACCACTCTTAAACGGTGATGTTGTGACGAATGTGGCGGAGGAGCACCGGGACCACAACATCCGGGGAGCTCAACTGGGGTAAATGGCCGTCGGTGGACATGACTTCGACGACGGACTCGCTGCCAAGGTGCTGGTGAAGGAATTCAGAAACCACCACCGGAACGGCCAAGTCCTTCATGCTCTGTATTATGTGACAGGGGACGGTGACATGGGGAAGCAAATGTCTCATGTCACTATAAAATATGGTCTGAGCCACGCTCAAGGCTATGTCCGGTCGCATGTTAAACAACGTCCGGCTGAACTCTTGAACGGCTACCGACTCCATGTCCCCTCCGACGCATAACGGCGCAAATCCGTCGCACCATGCTTTGTAGTTTGACTTTATAGCGTCCCATAGTTGGTTCAGATCTTCTTCCTCAAATCCTCCATAGTAATCAACGTCATTCAGGTACCTAATTAATCAATTTATTATTAGGAGAAATAGAAAAAAAAAAAAAAAAATAAGATTAAAGGCAATTCAATATTCGTTCCAACACCCTTTGCTATTTGCGTTAGAATCACAGTCACAGATTAGGGGGTTTGGGAAGTATTCCTGATCTAGTAATCCAGGCGTGTACAATATTAATACGTCGTGCGTGCCACCACCAAACGTCAACTCAGAATGGAATAGAAAATTAACTACCCTAATTGGTTTAAGTTTAATTCAAACATTTTAGTAGAAGTCCAATTGTCCAAAGATTAACCATAGAAAAAATCAACTGTACCAAGGAACATTGCACTTTAGCAATGTTATTAAATCATTGTGATTATTTATTTTATTATAACCCACTTGCATTGTTATTGAACCTTAACAAATAAGGATTTGTAGTCATCCACTAATTAAGACATGGATCATAAAAAAAGTTTGGATGTCTATTTCAGTTTTGACCTACCTTTTCGTTGGGGGGTTCTTATCTTTTGAAAAATCTAAAATGAAAATGAAATATTCTATGTATTGTAGCAGCAAACGAAGAAAGAAATATGCTATGTATTTCACCATGAAATAAATGGTCATCATTTATATAAGTGAAAAATAACCAAGACTGACCATTTGGCATTAGCATCTGCACTGAAATTAAAGTCGGAAAACCCGTAATTGACCCACATTTATGTTTGAACCCATCAATACACGCGCATGAACCAGCCAGCAATCGCCATTTGACAAAAACAAAAAACCTTTTGTACGAGGTAGAAATTAATTTGAAACTTGAAGACAAAAGTACCCACTAACCAATCAGCCTACATCATTTTGATCACTACTCAAAATTAACCAACATAACCAACTATGTTTAACCATAATAGATGCAAGTAAATTCACGGGTTAATTTAAGATAATCAACCATGAAAAATCTAAGATAATCCTTTTCAAGGTTTGTTTTTTTTTGGCTAACCTTGGAGAACCCGAGACAAAGATAAGCTTGGAGAAAAGATCAGGGCGAGAAACAGAGGCGATGGCACCAATCATGGCGGAAACAGAGTGACCAACATAGATGCAGGATTCCACCTGAAGCTCCTCAAGTATGGCGAGAACATCATAAGCATAGCCTTCAAGACTTGAATACCTTTCAAAGTCAAAGTAGTCAGGATTGGTAGTTCCAGCCCCCATTTTGTCAAACAAAATCACTCTGTAATCATCCACCAGGTGGGGCACCAGGTGCTTCCAAACTGACTGATCTGTCCCGAACCCATGGGCTAACACAATTACCCGATCCCCTGATCCAATTACCTTCACGTTGTGAGCTTCCTCAACTATGCCCATCGATCTTTATTGAAGATGATTTTTTTTCTTTCTTTAAGAAAAAGTTTGTGGGTCGTTGGCTGCTACAAATATTTGGTACTTCTTTTGGTTAAGGCTTTTGTGGGATGGGAATGGAATGGAAATGGACAGAGCTTTTATAATGGGGTGGAAAGATGACGATCTGAGAACCACATATGTTGAGATATTCCTTCTCGATAAGAAATACAACTACTTGTACTTGTACTTCTATACATTTGATTGCAGTTGCACAAGCATTCTCTTTCTTTTACAGTACAAAATCAATTTTTTTTTTATTTTTATTTTAGAGAAATAAAACTAATTTAGACAGATGGGTCGATTATTGGTAGGAATAAAAATTGAAATGAATCGTCTGCACATGAACGTCATCCACTTGTTTCCTGACCTTAAGATTACGGACAGGGGTGTACTGATTTTGATAAGTTCAAAAAATGATTTGATTTTATATGAGGAATTTATCGTTTTTTTTAAAGTAATAATTATGAATAAAATAGTCATTCTGAATGTCGTAAGTATTTGCGTAATGGGGTGTGGAATCTCTCAACAGTAGCGATGGAGATTGGCTAACAAAAGTATTGGAGATTCCTAGCCATTGGAGTCAATTGTTAGAGGAGATATATAAAAAAAAGGTAAAAACAGTATTGTTCTTCTACGTACACTACAGAGTCTCTGTAATTTACAACTCATTACCATGAGGTCCCGTTCGGTATTATCAATTTTTAATTACAAATTATTAGATTGGTGATGTGTGTTGATACTGATGTTTCCAATTGTTTAATCTTCCGGGTTTTTTTTTTTTTTTCCTTCTAATTACCATTTCTGAATATTAAAGATGTACGACTTGGGTAAGAGGAAATTGGGTGTTGGTTACTGAAATCAAGTACTTCCTCTGTCCCAAAATTATCGTCTTGTATGAAATTTCACTTTTAGTATAATTTAAACTAAAAATGAAAACTCAAACTGAACAATAATTATGGGACGAAGGGAGTAATATTGACGAAACAGGACATTGGAAAATAAAATAAAATTGTTGGGTCCCCTAACAACTAACTCTGTATAATGAACAAATTAGCATGAGTCAGAATCCAATTAATGGCACTGTATTTGTTCGCTGCCGTGATCACTGGATAGTTTTGCATTTATGATTGGGTTGGACCCTTTCGATTAAATAGTTATGGATCTAATGGACCTTCTTTTTCTGTAAATATCTTGGCATTAAACTGATTAAATCAGTATGGCAAATGTTCTAATAATTTATTTTGGAACTGCTAAAGTATGCACAAGTAGTATACAAATACAACAAATAAAAGAGTTATCTTGAAGTAGATCATGTATTCTTGTTTGCTTTACACAAGTAGTAGTATTATACAACAAACAAACCAATTATCTTGAGATAAATCATATATTCATATTTGCTCTATCCCAAAATAATCTTATTATTTACTTGAATTTTTACTTTTAATATAATTTATTAAAATATGATATAATTTCACCATCATTTCAAGGCCAAAGGAACATCTTATTAAGTGCTATGCTCTTTGGTTTTTATTTGTTCGCGGTATGCTCTTTGGTATGTAAAATTATGACAGTTTATGCTCTATTATTGCAGATGGAGCATATTCCTAAAATTTCATTCCTTGTGCCGATTGCTTATGTGGCTGATTCTCATTTAAGAATGGGAGAATAATTTTTTATTTTAAAAGAAAATTGTTTAAGATTTCCCGAAAATAAAATACTTTATCAAGCGAATATATACATATCCTCCGCACTCGGCAGTCTAAAATTTTTATGTATGTTTTCATTTTTTTCTTTTTAAGATTTTGAAGATGAAACGGACAGTGGTACTTTTATCGTCACTCATCACATTTTCCGAGTTCTTTGAGTTTAAAAAAAAAAAAAACAATTTCTCAAATTCCGTTCCTATAAAATGACAACAAATATCATCATTTCCTTATCATAATCCTGAAAGTAACTCGTCTGTAGCCAAGATGCAAGATGCAATTAATACCTGGCACACCCATTATGTGTGTTACGGATGAGTCGGGCTTTAGAATACCGTCAGCGTCAAGACCACCGACGATCACCTCAACTCAAGGTCCTCGTCCTCAACTACCGCCTTTACTCGCTCAGTCCGCCAAAGAATTTAACACCTGTGTTTTCAAAACCGGACCGGCCCGAGCGGTCTAACCGGTTAGCCCGAGAACCGGAAGTTTCACCCGTTCGGTTTCTATAAAAAATCGGATTCTGTATAACTCGATCAAACTCGGTTAAATTCGGGCAGAACTGCGATTTGACCGGGACTGGTACCGGTTGAATCGGTTTTTGCATATATTTATTAAAAAATTAATTTTTAAATATTTTTTAATATTATTTTAACCGATTTTTACTGGTTTCGAGGAACGAACTAACCCGTTAACCAAATAAACCCACCAATCCGGTCACGCTAACGGTTCACCTTCCGGTCCGGTTTTGAAAACATAGTTTAACACTCACCTACTACTATCCCTATCGATCGGATATTTTGAACGCTTTTGACACATTTTTACATATCTTTCCATGAGTACAATCTTTTTTTTTTTACCTTTTTCTATAGATCAGATTATTTTTTTTTATTTTTTCCTCTTACCAATTTGATGGCCAAAAAAAAAAAATTAAAAAATTAAAACTCACTAAGGATCATGTGATTCTTTCAGTCATACGATACAAATCTGCAGAAACAAAAATAAAGAGAAAACATAGTTGGGGGATTTGGGAATATAATAAGGTAGTAATAGGTCGAAAAATTGCCAAGGCCCAGTTTTGGATCGAGGCCGTTGTGTCATGATGAGTTGAACAGTAGGACAAAGTAGATAAGATGACAACAAAATTGGGCTCGTTTGCATTTAGGGTGTTGGGACCTTATTAGATAACAAGATAATAGTGCTTATCGGGGACAAATGAGGATTATGGGGCGTAAATGAATATGACAGAGTCACAAAACGTACTGAAATGGGCCTCCTGAGTCCTAATAGAGAATTGACATGCATGTGGACGTAATGTGGTCCAGTTTACTTGTCAGGTCCATAAGAAAATCGTGATTAAATAAATATATTTAGATCAAATTGAATTCAACCTGACGCCTCGAAAAAACGCTCCCAACTCTCTCTTAACTCTGTGATTCTGGCGACACTTGCGTTCCCTTCCCTGTCCTCCACAGAGGTGGTGGGGGAGGGCCCTTGCCCTATGGATCATGACAAGGATAACCTAGCCACAAAGAAGGTCAGAAACAGAGATGTAACGGACGCATTAAATCAAGTGGAAACAGGGGACTCACCCAAAACTTCTCAGATAGTCAGAGAGCCCTGCTCATTCAAAGATTCCCTAATTCAGGGGCAGCAGCTCCAGAACTCCAAAGGTTTTCATCTAGAGGAGGTAACTGCAGAGCCAGAAGATACCACTTATACTGTGATTAATGGTATGCCGTCAATTATCTTTGCTGATCGAGTCAAACAGAAAATGGAGAAAGCAATGGCCTGTTCAATAGTGGTCAGACCCTTGGGTAGAAATTTCAGTATTTTGGCAATCAATAAGCGGGTCATGAATCTCTTACAACCAAAAGGTGATATACACTTGGTTGATTTGATTGACGGGTATCATATAATCTGGCTCACTCATGAAGAGGACTATTATAATGCACTCCTCAATGGTCCATGGTCTATTGTGGACCATTACATCACTGTTCTTCTATGGAAATTGGATTTTGATACAAAAGCGGATAACATTTTGGCTATTGCAGCTTGGGTTAGAATTCTGGGACTCCCCGTTCATTATTTTCATGACAGTCTGCTCTGTGGGATTGCTAGATTGGGAAGTACCTGAAAGTTGATGGAAACGCTCTCCTCACAGAAAGGGGAAGATACGTGACAATAGCGGTTGAATTGGACCTCACTAAACCGCTGGTCGAAAAAGTCAATGTAGACGGCAAGGCTCTTACAGTTGAATACGAGGATATCCGTAGAATATGCTTCACCTGCGGCAAGTATAGCCACACCAAGGATGAATGCTCCATACCGTGAGGGACGCAATCAGAGTCCACGCCAGAAACTCAGGCAACTACCAGCTCGAGGGATGAACCGGCCGCCAACGTCTCTCCTAACAAACTAGAAGCTTCTATTGAACCGATTGTAACGGACAAAACCAGCTAGGACCGTGCTGCATGCCTTCCGATGCAAACCCAAATGGCTCCTAACCTTGGCGGGTGGAGCTACGCGTAGAAAAAGAAGAGAAAAGGCCCACCCCAAAATCAAGCTCCGGCCAACTCCAAGTCTCTATCGACGTCCCGTCCCAATCAAGAGAACCGCCTCCCAACCAATCTGTTTGCGCCGCTAGCTGGGATGGATGGGGAATCTCCGTTTTCTCGACCATCGGCGACAACCACCACCAGCATAGTATTTACTTTTACGCCCAAGTCTGACCAAGGATTCCAGATGGGAGGAACCAATAGAGCCCTTTAGCCCAAAAAAGGCCCAACCTCAAATGAGGAGCCCATTCAAAACTCAACGCAAAAAACAACAAAAAGAAAATCCAATCCAACGGCCCGCGATAAGAATTGGGTCAAGAGAGTCTCTAACGATAAAAGCCAGACCCAGCAACAATCTCAGCCCATATCTCGAAGCTCCGAAACCCATAAGGGCCAGCCATCTTTAGACCCATCATGTAGCAAACACCCGCTTCTTACAAACCCATCAATTGGAGAAAAAATAGAACCCCCAGGTCAAACAAATAGTAGACCTTAGACAGACGGTAGAAATAACCACACTGCCGTTTGTATCCCCCATCTAAATCCTATCCGGGAATTGGGTGTTGACAATCGGACTTCAGATTTGTTGAATCCTACTTGTTTGGAACCGACGGAGATGGAGCCGATTGTCGACAAGCCCCCCGACCCGGATGTGGGGTTCCACCTTAAGCCAAAGTTGAAGTTGAGATTGCTAAAGGGTTCGCGTCCGCCGGATTGTGGTGCAGTCATGGCCCTACGGACACGGAGGGAGCGACCGATATGGTGGAGGACCAATGGTGGGTGGCCATGATTGACCACCGGTCAACCGATGAGGGTGAACTTCCGGACGCTGTTTGGTGAGGGAATCCTCCACCCATCTCTTTTATTATTTTTTAATGGAGAATAGATTACTAGCATGGAATTGTCATGGTATTACTAATAGAAACACAATTGCTACTCTTAAAAACTTGATTAAAAGGCATAGAGCGCAATGTCTTGCAATATTTGAACCTCATGTTAACGGTGATAAAGCCGTGGGAATTATAAAGGAGTGGGTTTTAAAAATTCGCATAGAATTGAGTCGATTGGCCACTCGGGGGGTATTTGGCTATTATGGCGTGAGTCTATCTCTGTTGAAATTTTACGGAATGACTGGCAATTCATTCATGTTAAACTATCTTTTCAGAATTACTAAATGTTTTCTCACCACAGTGTATGGTACCCCACAAGCGCTAACTAAAAGGACACTGTGTGAGTGTTTGGATTCAGTTGCAGGTTCTGTTAATGGTCCATGGATGATGCTCGGAGATTTTAACGCTTTCACCAAAGAACAGGACAAAGTAGGTGGATGCAGATCACTTGGCTGCCGGCGTTTTCGGGAATGGATCTCTAGGAATGATATGTATGATGTGGGTTTTGTTGGCTCTAGATTCACCTGGGAGAAGAATGGTCGGGTATTCGAAAGGCTAGACAAAGCCCTGGTTAATGAGGATTGGGAGGATTTTTTTGGGGGTGCTACCGTCGTTCACCTCCATAGGACAGCTTCTGATCATTCACCATTGTTGGTTAAATTCTCACCGAAGGTAGCTACACAGGTCAAATCCAAGATGTTCAAATATCTCATTTCGTGGGAAGCTCATAAACAATGGAGCAGCTGGTTGGATTCAAATTGGGAGGCGGACTTGGATTTTCCTCATGCTCTGTCCAAGTTGACTGTCTCCTTAGAAGAATGGAAATTTACAGTTTTTGGTAATACAAACAAAAGGAAAAAAAGGGTGCTAGCTAGACTTGGTGGCATCTAGAAAGTTCTTCCTACAATAAATTCTAACTACCTCAGGAAACTCGAAATGACGCTTAGAGAAGAATATGAGCAAATTGTCACTCAGTAAGAACTTTTAAGGCTGCAAAACTCCAGGGCTGTTTGGATGACATAAGGCGACCGTAATACTCGTTTTTTCCATACAAGAGTGGAAGAAATAAAATATCAATCAAAGCCAAACAGTTGGAGAACGGGAGATGGTGTTCGGATCCGACACTTTTAGGAAATGAAGCTACACACTTTTTCAAAAAAACATGAAGTGGCACCAGGGGGGCTAGATACCAGACCAGGGGGTTATTTCCTTGGCTGCTAACCCAACAAGTGCAGAGACTCGAAAGGGACCTGAAGGACAGAGAAGTCAAATCGGCAGTGTTCGAAATGAGCAAGTTCAAAGCCCCTGGGATCGATGGTTTTAACGTGAGTTTTTATCAGCACAATTAAGATATAGTGGAAGGCTCGGTCTGCAAAATGGTTCAGAAAGCATTTTCAGAAGGACGAGTGAAAGAAGACATTAATCAAGCAATCTTGTACTCTTTCTAAAAGTGAGGAATCTGGAATGTTTTCGAAATCTTAGACCAATCAGCCTCATTAATGTGGCTGCGAAGATAATCTCAAAAGTGGTAGCGAATAGGATGAGGGGTGTGATGAAGAGTTTGGTGGATCAGACGCAGTCAAGTTTTATTCCAGGAAGGAGCATTGTAGAAAATGTTGTTATTGGCCAGGAAGAAATCCATTCAATGAGGACCTCGAAAGGGAGGAAAGGATGGCTCGCTATGAAGATCGATCTAGTAAAAGCATATGATAGGATCAGCTGGGACTTCATCCATGATACTTTAGAGGATGCTGGCTTGCCGTCAGTTATTACGAACTTGATCACGAGCACTTTGCATACGGGATCAACGCGTATCCTTTGGGATGGCATAATAGGGGAGGAATTCCGTCCCAACATAGGGGTTCGCCAAGGAGACCCTGTTTCTCCATATATTTTTGTTTTATGTATGGAGCGTCTATCACATGCGATTAAGGCGAAAGTAGCAACAAGAGCTTGGAAACCGTTGGTATTTGGTAACAATAAAATCCCCCTATCTCATTTATTATTTGCTGATGATTTAATTCTATTTGTGCATGTTGATTTCAAACAGGTGAAAGTCATTCGTGAGGTCATCCACTCCTTTTGCGTCACTTCAGGGCAAACAATAAGCAGGGAGAAGTCAGTGATCTACTTCTCCCCTAATGTTGATGACTTGTTGGCTGATAGCTGTAGTGATTACTTGGGTGTGCAAAGGGTGAACAACCTCGGTAAATACTTGGGGGCTCCCATAATTCATGGTCGGGTGAAAAAGGAGTTATATGCTGAGTGGATGGCAAAGGTGCGGCAGAGAGCAGCTACTTGGAATCCTCACAGAATCTCAATGGCGGGAAGGCTTACCTTATGCCAATCTGTGTTGTCGGTAGTCCCTATGTACTTGATGCAGTCAGCCTTGCTACCCAAAGGAACTGCAGATGGATCTGACAACATGCTACCCAAAGGAACTGCAGATGAATCTGACAAAGGAGACTAACCAACTCAAGAAGGTTCTCTACAGAATCAGCCTACGAGCTTCTAATGCAAGAGAAGTGGGATGACAATGACAGAGTTTGGAAATTAGTTTAGAGCTGGAGAGGTCCAAGAGCGTATGAATGTTTTCCTATGGCTATTATTTAAGGGTGTACTTATGACGAATGCTGAGAGAAAAAGACGCCATCTTACAAAGAATGGAACCTGTCACCTTTGGGGAAAGGAGGAACATCTTTTTTACATTTCCAGGGACTGTTTCCGAAGCAAGGAGCTCTGGCGTAGAGTCAACCCGAACCTCAATCAAGAATTCTCTTATGGCTCAGATTGGAGAAAGTGGGTCTCTTTTAATCTAAGTTCTCGTTTTTTGCAAGGAAACGTTGAATGGTCGATTTGGTTTGGTGGCTGCTGCTGGAAATTGTGGCGAGCCAGAAACGAGAAAACCTTTGGTGAAACATTTTGGTCCCAAAGAGGTCTAACCTTCTCCTCTTGTGCTCTAGTCAGGGCAGTAGACCATTCTGCTAGTATTTTTGCCCTCATGAGTGGGAAGATCATACATCAGCAACCAGTCCAGCCCTTATAGTTCCCACCGCCGTCAAATTCTATAAAATTAACACTGATGGTGCGGCTTCTTCGAATGGGAAGGCCTCAGCAGGAGGAGTATTTAGGAATAGTACCGGGCAATGGATAATGGGCTTTGCAGCAGGGCTGGGTTATTGCACTTGCCTGGAGGTTGAGTTTTGGGCTGTACTACATGACCTAAAAATTACTTAGGTTCTAGGAAGGTTCAGCTAGAAATAGACTCTATTGAGGCGGTAAGATTTTTGTTAGAAGAGTCGTCTTTTGTAAATAGTTGTGTATTCTGTAAAATTAAGAGCATGCTTGTTCTTGATTGGCAAATTTCGATAGAGCATACCCGGCGCCCCAATAATGCCGTGGCCGATGTGCTAGCAAAATTTGGCCTTTCTTGTCCCGTTGGACTCCATATTTTGTCGACTATACTGCTTACAGTCATGGAGAGTCTTGCACTAGATAGCCTTCCTTATCCTACCGACCAGAGGGATGTTTGTAACTAAGCCATCGGCTTCCTTCGTATTTAAAAAAAAAAATGAATTCAATTAGAAGGGGAGCATGAAGAAAGGCGCATAAATCATACTGTAGTAAATGCGTAGGGCACAAAAGTAAAACGATTTAGTAGTATTTCATTATCATCAATCACCACGAAGGAGTGTACTTTGTGCTAAAATTTGTTGAAAAAAGAAGAGAATTGTTTTAATTTTATTTTTTTTTTAATAAATTTATGTCCACTTCAAATACTCCCAATAAACATCAGTAAGCATAATGTTCCAAAACAACTGAACTGATGCCAAATCTCAGCTCTGATTTTCTGAGTTTGTATTGGAGATGGGGAGTTTTTACTTTTTAGCTCAAGACTCCACCTCATTTGTGGTTTTTCGATTGTTGCATCTGACAATATGCTTAAGTTTACACTTTTGCAGTTATATATATATATATATATATATATATATATATATATATTGTTATTGTAACAGTTAGAGCACGCACGTGATATTTCTCAATTAGTCATTCTTCTTACTATGAAATCAAATATTTAGTGTTGAACGAAATATTTCAACAAAAAAAAAAGAAGAAAATGATTGCTTTAATGTATGTCCTGATGGCAATTGACATTTGACAATCAGCTCCATGTTTTCCTCATTTAGGTTTATATGATAACTAGATCCGCATTAGAACTTCTCCGTTAGGGATGCCATGCATACTGTGGCTTAGGCCTAGCACCATATATATAATATAACCTTTTATTTTAACAGAAAAAACTTTCGGGTATATCATCAATGTTATCAATATATTTGGGTCAACTAAAAGGAAATGAGTTCATCAGATGCTGAAAAGTAAAAATAAAAGATCACTTGAACCATGAGGTATCTGTTTTTCAAAGTTCAACCTTCAAATTAAGGGTAAATTTGTCATCACAGGATCATCTTATTCGTTAGTGACAGAAAAATCTAGTTAAGGGCAGTGAAGTGATCATTGATGAAACAAAAACCCAGGATTTCATTCAGAAATGGTAGCAGATTGTAAGAGAATGAGATCGTGGGATTCGTATAGCACATGCTCCCAAGTCCCAACTCCAACAAGAGACAGAACTTTCGGCATATGGACGAATTTTCCAGTCCAGAAAAATTAGCGCCCGATTTTAGATGCGCCAAGCTTTGTCAATTTTCAGTTTTCTAAGGTTGATAAGTTGAAATGCACGCCTAGGCATTAGAGAAAACTGCCTCGAGGCTATGTACTTGACGAGCAGTAGTCTTCAGTCTTCCCTGGACCTGAATCCTGCCAAAAAAATCTATGGAGATTGGATGGAGCATATCAACAATATCACGTGTGAAACTGTGGAATTAGTACTACTGGGAGTTGGGACATAGTTCCCCACTTGGCGGTCCGAAAGTGGGGCGTTCTAGTTTTAGAACTACATTTTGACTTTCTTTGTTGCAGTTGCCATCCAAATCTTATCTCTTTAATTTCCTGTCAATAATGTAGTGATATTCTTATCGCATTCATTCATTTATTAATTACTTCCTCATAAGTCAAAATTGTGTGTGTTACTACTAATGATCATCAAAAAGAATAATACTATTATTAACAAATCCATACATTTCAAATGTAAAGACTAAAAGAAAAGCAACAGAAATTAGTAATGTCTGCGTTTAGCTCCTCAATAATTTGATGAAAACAAAGAAATTGAACCACAAATTTGACACTGTTAGAAATACTTCGGTCTCTGATTACAGTCTTTGATTTGGAGAACATGGCACATTCACACTTGATTTAATACAACTTCTCACCAGTCACAAATAGAAGCACACACGAAACCCACCCAACTGTAAGCCAAACTACATTTAAACTTGATCGTCCCATCGGATAATATAAACGCAAATCACTTAAACATTCATATCCACTGAATGATTGATAAATAAATTACTCATTCGCTATGTCGTACTGAATGTGACGCATAATGACCGGGACGGTGATATCCGGCGCACTCAGCTGCGGCAGGTGACCCTCCGTCGAAACGACTTCCACAACCGACGGGCCGCCGAGATTCTGGTGGAGATACTCGGACACCGCCACCGGCACGGCCAAGTCTTTGGTGCTCTGAATAATATGGCACGGCACGCTGACGCGGTTGAGAAAATCCCGGAGATCGAAATTAAATATGGTGCGGAAAACGCTGAGGGCGATGTCGGGCCTCATGTTAAACAGAGTCCTGCTGAATTCTTGCACCGCCACCGAGTCCATGTCGCCGCCCACCACCAGCGGCGCAAATCCCGAGACCCACGACTTGTAATTCTCCTCAATCGCACGGCACAATTGTTCCACATCTTCCTTTTCAAATCCTCCGTAGTAATCATCCGTATTGATGAACCTTTTTTTTCACCAAAAAAAAAAAAAAGAGTTAACAGGTAGCCCATCAAATTATTTCAATTTGTAGAATAAATTGATTATGTACCGTGGGGAAGCAGAGATCATGATGAGCTTGTCGAATAGATCAGGACGAAAAATGGAGGCAATTGCACCGGTCATGGAAGACAGGGAATGGCCGACATAAGTGCAGGAATCAATCTGAAGCTCCTCCAAAATGGCTAACAAATCATAGGCATAGCCTTCCAGGGTTGCGTAACGTTCGAAATCGAAGTAGTCCGGGTTGGTTGTACCCGCACCCATGTTATCGTACAAAACGACCCGGTATTGATCAACCAGATGTGGAACCAGGTGTTTCCACACCGATTGGTCGGTGCCGAAGCCATGGCCGAGTATTATGGTCTTCTCTCCCGTCCCCAACACCCTGACGTTATGTGCTGCTTCTGCCACTCCCATCTTTTCTTTTCTTTTTTTTTATAATTTTAATTGTTCGACTCCTTCTTTATTTCAGAATGAAGCTGCCAGTTTTGTGTGTCACTGTGTGTGTTTTAACCAAGCTGGAGGGAGGAGTGCTGTTTTTGAGGCGTTTGGTCATGGTGTTTCGGCTAGGAAAGTTAATGCAATGGGGCCCTGGTTGTAGACATTATGAGACACTAAAGACCATTGATCTATAAAGGCGGAGGAGGGAACGGCGGCGATGATACAGAACCGTGAACACATTAATTGATTGATTCATACTTTTGTCTCAAAATTTCTGCTTGATTCCAGGCAGTATTAGATGTAAAAAGCATGGGAGATTATTGTTGTGTGTGCATTTGATTTTTTTATTAGTTTTGTTTGAATTTTCTGAAAAGTGCTACTATTGTTGAAAGGGTCGGAACGTTGACGCGTGTCTCTTCCTTCACGGTTCGTTCAAGTAAACTGTGAAACGCTTTCCCAATGATCCAAGATTTTACTAATAGGTATATGGCATTCGAGAGTCAATGACTCGAAATTGGTCGGTGGAGCTTGATCATGTATACCGAGAAGTGATTTTCTGGCTGATTAAGCATCTCTGGCGACCTTAGTCTTAATCTTATTGGTCTGCAAAGACTCGAGTCTTCGCCAGAAGGGCTAGACCTTAGTTATAAACCGACGTGATAGGGATTGCATACTCTAAAAGCGTACGAATTTAGGCAATAGTCATCTCTTATTGTAATTAAAAAAATATATAAAAAATGATCCAAGATTTTTTATAGAGGAACAACCAACGAAGCCCAATATAAATTTATTAATATGGATCAAATTTGTATGGACTTTTTCCGGTCTGTTTCTGCAGAAGAAATGATATACAACGTCAGTTCTTTACACATTGAAGGCCATGTGTTTGACACAATGCTCCAACCAAAATCTTTGTTTGGAACTTTCTTTTGCCCACACTTTTAAACCTCCATTTGCCTTTTTGGTATGATTTTACCGGTGAATTTTTTTCTTCAAGTTTTCAACTTTTCTTTCACTAACTAAAATATTCAGCCATTAAAATTTGGACCATAAAAGGTGGTAGTGAGTTCTGAGTACGTACTATGTTATGATCATCTAGGAATAGTTAATTTCAGAGTTGGACTTGGTATTCGTTACTCTAATAATTCTATCATCTTTGAGGCCTCAAATAATTAAGGGTAAGTTGACTTCACTCCGAGGTGCTGCTGATTCTCATTGTTTTCCTTTTCAACCTGAAACCAGAAACTTATCCTGTGTAACTAACAAAAAAATTATAACTGCTTCCAGATTCGGTCTTAATGTTGACTAGATGGATTTCCCTTTGGAGGTTAAAGAACGTGCTTAAGGAAATCAGCCTCTCAGGAATAAGCACGGCCAAAAATCGATATAAAATATAACCTTATGATTCTATATGCAAGTCAGGATCTGGTTTTCCAACGAATGAACGAAGCTTTCACGAAGTGGTTTTTTAGTAGTATATACATAGGACCATTTCGTGCAACACGTAACAAGGAAGCTAGTAAAAGAATTTGACACCAAAAAAAAAAAAAAAAGAAAAAAGCAAACACACATCAGTCACATGTTTTGGTGGACACAGATAATGGAATAATGAATTGGTATTGAGTCAGTAGAGTTACACAATTGTAAATTTAGAATGATAAAACAGAAGATAAGAACAGGATATAAATATCAGCAACTGACAAACATATCAAATAGAAAGATAACTACGACAGGTTCCCTCAAATTGATATAGGTAGTGGTAACAGTCGAAGTTTGCCGGAGAACCGATGAAACAGATGTTTAGCCATCGGTTTTGTGAGAATGTTGGCTAGCTGATCAGCAGTTTGATATAGAGCGGACGGACAAAAATGTGAATTTTGACTGTTGAGGAAGCATGACTCACGAGAGAGCCAAACCAAGAAAAGGCCCAGGCCTTTTGATGACCATTCTTACAGGAAACTCCACAAAAAGTTTTACAGACTTTTGTAGTTTAGCATCTGCCGTAAAAAAGGTTAAAGCACATTATAATACTCGTACTAAAAGCGTGCAACGATTCAAACAAGAAACATTACAAAAAATTAAAATAAACGTCATCATAATAGCCCAGAAAATTGCATATATTTGCTATGGTCTCAATACCGAAGTGGTTTTATATACCATTCACCAGTCACCAGCATGATTCTCCATCCTATCAGTAACTGTAAGCAGCACATGAGATGTAAATCTGACTATTAATTACATTGCTTGTTAGCATATAAGACACTCATCTACAAAACAAAACAAGATAATGTGAGGAGGAAAAAAAAAACCCGTGATAAAGGTTCCACTTTGCCATCCACCACAATGGTAAAAATATACGTCACTCCTAGTCCTCTCCCCCACAGTAATTTTGCTTCAACGATCCCCTTTGAAGTCTGAACCAGTTGAAGGCTTGACGGGATCACTATTTACAGGTGCGCAAAATCGCCTTCTCGGGGTTTCAAGGAGAAACCTGGGGTGAATTCTCTCCATGCTTCTTTACTGAATTCAAAGAGAATATATCGACAGGGGCACTAGTGCAATCAAAAACACTGTTATCCTTTGGCCTACCATCAGGAGAGCTTTGATGATCGAGGAAGACTACAACTACAGTAATATCGTCATGGAAATGGCGCCTTACTCCTTTCTCTATTCTCTTTATGTCATCATACTTCATCTCTCGCTTCTTAGCTGCCTCTTGGAGGGCAGCTCTTACAAGTCGCTTTGCAATTCCCTGACCACATGGGAGAGAGAATCCTTTCAATTTTCGATGGCGAATAGAAGTCAAAGCAACTAACCAACTATAGTCATCAACAATCCGGCACGAGTTAATATTGAATTTTAAAACATATCAAACAGATTCTTACCACTCTTGGGTTTTTTACGACAATTTCCACTGCTTCTTCATCAGAAAGTTGTTCCCATAGACCATCTGAAGCAAAGATCACGAACGAATCTTGTGGCCTTAACTTCCGAATCAATATGGACGGCTCAGCAGACATAACAGCTCTTTTCAGAGGGATGGGATACCCATAATGCTGGAACATAGGGTCTCTGTTAAACTCAGGTTTCTTAAGATAGATATCACCAATAGACCTAGAGACCTGAGATAAGAAAGAGTTGATCAGAAGAGCAGTCAATGCAGCACGTCAAACAACTAACTAGCGCCCTCCCATTAGCAAAATTTATATGCAAATTTAGCTACAGAAAATAGATTGTTTATCGATGGATCTATCTACCCTGTACAATGGGGAGAAATAGGAGAACAGACAGACACGCATGCTAGCTGGCATTCAATGTTGAAACTGATTTCGTCAATTTTAAAAAGTAAAATTATCTCCAAGAACAATTTCAGAGAAACCAACAACTACCTTAATATAAAGGCATGAAACAAATGCATTAGAAACGCTTAACAGAGCATTTAACATTCTCCCTAGATTACAGCCGATGTATGTTTTCAAGGAATGTCCTAGTGGCTAATTCACCTTTACGTTCACATCAAAATATATGCAACAATTCAATGCATGCTAACTCCAAATGCCTAAACCAGTTCTTGGAGGACACCTAATAGGGAACTTTGAACACCTAACTGCTCTTTTAATGTTTCAATAAACAGAGGATATGTACTTGATAGCAAACAAAGGAGAAACTAGCACATCAGCATATTCATGTGATATAAAGCTCTAGTTCGCAATCAGCCTAACTAATTGACCAAATTGAACATACAAGCAGGACTGACATCCAACACGAGCAAACAAAGAACAGCAATTAAAAGAGAACTAACAAAACAAAGGGAAACAGTACTGATCAATCATTGTACCTGAATAATGCCTTTAATTCGCCAAACTCCTCGAGTATAAACTACTACGTGTGCATCATCAGGATGAAGTGCCTCGACCTCCTTCCTCACCTCCTCAACCGCAACATTATGATCAGTAGATAACCGTTCTGCCACCACTGTTGACGCATTACTAGAAGGGCTATCGCTTACTCTCTTCCCAAGCACAGCCCTTGAGTCGCCAAGATTTGCCACATATAAAATGTCATTTGCAATTACTCCAACGAGACAACACGAACCCACTGAAGCGATTTGAGGCTGAGCCACCCATGAGCGCTTGACCAAATGCAAAAATTCTTCTTCAGTAGCATCAAATGCCTTCTTTATAACCTCCTCCGACAATCCTCCTTGCTCTAAGGCGAACTCTACAATTCGAAATATAAAAATGATTTCCAATTCCCAATTCCAAAACACTTGCTAAAACCCTAACAACCAAACTTCCGCGTGCCCTCTTAACATAAAAGTGCAGAACATAACTGGAAAATATTAAATGAAGTTATCAAGCATTGAATTCTCTGTATCCCTATTTTCAATTCGTGCAAAAGGCTCCATCTCTACGATCCCCAACAAAAACAGACAAATTTAGCAAACCAGGTCAAGCGTGCCAAAAGAAAACAGGAAAAGATTGAAACAAAAAGAACAAATTATAAAAGAAAGAAAGGGTTGATGAAGGTACTATGGAGGAAAGGAAAGAGATGGTTGTTGATGAAGCGGGAAGCTTGAGGGCCACCATGACCATCATAAACACCAATATAAGTAGCAGAATTTGATGTAAGAACTTGACCCTGATCTTCCAGGTTAGCATTAGCCTGAACCACCGCTATGGAATATTCACCTGACGCATGTGGCTTCAAGTCCATGTGCCACAACAGCCCATCTCCTCCACCTCCGCCACCAAAACAACTCTCCCACGGCTTGTAACAATAACCCAACATATCTTTCTTTAAAGATCCACTCCTACACGGAGTTGGAATTCCAAAGAAATATCAAGAACGGAATGTTTCCTTCCTTTCTTTTTCTTTTTCTTTTCACCCCTTTAAGAAAATGATGAATAAAAGTCAAGTTCCACTCCCAGAATTTGTGCTCAAAGTCAAGTCTTTTTGGTAGTTGTTGGAATTTGGTGGGGCGTTTTTGGTCCAGTTGGGGGAGCAAAATCCTCTAGAGGGGTTTATGGTAAACAGAATTCTTGTTAATTGCTGCCACCAGATGATATTAGTCTACCTCTACCCTACCTGACTGACCCTTCTACATCTTTGGACTCGAGAAAAGTTGAATATATATATATATATATAAGTACGGCTGCTATTCTGATTTCTGGGCTGGGGGATGAATAAATGGCAATTGGCAACCTTAGTTTTCAATCCCTTTTAACCCAAAATAAAATAACATAAAATTCAATCCAGGTATTGATTTCCTTCGAAAATCTACCTTTGATCCAAGTCACCATCAACATTAAAAAATGAAAAATAAAAGGTTTCCAGTAATTTGGTGTTAGTGGGAGAAATGAGAAATAAGCAGAAAAGGGGGTTTAGGCGAACGAAAACGTGGGAGTTCCGCGTAAGTGGAGTGGAAAATGGAATATCCCCCAGAAATAGGTATTGAATTATTAAAGCATACTACTAAACAAATGAAAGATTACAGATAAGTGGGAAATTCCATGGTATAGAAATGAGAAATAGTCAAGCCAAAACTAGGTTCAAAGTAAACGGTAGAGGTGTGGCATTGACGTGGAATGAAAACCTTGTTAAATTTGTATGTTTTTTCTGTATGTCAGATTCACATTGAAACTGATAGGCAGTGAAGATTTTCAAGTGTTTCTTACCCTATTGCTATTGCCTATTGCAGCATTAACTTTGACGAAAGGGTAAAATTTGAAAGAAGGAAACAGATACGTACTCCCTCCCATCCAAGAAGAATCTTTTAGAATCCAGAATTATGTTGAAAAACGCATTATTCATTTGCACCATCCGTCTTAAATGTTGTTTGATTGAATATGGAATATAGTGTAGTTTGCTAAATCAAACCATTTGACCTTATGCTTTTGTTAGTTCGTAGCTCGCTGGTTTTTTCTGGCCGCCTAATCACTGTACCTGATTGGAAGATATTTGTAACGGATAAGCTAAGGTATCCTTTAATTTGGTCGTTTCTCAAAACACTGGTCCATTGACCCGAATTTTCAATCTTTGGAAGCTTCATTTAATAAGTTTAGGTTCCAGAATCTATATCTAAAGTCTAAACATCACCGTGATTGGTGTTTCAAAAGGAATATTTGGAGCAAGTGACAATCAACACACGAAAAATCTGAAATTGAGATATGAAAGATCGTTATTATATTACACGCAATATAATGTTAATGCATTATTCAACTTGAAATGCATTTGGAAGGTGAGCACGGGTAATTTTAAGTGAAAATGAAATAATTATGATTTGTGAAAATTGAAACACCATTGTATAGAAACATCACCGGCAAATATCGTTATTGTCAATTGGTTTTAAATAAACTTGTTAATCAAGTACACTAATAGTTTGGACTACTGTCAATGGAAAAAAAATACGAATGGTGACAATTAAAAATTGAATTAAACTTATTTTGTACGAAAGAAAAAAATCAAACTTTTTTTTTGCGTCATTTTAACGTAAATATATGACACAAAAATGTGATATTAAGTAAGATATTTGTAATTTTTCTTTTTTCTTTGAACTATATACATTCAAGAACCGTCTTACTGTTTTCCCTTTGAGAACAAAACAGAGTATGTTCAAATTTTCCTTTCATTTATGATCAATCCTTTTCACCGATCTTTCTCTCTAAATAGAGGTCTCGTCTCTTCCACTAAAGCTCAAAGGTTTCATGAAAATGCCATTTTCACACGCCAGAGATTTTAGAAAAAAGAAAAAGCATCAGACTTTAATCATGAGCCCCACTACCACCAGTACACCACCACATTCCTCCTGCTGCCACCGCTCAAATCACTGCTTCAATCATAATCACGCAGTATAAAGGCTTCAAAAAACATTACTTAATACATCTTAATTCCTCCAAAGGTTACTTTTGACACATTCTAGATTTCAAATTAACAATATTATAATAATATCATGTATATTAGTATAAAGCAACTGATCTGAAGATTAGTAAAGGGAACAATTGGGAAAAAAACTCAAGGATCCTACAACTTTAAAAAAAAGGCTAAAATTGACAAGCATGCGCGATTTGATATGACTACTAATGTTGTTGATTCTTTTCTGCTTCATCAATCACAACAGGAGAAGCAGCAGCAGCAGCTTCGAGTGAAAGCTGCCTTAACCATTCAAACGTACGATGACGTGACAACGATTGCTTTCTTCCTGTTTCTCGATGTTTTGTGGTCCTGATATCATCTTCTTCTTGATCTGCATGAGAGGCCATCCCTTTTGCACTGGCACTTCTCGTGACTGAATTGATTGGAACCCTTGAAGGAACTGGCCCGACAACCGAATTAGATGAACATTTACACCCGCTGAAAAAGACGCTGTTTTTGTCAAAGAATTTTCTCTGATGTCTCCCCTGTTTTTTCTCACCGGTTTCCTTAACGGTTGTACTGTTAAGGTTGCTGGTGCTATTCCGACTGCCGAAATTCTTCGAACTATTGTTGCTCTTACTTCGGAATTTGAGGTCTTGCATTGCGATCTCTGGCGTCGTCACCAACCCAACTCTGAGGAAACTCCAAAACGTTGAATTCTGGTTGGAATGAATGCTGGTATTTCCTCTGTTCTTAGATTTGGAATGTCGGATTTGAGGTTTAGGACTCGGGTGGGAGAATTGGAACTGAATTGGAGTCTTTGGACATCTGGTTTTGTTTTTGGGAAATTTAATGCTCGAAGAACAAGAATTAGTACTTCCGGTACTAATTGATGAGTGATGGCTGTTTATACTACTACTTCTGCTACTCGCACTGGTAAAACCAACTGAATAAGAAGAGGAATGGCCCATTGATTCTGACCTTGAAAGGCACCTAATTGTTGTGTTCCGGCCATTGTCAAAGCTGATTGAGTGGCGCATTGGCAAGATTTGCCCTTGGAAGAACACTTCATCGGCTGCACACATTTCGGGTTCTTTCGAAATTGGATCTACCCACGAGCAGAAATTGAAGTCTTCTGAAGGATCGGCAATGGGTTTAGGTGGAGGAACCGTCTCTTTCCTTGATTGACGATTTTCTTCATTGATTGGAAGATCACACAGAGACAATGCTTCTTCATCATCATCGTCTTCTTCTTCTTCTTCCACCAGATCATTGTTGTTGGGATCTTCTGAAAGTAACCATTTTTCATCATCACTGTCAGCAATAGCCCTCATCTTCGAATTTGAAATACACTCTTCTACAAAATGCCTGTCCATTTTCCCGATTTTATGAGGACTTTATCTTCAGTTTTTATAGGGGGAAGAAGTTGGAAAAACAGGGACAGGAGAATGTAAAGAAATAAAGCAACATCACAACTCTCAAGCTACTATCAATGCCAGTGGTACATTCGAAGGCTGTTATTAATTTTAAAAAAATTATATTTATAGAAGTGGAACGTGGTGGACAAATCAGCGCAGTCGACCCCAATTATGCTTCTTTTCTTGTTTGGAGGAGAATGAAAAAGAAGCTGTTATTCAAATTAAAAATGTCTTGGGGGAAATACAAAAAATATATTGAAGCTATGACTTTTATCACATGAGCGTGCCTTTCTTGCTCTGTTCTTCAATCTTCCTTGTCAAATGATTAGGTGAGAGAATTACAGCAATGGATGTTTTGCCTTTGGAGGGGGAAGTGGGGACTGATAATATTATGTGATTACCAGCATGCTACAATCTGCACGCTAGGTTGATGGGGTACTATTAAATTTTTTTAAAAAATGTATATTTAGTTTTTTAAATTTAGCATAGGTTATAGCACCATGAAAATGAGCGATTTGGAATGAGGAATGATACTAACCAATCAAGCAAAAAGCACTTGAGATAGATTGATAAAACGTCATTTAAAAGATTACGTTGCTTGGGATTCTTCCTCTTTTTTTAGAGCTAGACTGACGGAGACTGCAAGTATATCTTCTCTTGTTTTTGTCCTTTTCCAACCCCGCAACCTCACTTAATTATCTGATGTACTTCTGTTAATCTACTCCAATAAAACAAAATCCCGAGTTATTCATTCCTATCTTGACTAACTCCATTAAGAATGATACTCCCTCTGCTGATTATTATAAGACATTTTGAAACATTTTGATTTCGTCCTAAGTTTCATCTAAGATGTCTTCTTAATTGGAATAAAAATTATAAAAATATTTCATAATCATTAGGAGAACACAACAAATGTGAAAATATACTTTTAAGATTTTTTTCAAATTAAAAAAAAATCCTAGGTTAAACCTATAGTGAAATCAAAATATCTTATAATAAAGACCGGAGGGAGCCACGTTACTGACTTCTATATATTTTTTTTTTTTAAAAAAAAAAAACTAGATGTTACCCCCGTGTGATGCACGGGACTAGATGTTATCCCAGTGAACTTCACTTAAATGTGGGTAAAATCTCCCTTACAATCCTGGTGAGAATCGAACCCTGATTTATTACTGTCATTCAATTCCCTAGTTGACTTCCATATCTTATTTTCAGGAGATTCGTAAAAAAAGAAAGTATAAAACGCACATATCTATTATACACATTTTTGGGTCGATCATCTCTTGCTGAGGATACAAACGGATTTTTACCAGTGAGAAATTACAATGGAAATGGAGGGCTAATTTTGGTAATATTTCTCAATCATAATTCATGAGAAATCTGTGAGAGTGCTTATTGTGGCAAACTGGCAATAGCTCTCCATAATAAATCATGGGAAGCCTGAGAGTGGAAACGTGAGGAAACACTTTTTACTTCTTTTGAAGTTTTTTGTGTTATTGTTGCTGCTTCTCATTGCCTCGATCTAAGGCAAGGAATGACACACAGATTAGCCAAAGCACCTTGCACTATGACGAAACATTTTTCATTCAGTAACTCATTAATTTTGAGTGTTTAATTAACACAATCTTAGGCAATTCCGAGCGCTGTTCCACAACATTACTCTCTCTCTCTCTCTCTCTCTCTCTGACTTCTGAAAATAAGATTCATGTCCTGAATATAAAGAGTCATATTTGTTCTCTGGACAAACATAATTTGCAAATTTATATTATCTACAATTTTATTATATCTTATCTTTATGGTATAATGAAAAGAGACAAACGAGTGGTAAGTGGTTAGTTAAACCACAGCCGCACTTAAATAAAAGAAACAAATTACGTCCTGATTTAATTTAACCACTGCTCCAATCTGAACACAAATTGTACTAACAAATGCAAGCCTCCGAGACTAATACTCCGTAGCATCAAAGGAAGCCTGCCATCCCTCAATAAGCATACTTTATCTTGACATGGAAAATATATCCCGAATGGGCCAAATCGCCTTAATTAATGCGCCATGTATGTATCCCGATCAGGTCACTTTTTTTTTTTTTTGGGGACAAACGTAAATCATCAGGTCACCCAGGCCTGGCCAGACTCCAGAGACCGTTTATATAACACTGAGACTATCAACTTTCCTTGCAATAGGCCATTTGTACAATACTATAGTATCGACTTCCAGGCACAATTTTCTTCGGCCCAGGTCTAGACATTAACAATCTAACATTATAAACTTACAAGTTACAGCCATAATTTCCTTCAACCCAAGTTTAGGCCAAGCTCGCGATAACTCATAAAAATTGATTATTAAAAAGAAGTTTAATTGTCGGTAGTCTTGTTCTCTCTTGCAATTCATATTTCATATAAAACTTTCTTTTGGTTGGTGATCCTCTGGGGCCATTACTCTTGGATTGTAATAACCTCAATTACTATGACATTTTCCGGAAAAATTCGAACGCGAATTGGCCACTGAATTGGACAGCAGTATAATAATCACATGAATCAAATCAGCACATAAATATTACACGTACAAGCCGTGCAGAGTCTTTTATTCAGTGTAACATTTTTCAAAAGCAAAAAACATCATCAAACAAGGGCACTAACTAATTAAGAAACGCCCTGTTTATTGATGACATCTGTGGAAGAAAGCTGTGCTGCCGGAGTGGCTTTGGCGCCGGCTTCGGTGGGGGCATCGACGGAGCCAGCCGCGCCTCGCCCAGGTTGTGGTTGGAGATGGCCCTGAGCTCCATAGCCTTGCTGCTTGTAATCCTCCAAATCCTTATACTGAGTGTAGGGACTGGTTCCCACTGGTAGGCCTTCTAATTTGCCTTCTTCCTTCTTGTCCATTTGCGGCGCTCCTCTATTCTCACTTTTATCTGTCATTTCTTCTTTTGTTTATTTGTTAGATGCAAACACCTCAATCTCTTTAGTTGTAGTATGAATCAGACTCAACTAGCACAACTAATGGTTTGTGCAGATTTTTGTCATTTTTAAGGTTTCTCAAATCCCTCTAGTGTCGCCACGTTTCACGTACGTGTCAAGCAGATGTACTGGATCGCGATTATTATTGCAAGAGTCATGTTATCCTGCTTATTTTATTCTATCGTTTGCAGAAGTCACCAGGTGTTGCTTGTTCTTGATCCATAAATTGCGTGATTCATGAACACCTATTGAAATTGTTGGACCCTTGTGAGCGTTAGAATGATTACCTTTGGGCTTTGTATTGCCTATTTGGGCTACATAAACTGATAAAGAGCCCGTGTCATTTGGGAGGTCTGAACCCCAATCTCCCAGTTCGGAGTTATCTGTCCCAGAAATTAATATTGGCTAGATGAGTAATGAGAGCAACATCCCATAAATGTATGATGCATCCAATAAAATAGTTTTATCAAATTCACTCTAATACAATTAGATACATTAGATATGTACCAGTGTGAACTATTAAAAAATTTGGCACCATATTATCCATAATTAATTTAGGATCATTTCACCCAAATTTTCAACTATCCTCTGACCAATTTCAAGGGTCATTATGTACTTCTCCCTTCCTGTATCAGCTCCTACAAAATGTTCAAGAAACTCTCACATCTGACCAGGCAAATCAACTAGATCAACATTTTACTTCAACAGAAGTGTAGGAAGCAATAAAACAAATGGCACCCTAGAAGGCTTCTGCCTGCTGATTTTTACAAAACATACAGACATACTAGAGAATGTAGAGAATACCATCTTTGACGCCATTAACCAACAGAATTTTCCAATAGAATGGAATCAAACAAACATGGTGTTGATCCCAAAGGTACCTAATCCTACTTTCCGTGCTGATTTCAGACCAATAAGCCTGTGTAACGTAAAGTATATGATAATCACAAAGATGATCACCAATAGGCTTAAATCCATAATCTCAGACCTTATTGATGAGTATCAAAATGGTTTTGTGCCGGAAAGGAACATTAGTGAGAATATTCTGATTGCACATAAAGTAATAGAATGTATTAGAAAGAAGGAAGGTGATATGGGGTTGGGAGCTATCAAGTTGGCTATGAGTAAAGCATATGATAGGGTATCATGGACCTTCCTGGAAGCAGTTCTCCAAAAATTAGATTTTTCATCAGACCTAATCAGGCTCGTAATTCACTGTGTCTCCTCAGTGTCTTATTCCATTCAATTCAATGGTGAAGGGCTTCCTTATTTCTTCCCAAAAAGAGGTCTCAGACAAGGATGCCCTCTCTCCCCATATTTGTTCATATTATGTCAACAAGTTCTATCGTCTGCCATCAAGACAGAAAATCAATCTTTCCCAGGGCTAGGAATCAAGATAAGCAGGAATGCACCAAGGATCAGCCACTTAATGTATGCTGATGATAGCCTCTTTTTCATTGAGTGCAGAGAAGAGGCCATTCAAGCATTATCAGGACTAATAGAGACCTATGCAGTTTTTTCTGGCCAGAAAATCAATCATCTGAAATCCTCAATAATGGCAAGTGCAAATACCTCCTCTAAAGTGAAACTTCTCCTTCATACAACCACTGGAATTCCACCAGGAGATTTCAACAGCAAATATTTAGGTCTCTCTCTAGACTTTAAAGGAAAGAAAAAAAAAGTAATTTTCAGAGAATTCACTACCCGACTTGAAAGGACATTTGATGACTGGAAAATGAAACTTTTAACCTTTGCTGGTCGGGTAACTCTGGTAAAATCAACACTCTCAGCCATGCTAGTGTATCCAATGGGGGTCTTTAAACTACCGGCTGCTACTCTAAGGAAGACAGAGTATTATAAGAAACTTCATATGGAAAAGGGATAATATGGGCAAAGGAGTGCATTGGAGATCCTGGAAAAAAATCAACAAGTCTATATATCAATGAGGTTTAGGTCTAAAAGCAACGAAGGAGTTCAATCATGCTCTGTTAGCCAAACATGCCTGGATATTGTCACAACCTTCCTCACTACTGGCATCTTTGTACAGGACAAAATATTGTTCTACGGATCCTTTCCCTCAACAAAGTCCACCTGCCAATGCAACTCGGGGCTACAGAAGCATTCTTTGGGGTTCCCAATTAATACCAGGAAATTCCAAGTGGAAGATCATCTCAGGCAGGAACACACACATTGCAGATGTAGCAACACATTTCAACATCATGGTGCGAGATCTTATCCACTCTAATGGACAGTGGAAATTGCCATTCCTTCGAACTATTTTTCTAGACCACATCATCCCACACATTACAGGGATCTACATTGATTAATCAAGAAGTTCTCATGATGACAAGCTCATATGGACAAATACAAGCCATGGTAATTATACAGTTAAACCAGGTTACCACACAACACTAAATCTTGAAGGATCAATGGGAAACCACCCCACCATTTAACCACAATTGGAAACTCGGGCCTGGAAAGCACTCTAGAATTTAAGAGTTCAGCAAAAGAAAAAATTTCTTTTTCTGAAGGGCGTTTCTAGATGCACTTCCAATAAAAGTTGGTTTATACAGAAGAGATATTCTGGAAGATCAATAATGTCCGAGATGTTTCACCCAGATTGAAGATAATACACATCTGTTTTTCAATTGTGCCATATCTCAAGCAATTTGGAGTTTTGCCAACCCTTCCTTTCAATCAATTCTGAATGGCTCATCCTCCACAATACAGGAGTGGTTCATTAGGTGGGTCCAGAGCTCTCCCTCAAATGAAGACATGGATCTTTTCCTTATGATATTCTGGAGGATATGGATTGAAAGAAACGACAAATTTTGGCGTTCTCAAAACATGGATCCAGTAATATCGTGGAAACTTATCCAAGATGATCTAAATCAACATAAGCTCTCGCTGCGCCTCCAACAACAGCAAATACCAAGTCAACATCCTATAAACACACTTTCTCCCCTAACTACTGGTGTCAACCATGCAGTCATCGTTTTTTATGGCTCCTTTCATCCAATCATTAGAAGTTCAACGGGAGCCTAGAAAATAATTTCCCCTACAGGCTTGCTAATGCAGATAAAGGTCGTGGTTTTTCCATCACTATCAGCGTGTCAAACTGAGGCAACAACTTGTTTACTGGCCCTTCAACAAGCATGGTCATTTGGCATCAGGGATGTCTAAGTTTCATTCTTGTTCTTTAGTTAAAGTTAGAAGAACTGAGGTAACGGATATGCATAATCTGGCTTACACCAGAATGCAATGTACTAATGTCATTTTTTCCTCTTAATAAACAGGTACTTTTTTTTTAAAAAAAAAAAATTGTAGTAGTTTGAGTGTAGTTGAAGGCTTTAGCCTCTTATTATATTGTACCCAAAAAAAATGGCGTTAATAAAATAATTAAAGTAGATAATTAATAGATGAGTACTACATTTATAATCACGCAGATATAGCACGCGGATATGAACTATTCCCTTGTAAACTGGTCCTAAAATTCGTAACTAAATTATTTTTTTTTTTTGAGACAGAAAGAGTACTAAAAATATAACTTGTAAACTGGTTTTGGTAAGTTGTGGAGATTGAGAATATAAATCTAATTGAGTAAAAAATACTGCAAGTATATAAACAACGTAAATGAGTTGAACTCATGCGTAGCCTGGTATAGCGAGAATGAAACTGAATGCCAAAAGGATCACCACTGCATAATTTGTCAAATCTACGTATAAATGGGTGATAGGTTGTTAGCTCTTTTGAAGTTGTGAATATCTTCATTGTTTCCACAAATATCATGCTTAACCATCATTAATGTTTCAAATAGTACTAACATAGTCTCATAAAGTCAAAGAAAAAGCCATGTCAATTGTCAATCGATACAATGGTGGGTTGTTTAGTTGATGATTGAAGGAATGGGGCCATGGGCCATTTCTATCTTCTCTCTTTCTTATCGCTTTCTGTTTTTGTGCTAGTAAGTAGTAACAAGACAACATTCTGTTAAAGAATTTGAGTTCATGTTGAGGACCAAGTCAGCAGATCCTTTAGCTCAGCTCCACAATAACACAGGTGTTCCTGCATGCATGGAATCCGCATCGACAACTGTACTAGAACCTTCTGCTGCACATGAACAGGAAGCCTCCACTTGATCCAGTTGTATGTAATCGTCCTTGTAAACAAGGGAGCTTCTGGGAATCAAGCTTGCTGCCATGTCAGCGATCCGAGTGATTTCCATCTTAATTATTGGACGATCATGATTGATTAGTTATACTGTATAATTGTATTAGCAGCCATTATATTGAGTTGTGTTTGCTTATTGTGTATAGATTACGTGATTAGCTAGTTGTATATAAGTAAGGGATAGTTAATCTTCTGTAATCAAGAGAACAGATTTTGGTATTTCAATAAGCAAGCATCTTCGTTTTCTCCACTTTTTTGCTCTGGTTCTTGAAACCCTAAGTTTTTCCATTCTTGATCAATTTCTTCAATAGAATGCAGATTCAACTATCGTTTTAAGGTATCAGAGCAGGCTAGTTCCTGCTAAGATTTCCGCTGCCATATAGGTTTAAGACTCTGTTTTTTTGTCTTGAAAGCTACGATCATAGCTAAGATTCTTGCTATTTTTTGCTGATTCTGTGCTAAGTTTTCTCGCTATCTGCTGAATCTTATTGGTTTTCTACTTCTTCTATCTGCTCATTGAAGATTTACTGCTATTTCTTGATCAATCACGAAGTGAATTGTCTGAAAAAGGTCATGGAGAATGTACTGAATAAGCGACCAAATCAGGAGAATTTGAACGATTTGATAGATATAAAGCTGCAAGTTCATGGTTTTGAGAATCCTGGAACACCACTTGTATCAGTACTGCTCAATGAAAGGAATTACCGGGTTTGGAGAGGAGCTATGCTTTCTGCTCTTGAGACAAAGATGAAGGACGGTTTTGTAACTGGAGCATTATCTATACCACCAGAAAATTTATCACAGTTTATACGCTGGAAACAGGCTAACTGTTTGGTATGTTCTTGGATTAAGAACTCTATTTCACCTGAAATTGTCAATACCTTTACTTTCATATATGATGCTAGAACACTCTGGAAAGATATAGCTGAACAATATGGAACTACGAATTTACCTCAATTGTATGAGATAAAAAGAGAAATCGGTTTGACTAGGCAAGGAGATTTTTCTGTGGCTGCATATTATGGACGATTGAAACAATTGTGGGATTAATCTGCTCACTTGAGGCCAGCACCAGGAGTTGATGGTGAGGTTGCTGATAAAGTAGAGAAACAGAAGACAAGGCCATGGAATTCTTGATAGGATTGAATGATGAGTTTGAACGAGACAGGAGGAATATCTTATTCATAGAACCTATGCCAACTTTGAACAAAATATATAACATGATTCTGAAATCTGAAAAGAGTGTACAACTGAGTGCAACAATATCTATGAGTAATGAGAATATGGCAATGGTTGTAAAGGGAGGAGAGATCAATAAACAGCTTGAATTAAGTAATGATCATGCAGCATTAGCAGCTCAAATGCATGAATGGAGGAGACAAGGGGATCAAAAAAGTCCAAATTTTCAACCAACATTTCAGAAAAGAGATAAGAGTAAATTGTTCTGTAATCATTGTAATAGACCAGGACACATTAAGGAGGAATATTTTAAGCTTGTCAGTTTGCCTGACTGGTGGGATGGTTATAAAAAGAAACTGCAACAGAAGAACAATTCAACCATGACCAGGGCTCATGCAGTGACTGTTGGTGAAACTCCATTAGAAAATGCTCTAGAAAGAGATGAGAACCTGCAATTGACAATCAATAATACAGTTCAGAGAGAAGTGGATCGAATTCTCAAAGGAAAAGCATTAGGGATTTCAGCTGGGAAACCTTTGGTGAATATGGCATACTCTAGTGATTTTGCAGGTAGTTCTGCCTTAACTGAGTTGAACTCTTTGTCTAATGATTATATTGTTCATGGATCTTGGATTTCTGATAGTGAAGCTACTAGACATATGTGCATTTCTCTTTCCTTCGTGATAAATGTTAAAATGATGGATAGTTATACACCTGTTTGGCTTCCTGATGGAAGCATAAATTCTGTAACACATATAGGAGATGTTCCTCTTTCAGATTCTGTTACCTTACACTCTTGTTTGCTTCTTTCTAAGTTCAAATATAACCTTCTATCTGTCAGGCAATTAGCCAAAGTTAATCACCTTTACTTCAAATTCTTTGCTGACATTTGCTTGCTACAGGACCTTAAGACAAACAAGGTTCTGGCAGCTGGTAAAGTCATCCAAAAACTCTACATTCTCAATTCATATTCTTTCACATAGGAAGCCATTCCATAGTCACACACATACTTTATAGCTTTCATGCTTATCTCCATTAGCTTGAGGTGATTCATCTGTAGCTCAATCACCTCAAGCTTTAGTAACAATTTCAGAAGAACTTTTACATCTTAGACTAGGACATCCATATGATGTTGTCCTTAGACATATTCTAGATTGTAATGTTTCTACCATGATATCTTCAGTTGTGAAGTCTGTTCATTAGGAAAACAGACTAGATTGAATTTTCCTTCCAGTGAAATACATACTGAAGAATGTTTTTAGCTATTTCATTTGGATGTCTGGGGACCATATAAACAGTCTTCTTTGTCTGGTTGCCATTATTTCCTTTCTATTGTTGATGATTTTAGTCGATGTTCTTGGATCTTTCTGTTTAAACATAAATCAAAAGTGCCAGACTTAGTTACACATTTCCTAAACCAAATAAAAACTCAGTTTCAAGCCTCAGTCAAAATTATCAGGACAGATAATGAAACTAAATTCTTGAATCAATAGTTTCATACTTTACTTTTTTTTCTTGGGATCATTCATCATAGAAGCTGTCTTTACACACCACAGCAAAATGGAGTAGTTGAGAGAAAGCATAGACATCTCATTCAGGTATCAAATTCAATCATAGATTCATAACCGCATCTTCCATTTGTTTAATTAATTTCCAACTCCCCACCTTTCTATATATCATCCTTTCCTAATCGGATATTACTCATAAACGGGACCTCGTTAGTTTCTTCGCTTATAATTGCACTGAAATTGAGTTGTCAATCAGGTTAACAGCAGACGGTAGCTATCGATCAAGTTTTGTTTTGTATGGTCTACCTAGCTATTGCTTTCTTTCCAACGTCTTCCTTTTTAATTTGGCACGGTTGAGGTTAGCCATCTGCTATAAGCGCAGTTAGACGATAAAAGAACCAAGTCAGATAGCACAGATTATATGTAATTAAGCCAAAAATATTACAGTAATCTTTTGTTTTCTGTTTTTCTTCTCTTGAAATTAAACTGGAAGAACAGCACTGTACACTGAGTGAGACAACATTCCAGCTTCCTGGATTCAGTACATGTTTTCTACCTCAGAGAACAACATCAAATGAGCAAACTTTATGGCAACTTTGGATTCAATCATTTTTAACTTAAGAAACTAAACCCGACGTACCCACCATTTGTAGCAAAGCTTCCTTCACTTTGAGCAAGCTGATTAAGCTAAATTCATGCTCAAACCCATCCTTTGCAATCCCCCTGTAATATACTAAATCCAGCTAACAGCCACTGGGCTTCCGACGATGTGTTTCCCATCGGACCACTCTATCCTTCCAAACTCATTTGTATTTGCCGGCATCGACGGCGCAGTAAACGTCACCGTGTAGGACTTCTTTTCACCGACTTTTGTAAACACCAAAGTGGCGGGTTCCACCGAAATCTTAACCATTGGGCTGGTGCTTGAAATTGAAACCTTGTAAGTTCCACCCGAGCTTGCCACGTTGGTTAGTGTTCTAGTGTGCTTGACAACGCTGGGCTTCCCGGAACTAACACCACCATTAGAACCGCCAAGCACTTCCGTTTCTAGAGCAACAGAAAACGAAGGGTAGTTGAAATCACTAATGCTGTACTTCTTACCCTTTTCGCAGGTGAAATTTCTCCTGGCCACACCGTAAATCTGAGACGGCGTGTAATTCAGAGCACACAAGAAACCCAAGTAATCATCAGTTGTCAGGTCGTAAACCAACCCGGGATCCAGTGCCGCCACAGGGTCGACGTGGCCGGCGCCGTGATCGAACGGCGTTGATGGTTTTCCGGTGGCAACATCCAGCAGTTTCTGACCGTTTTTGTAGGTGATGTAAGACGTGGTCATCAGCGCCGATCTTATCGCGGCTGGGCTCCAATCCGGATGAGCACCCTTAATTAGCGCAGCTAAGCCGCTAACGTGGGGGCAGGACATGGACGTGCCGGAGACAATGTTGAACTCTACACGCCTGGTGTCCTCCGGCAACCCGGTAGGGCCCACAGCACCGGTCCATCCGGCCAAGATATTGACGCCCGGAGCAATCAGGTCCGGCTTCAAAATCTCCGGCGTGATGGAGTTCGGCCCTCTGGAACTGAAGGCGGCAACCACCGGCGACGGTTCGATTCCCACCTTCGTACCTTCGAAAAGAATTGTGGCCGTTGGATTGGATTCGGTGAATAGATACTTCTTGATAACGTCACCTGACATCTGGCCCACCGCCGTGGCTGGCAACAAATGAGCATCTGCCACGAGTTCTTCTCCGTTTGCATTAGTATTCGCCAAAATCATACCGACCCCACCAGCTTCTTTGACCACAGAACCTTTCTGCACCCTTGGATTAATCCCACGGTCACAAAGGACGATTTTACCTTTGACCATCTCCGGAATTAATGTACCGGTCATACACAAATTCCCGTTGGTGGCGTTGCTGGCGTTACCGGCATACACAAAAGGAAGCATCTTACTCAAGGTGGCGTCACCTTTGTAGAGTGAAACTCCGGAGAAATTCTTCCCGTTACCGAGGCTGACGAACGCCGGGAAGTCACGGTCCAAAGTTCCGGCACCGACGGTGGTGATCCAAGGTGCCAGGTTGGATAAACTGTAGGTGCTGGGCCCGGCGTTACCGGCTGAGCAAGAGACCAGAATACCCTTCTCCATCGCCGAAAAAGCTCCAATAGCAACACTGTCCCTGTAGTAGTCTGACGTGCCACCTCCAAGGGAAAGGGACATGACATCCACGTTGTCCGCGATGGCTTTATCCATGGCTGCTAATATGTCGGAGCTAAAACACCCACCAATCCAGCAGACCTTGTAAACCGCAACTCTGGCCCGGTTCGCCATCCCACGAGCCGACCCAGGTGCATAGCCTAAAAGGCTAGCTCCCGGTACGAGACTTCCGGCGGCGGTGGACGATGTGTGGGTCCCATGTCCATCGTCGTCCCGGGGGGATTTAGATTCCTTCGATTCATCAATTGGGCCGAGCGTTGCTTCGTATCCCGCGGCAAAATACCGGGCCCCAATCAGCTTCCGGTTGCAGTGACTCTTGGTGAAGTTGGTTCCTGTCTCGCAAGTGCCTTTCCATGAAGCAGGAATGGGGCCCATCCCGGTGTCATCGTAGCTCTTGCTCTCAGGCCAAACTCCGGTGTCAAAAACACCGACGGTGACATCACTCGCTGTTCCAGACTCCGGAAACAAATTGGCGTTCTGGTCAAGCCCCAAGAAGGTAGGAGTCCGGGTGGTATGGAGCTCATACTTGACCTCCGGCAAAACGTACAAGATCCCGGGTTGATTCCTGAGGGATTCCGCTTCTTCTTCTGTCAGCCTCGTGGCAAATCCATGAATGGCGTTTTCATATGTATACAGCATCTCGGCTGATTCAGAAACCGACTTGAGGGAAGTGTCATACCAATGAGTATGGTCATCAAAACTTTCAGGCATTTGAGTTTTCGCCATGTGAACTATGTAAGTCTTTTTTTCATTATGTACAGATGCCGCCACTGAAACGTGGCAGTACTCCATGGACATAAAACACAAAAACAACAATCCTACCAAAAACTTTGAGGTTCCCATGCTTAAGAAACTTTTTTAAGAACGACCCTGAAAATGTGGGGAAAGAGAGAATGCAGGGGAGAAGGGACAGGGGGAAGATGAGTAAGTTTATATAGAGGGTAAGAAGCAATCATAAAAATTATAAAAAGGCGAAGTAATCAATTAAGTGTGAAACTGGAAGTTTGGAACCATGCAGAGTGAGGCTAAAACAGAGAATCAGAATCAGTGAAGCAGATGAGTGGGGGGGTGGCTGAGCTAGTGGGGACGGTGAGTCTTTGTCTAGATTATATAGAGAGATGATTGATAATCAATGTAGTAGTGACCAGTGACTACTACCAACAAAATCAAAGCCAGATCCAGCTCTGCATCAATTAAAAAAGTAGAGAAAATGCACACTCGGAAGAAACAGAGAAGAAGTGTCGACTGAAAATATCATCATTATTCATTTTCTCTGTTTTTTACCCCATCAACCAAAATTTGGTTTAAATAATTGAGAGGAAGGGTGCGAAAGAGAGATATAACCGATAATGATGGTCCTATAATAAGGTTTGGGTCTTGTCACGTGTACGCAAGGTTTATCGATAATTGATACTCTTTTACTTTCTTCTGTTGTTTCCACTTACTAGGATTACCAATGTCTGAATTATGATCCTTAGTCAGTACTAATTCCTCCTCTCTTTTCTTTTTTTTTTCCCTCTTTTTATCTTTAACTTTTTGCAGCATGTAGAAGAAAGAGGGAGCGATATATATTAAAACTGAAGATAAAAAAGAAAAAGTTTTCAGGCCTTAAATTCGATACTGTGGCTTTTGGTGGGCAAGTGACATAAGGAAAGAAAAAACCCACACTCTTTTATTCTGATGTCTACACTTTCTTCACTGGCAAAATTGACCATTGCTGTAAACATTGGGGCCATTGTCCCATGGCCACCCAGTGTCCACTAGTCAGTCTCCCACATGTAGGAACTATGAAGTTGATGATAAATATTGATTGCTTTACCTACACAAATCCATTTGGTCAAGGTTGGGTATTATTATTTAGTGCTGGATTCTCGGACTGGTTAAAAACGAAACCTAATTAAATTAGAAATGAGGCCATTTTACATTATTCCTTTATTATACCACCATATATCTTGCTTCTAGAAAATTAAATTAAATTAGTAGCACCGAAAAAATGAAGTGGCTTGCACCAGGTGAATTTAGGTAAAAGATCTTGGACCTTACTTCTTTCTGGTGGTTCACGGGGTCGTCTTCACACAATTACAAGTTTACAACTGTCTATTTGTAATTATCCTCTTTTCTTTTCTTCCCCATGGAGAAAGGGCTGGTGGGTGAGACGGAGACGCGCAAATTCCACCAGCCAACCATTTCATCTTCCACCGTCAAATTCCTTTTTTTTTTTTCTTTTCCCTCATTAATTTGCTTCGATCCGACATACAGTGTTTTCCTACATTTTGGATGATTGGTCAGTTTGTTCTCTTCTACATGGGTTGTTTTGTGTCTTTTACATGATGCTCTCCCGTTTGTCTTGACGTTATAGGAAAGCGATTCAACCTTAATCAAAGCAGTGTATTTCGATAATTTTGTTCTTGTGGTTGTCCAGAATCAAAGTATTACTTACGTCCCAATAAACCAAAAGCCCTCAAATATCCGTGCCAATGTAGCAACTTAATTACAAGGTGTTAAAAAAAAATAAAATTGTTCCTTGTCGTATGGTCTATCAAACAAACATGAATTTATTTTCTCCTCGGTTTAGTTAGTTTCAGAAATAAAATGGATTCTGATCCACAAATGAAAGAACACCCAAATGATCATCACGTCTAATCAAACAAGTTCTGTCCGTTTTAATGTTAAACAGACTGCATGCACATCACGTGTGGTCCTAAATTGAGCATAACCACGCAAACATGCTCTCTTTGAATCGCAAAGTTAAATGGAATATGACAAATGATGCATGTTCAACCTGAATGGCTAGAAATTAATGCCTCAATTTTCATGAAGAAATTTTGTTAATTCGCTCGCAAACCAACAATTTTAATTAAGCAATCTTATCCTTCTATTTTAGCCAAGAAGGGTGTTGTATAGATCTATACGAAAATATGTACTATGCGAAATGGGGAAATTAAGAACACAGTGGAATGGGATTTTTTGGGAGTGATGGTGGGGGCAAAATGTCACGTGAACCATTTGTGTCCAAGAAAGAAAGCTTTAATAATGTTTGGTCGAAAATTTTAAGTGCCCCATTATCAATAAATTATTTTCTTCAAAAAACAATATACTCATATAACAACGAAAGGTTGGACAATGCTTGCTCCACCATCTTTTCTGTCAGATGCAGACAGCATCAGTGACAAAGCCTCCATTTAAGATTCACATTCCAAGTTAAACTGTACAAATTTGCGACTTTGAGGTTGAAAGTTTTCCACTCATTTTTTGTTTTGTTTAGTAAATCTTGATGTTGGGAACGTTGATAAGCTCAAAAGCGTTCGCGATATTCAGTGCGACAAGGTAAAGTGCCAAAATATTGAAGGCGGCGATTAACTTTTACACTGAAATACTTTCTTTGCCTCGAAGCAAATATTGTATAAAAACAAAATGAAATATAACAAAATTCACAAGTTCTTTACGTTTAAGGGTCACTATCAGAGACGAAATTGACCAACTTTTAATTGTTACGCTAACGATGCAATCAAGTGAAATAATATAGCAAGGCAAAAGTTGAAAAAATCACAATGAGAGATGCATGTCATTTATGGTACTCCTTCCGTCCCATAATTATTGTCCAGTTTGAATTTTCATTTCTAGTTCAAATTATACTAAAAGTAAAATCTCAAATTAGACAATAATTTTGGAACAGAAGTAGTAATATGTGTAATGCTTTAAAAAAAAAATTGGTTTCTCCCATCCGTATTTGTTAACAATAATTACGAAGCGTAAATTAATTTTCCGATATATATATGAAAAATTGCTTCTTTAAAACTCTCACAATGATGGGAGAATCATTGATCACCATGAGATTCTTCATACACGGAGTCCATGATATTTTTCATATCAGTAACGAACTTCACATAATATATCAATCAGTAGGAGCAACCAACTACAATACGAAATGTCCAACGTTAGTATAGTTCTATGGGAAGTAAGTGTATTAAAATCTTGTTTATGTGGGGATGCCCAATAATACAGGGGTGACTCAAGCAAACAACCCAATGTCCCAGATTCATATAAGTTGATACTTTTTTTTCTTCATCTTCTTTATAAATAAAGCCATCCTTTTGCTGAATTTTCCATTTCCAGGAACGGCATAAAATTGGAGTCAGAATTATTAAAAGAATTCAACATACACAGGGGACCGGCTGTTTTATGGATTACGGTCAATTATCAAATAGTCTGAGCTCGTGTGTTGTTTCTATCTTACAATCGGTTACAACAGAAAGGCAGAATGCGGATATGAAATCTACAATAACCCGAACAAAATTTTTATGGTCTTAACTCTTAAGTAGACAAAGTTGTGGTATTGGACGGCATCTATAACAATTCCATGCTCGGTTTATTTAATTCATGTCTACTCCCAAGTGGTCTGTACACTTATCCAAAATCAATTGCATCTTTATGGTACAATGGAGACCTGAAATAGTGAATTTAGCAGGTTTTACTGTGATTTATGATCTTTCATTTCATCCACCATAATTGAAACCCAGGAAAAATCTACGAAATTGCGGCCCCCTGAAATTATTGAGCAGGAGCAAGAGTCAAATAATTAGTACTGGTGTTGAAAGGAATCATATTGACAGTCAGATCACAACGTCTTACCAATAATTGGATTTTAGAGAATCGAACACTGGTGAAATAGCTGGTTTTGATGCTACATATTTTTTGTTTACTGGCCGCCGAATCAATCAGTCTTCTTAATTTGCAGAGAGGCAGTTGGACTTGAGTCCATTTTTCCTTTTGAATATATGCATTTATTAATACTTTATTAGAGGTAATTAAATTATTACAACGAGGATGAAACCTAATCAGGGGGGAAAAAAAATAACTTTTCAACTTTTAAAAAATTCTTCTCGAATATGTTTTTTCTTCTCTTTAGTGCGTCTAGTCCTCCTCGTTGCAGTCGTCCGATCAATTAATAGCGGAGGGAGTGGGGAGCCGTAAAAAAGCCCCCTCCCTGTTTTTTTTTTAAATAAAATAAAATAAAAATGAAAAACCCTTTATACTTCAACATAATTTCGTAACTGCTTAAGTTTTTAATGACTTTTTGCTCTTTCAAATTTTTTTAACACATTTTTCGCCCATACTTTAGTTAAATTGTTGTTCCGCCATGGAATCACTTGCATCCTTTAATTTGACTAGTGCAAGACACTATTAATTACTCCCTCTGTCCCAAAATTATTATCCAGTTTTGGATTTCACTTTTAGTTCAATTTGTATTAGAAATAAAAATCCAAACTGGACAATAATTATAGGATGGGGGGAGTATTTCTGAAACGGTTGCTTCTTGAAAAATCTTTTAATTTACGATTGGAAGTATAATGCCTTAATCATCGTGCAAAATTTAGACTATTGTTATTTTTTCAAAGAAAAGATGGATTATAATGATAGAATACTTGCTATAAAAAAATAAAATAAAATGATAAGACATTCTTAAATTACATAGCCTATCATCTTCCCGCTATTTTTGAATTGGGCCAACGTGGTCTATTTTGAAATTATATTAGCCGATAAGCGTAGGTCTCCTCCATAATCATCAAATATATATTATAATTGGGGAATGTGATATAGTTTTTGGTAGTTCTCTCACATTATTATCACAAAAACTTTAGTTTTTAGTTTCTTTTTCTTCTTTAAACAAAAAACGTTGTATCTTTTCGTTTTCTTTTTCATATTAATTTTTCAACATTTATTTTGATCTTTTATCACAACAATTAAATTTTTTACCTCTTTTATCTTTATTGTTTACTATATGTGCTATATGTTTCATATCCCTTCATCTTCTGTTTTTTACTATCGGTGTTAAATTTCCTATTCATTTTTCTTCTATTCTTTAATAGTATTATACTTTTAATCTCCCCTTATTTCCTGTAACAACTTCTTCATCAATTTGGTGTCCTTTTGTTTACTTTTAGCATCTATTACAATAAGTTTACTAAAACTATTTAAATACCGCATTCCTAATTCATCTTTTATGTTGGTTTTCTCTCTTCTCCTCTTTTGTATTTATCTTTTGTCTTGGTTTTCTCTCTCGTCTCTCTTCTTTTGCCAGTTTTTTTTTTTTATTTTAATTTTTACAATTTGATTCAAAGTTCAAGTTCAATTCAAATAGAAGCAGAGATGCTCATGTTTGGCTAATCATATAACATAAAGTTGAGTTGCAAGATCCAAAAACAGTAGATGAAGATTGCAACAGAAAAATTTGAAATTTGTTTTTCAAACATAGATGTCTTCTCGATTTCAGGTAAATTTGAAACGTTTAATAATTTACAATTCGTGAGCAATAAATTTTAATCCATGTTTTTTTCACTAAACATTTTCAAACTATGGTTCTCTTTTACAAAAACATTTCGAGTCATTGAATTTATTATTGTGAATGTCAAATTAAGTTTAAGTGAGATTACATTTATAGACCTCTGTTAGTTCTATTTTAATAGTTTATGTTATTGTAATAAAATGCATTACGATAATAAGATAAATGGAGCATTCTTTTATTGTTTCTTTCTTCATATTTAAATATTTTATAATTGCATACTTAGAATTAACATATATAATCATACTCAAGTTGTTTTATATTGCAATACGCGCGAAGCGCATTTTATCCATCTAGTAGTTAGCATAAGTAGACGATAATTATTTCTGCAGCTCAACTAACCGTCGTTCATTTAGGTCCATTTCCCCTCTTCATCAGTATTGTTAATTAATGACATAGTAGTTCATAATATAGCACTTTATGCCAAGTCTTGTACGAGTAGAAATTAGTTTTGGTCTTTCCGCTCAAATTGGTCATTACTGGTAATATTGATTTTTATTTGTTATTTTGTAGCTACAAAGTTTGAACTTTCAATTTTGTAACAGTAACAAAAAACCTTTACCATCTCGCTCAACTCGCTAGTTTCTTTTTTCCCGAAAAA